GACACGTTTCTTGCCATACAAAGTCTTCAACCCTACCTTCTGAGTAATGACATTGTGCTCTCCCTTTCGGGCAGCGGGGTCGTGAATCCAAAGTTCACCACCTTCGAAGCTGCCAAGACTGATAGTGAAGTTGGTGGAATCTTTCATGTTGTGAGCATCCTTGTGAACCTTAACAGACGAACCGTGATTGATGCAAACCGATGAGCAATCTCCCGTCATTCCATGATTCTGGAGGAATGCATTGATGTATCGGGTAGAATGGGCATACTTCTGCGTACGGTTAGTAATGCCCTGGACGCCACCATGAGCGAAAGCGCCAAGCACAAGATACTCGACGTTTCCGTCGGTGCGACCCTCGTTGTTTGTAATTGACTTACGATTGCTCTTGGAGGGCTTGCAGTTCATAGATTGCAGTAGCTTCAGACAAGACTTACACTGGAAGTCAAGGTTCTCAAGTAACTCTTTTGCAATTCTCTCTGAATCCTCAACACACTTGCCAGGCCAGGAAGGCTGGGCTCCGGACGTGGTCGCGCGGGAAGCGCAACGTTTTCCTTCCAAGACTTCAGGTAGGGAACGTTGTCCTTCACATCGAGATAAACCTTGTTCCCGTTGCGATCCCTGAAGTAGGGTCTACAATTAGCTCTCCAGATAAAGTCAAACCTTTCCTCCATGCACTTCTGTCCAACCGAGAGAACGGATGGTGAATCGGGTAGAACATATGGTTCGGCGGTCGTATTGATCGAAGGAATCCTAACCTTGCATTGTTTGTCAGCATAGTTAGGTCCGTTGGCGGTAATCATGTTGATAGGCCGATCCGACAAGAAATCCTTTACATCACCGAGAACGTTTTTCGATATCAAATCCTGGGCACTGCCAGTGTCGGCAATCCATTCCATTTCAATCACAGGATCTGACCTGCTCCCCTTTGCTGGGCATCCGACAGATATGCCGGGCGCAATGCAATGAGCACAACCGAACTCAGTCTTACACATGAACTTACATGCTGGATTCGTACCTTGGTTCATACCTTCAACGGTTGACCTCAGCATCTTAGCTGTCGCCAAAGCATCCCGAACATCCTGCCCATCAGGTTTGGGCTTGTAGTTAACAGGAAATTCTTCACTGAAAACCCTCGGCTCGATTTCAACCTCACGCCACTTGGAAGATTCAGGGGGCGTGGGAATGTAGTGATACTCAGGAGCATTCGAGAATCGCACAGATGCCAGAGCAACGTGAGCGGTGCTTGCACACGAGTCAATGAAGTTCGGCATTTCCTTCCGGAAAGCGTGTGCATCGGCTTGGGATGCCGAACCTGCAACAAGTGCGCCTAAGAGGCAGACGGCGGCAGGAAGCGAAGCCTTAGGTTTCCGCCCCCCCGAGCCCTTGCTGTTCCCAGAGCCTTTGCTCCCCTTGGAGCCTCCACTACCCTTGGAACTTTTAGAGCTGGAACGAGACTTCTTCCTATGCTTCTTTTCTTTCTTCTGTTTCTTACTCTTCTTTTCGCCGCTAGACTCTCTACCGCTGCCAGTGGCAGGAGCAGAAGGCTGGCCTTTGTGTATGAAACGGCACTTGTCACCCTTGTTGCATTTGCCATGCTTGAAGAATTTGCACTCGGCATTAATCTTCCCAGGAGATGGGCTCCCCCTTCCGGAGGGCGACTTGCCTCGGCCTTTACCTTTGCTTGGTGTCCTACCACGTGGCTTCTCGGGTATCTGATGCTTATAGGAACATTTTTCTTTGTTGCACGAACCGTTCCGAACAAAGTCAATGCAGAAGCCTCTGGGCACACGCTTTAGCGGTGCGGGTGCCGATGGCATACCTGCCGCGGCCTGCCTTGCAATCCGTTCCCGGTTGCGCTCAAGCCGTTTGATCTTGATGACCCGGTTAACGGCATTGTACAAATACTCATAGGATTTCTCCTGTGTGCCGTCTACTGCCCTTTCATAGATGGCGATGTCGTGCGCCAAAAGCTTACACTTCTTAACCTGTCTATGAAACAAGGGTTGCAAAACATCGTCAGCAGGTGCTTTCTTCATGCCTGAGAGAACAGTGTCCCAGTTACGCACGAATTGCACGAGGTTTTCGTTAAGCATGACGACATTGAGCAGATCCTCCATATCGTACACAGACCCGTGGAGTGCGTTGGTCGACAAATAAGCATTGAGCTTATGCAGAATTTGACGGCCACGAACTAAGCGCCCTTCGTGCCCTTCCCTCTCTTTAAAAGTGTCAATCTGGCGAGCAAAATCACCTTCCAGAATGTTTGTGATTGCCGAGAGGATCTTCGCATCAAGCGTTGTGAATCCGCTAGGATCACGAAGGGACTCTTCCGTGGTATCATCCTTCCACACTTCACCGAGCCACTCGAAAGCCTCATCGGGACGGTCAGAGGCGGCGACCACAGCCTCGCGTGCGCGAAGCCTCCAGTTACGATAGTTCTCTGGCTGGGGAAACTTCGGAAACACAATCTTCTCAGCTTCCTTCACCTTAGGCCTTCCCCTTGTCGCCTCGGTTTCCTCGTCATCGTCCTTGTCTTTCTTAGACTTAACGACTTTCTTGAACATCTTCAGGAGGTCCTTTTTAGATAGGGAAATAGACGACGATGATGATGAATCAGATGAGTCTCTTTTCTTTTTCTTCTTTTTGTCCTTTTTCTTTTTCTTCTTCTTGTCACGGGAATCGTCTTCGGGCTCATCCCCGTCGCCGTCGCTTTCGGGAGGCGAGTCATCTCCACCTCCGCCTGGCGGACCACCATCTACTTTACCCAGACCCGGAGGGGTATGAATAGGGTGTTCAATGGGAGACTGATCTCCTACGGCAGTTGGTGAATATGCCGTGGCTTTCGCCAGGCGATCACGAAGCTCCGCATTGGTGCGCTCAAGCTTCGTCATCGACTCAGCCTGTTGGCGATGCACTTGCATGAATGCACCCATCTCAGACTTGAGTTGGCTTAGTTCGCCATTCATGACTGCAACGGTGTCTTGGCTAGCCCGACTTCGATTAGCCAACTCTCTTTCAGCTTGGGCTACAACGTCGGAGACTGTAACCTCAGCCTGATGAAGCCTGAGCTTGTAGTCAATGGCTTCACGTCGCATCTGCGACAACTCGTCGCTGTGTTTATTAGCCATGCTTTCGCCGGCTGCTCGAAGCATTTCTTCTTTCTGTTGCAGACGACTCTCCGCTTGGGCAAACTCCAACCGAAGTTGGGCAGCACCGGATAGCGCCTGTGCATGAAGCTGGTTGAATTGCTCCCTATGCAAATTGTTTGCTTCTGCCATGATTAATCTGTGGCGTGCTTCAGCTTCAGCTGCAACGGCTGGTCCTGTGTCTACTTGATGCACATGGACTGCTTGTTGCACCGTTGGCGCAAGGACATTTTGTTGATAGTAGTTCGCGACGTTTCTGATCTCGCTGGGTGAATATTGGGCCGTATTATATTGTTGAGGCGATCCCGCCAGGGATGCGAGTTGGTGCGCTGGGCTTGAGACATAGGCCCATTCTGACACCGCTCCTGGTGCACCTCTTCGGGGATCTGTTTGGGCCATCACGGCCAAGGTCTCTGCCGTCAGAGGAACAACTTGGCCACCCTCTCGGGTACCGGGGACAACCTGATCCGTGCCATCGTCTTGGACGGACATGGCAGGAAGAGAATTGAGATCCTCGGTATCGACGCGAGCCGCGGAAATGTCTATCGCGGGAATACCTGCAGGATTTACGGGAGCATCCATCGCGATCTACAAACGAAGTGAGACCTACGGCTGATAACCTATGTTTACAGGCAGAACAGCCAGAATGCAGACGCATATTTTCTTGAGCCAATGAATGACGGTAGGTGCAGTTGACTAGCTACATCTTCCACAAAATACAGCCTGGGAACAGCTGGATCCCTACTACAAGGATACCCAAAACTTGGCTGGTTTTAGGCATCGACATACTGGCGTCCTGGATCTCGGCTGCATCGATGGAAAATCAGGACGAGATGGAGAACAAAACGCAACCCAATCTCCAAACCCGACCAGCCCCAACCTTGAAACTGCGAAGCAAGACTCCAAAACGACAAACCCTTCTACCCGCAAACCCTAAGCCCCAAAACCATCAAAGCCCCACACCCTAAACCCTTGAACCTGAACCAATTAAACCATCAACCCCAAACTAAACCTTCAAACCTGAACCAACCAGCTATCAACTCGCACCCAAGGAGCCAGGACGATTGGCCGCAGCGCCTCCTGGGCGGATGATAGCCTGCAGGGTCGAGGAGGGTTTTTAGGGTTTAGGGTTTAGGGTTGAGGATTTAGGGGTTGAGAAATGTAGGGTTTAGTATTACGGTTCCAGGGTTTTGTGGGGTTCAGGCCTTCGGGGCTCAGCTTTTGGGTTTTGGGCTTGGGGCATACCGCTTTAGGGTTCGGTTCTGACGGCTTCGGGGTACTGGGTGGGTCAGGGGACTTAGTTCGCCGGCTTTAGGTAGGGGTGTCATTGGGGTAACTCCATCTAGGGTACTTATAAACCTACTTATAACCTACTTACTAAGTCCCCTGGGCCTGCAAGCAATACAATAGTGTTGGTTTAACGTTTAGATTTAAGGTTTAGGGCTATCATAAAAAAAACATGACCGAGAGCGGTACTAATTGTAGTACTAGCAACACTAAGAATATTGGGCAATATAACAATAACTGGGTTGTGCTTTAAACCCTTTGAAAATTATTCATGAGTAGGTTCCCTTTAAAAGGAAATAAGGAAAATTAAAACTTATCCCAAAGCACAACCGGAAAAATAGAAAACCGAACAAGGTCTCCTAACTCCAGTCCAGGCAGCTGCTATCCTGGCTGTGTAGGCTCTTCCAGGTGTTCTGGTCATTCGACGCCTCGAGGCGCCACTCCACGGGATCCTCGGCTCTTGCTTAGGGTTTAGGGGTTTGGGGTTTTGGGGTTTGAGGTTTTGGGTTAAGGGTTTTGGGGTTTTGGGTTTAGGGGTTTAGGGTCTTGGGGTTAAGGGGTTGGGTTTTAAGGGTTGGGGTTTAGGGTTTTGGGATTTAGGGTTAAACTCCTCCTTAACAAGAACCTAGGATCCAGCTGCTCGTCGCTGGGCCCCGTGCGGAAGCTGAAGCTGTCGATGAGCACCGGCTTGGGTAGCTTGATGAGCAAGGGGCTCAAGACCGAGCTATGCCACCGGGTGCTCGTCCGCCCGTCGATGGCATTGCCTGGGCCCTCGTTGTCTGCAAACTGACCGTCGGGATTCTCGGCCGTGGCATCTGCGAGATCCAGCTCCACACCCTCTCGCCGCAGCAGCAGTTGGCCGAGGGACACGCCATTCACCGTGTCACCACCCCGCACCTTCGTCACCACAAAGCGGAAGAACTTGAAGCCTTGGCAGTAGCAGAAACGTAAGGACAAGGCGAACTGAATTCAAAATCCTACGGCCGGGCCGCCATTTGCATCGCCACGCTTCTCCAAGGCATCGATGGTGGAGGGCAGTGGTGTGAGGCCTGTCACTCTAACGCTTTCCCGGTACGCAGAGGTACGGTTGGGTACGGACACGAGTGCGCCTGCAATTCATTACGCTCGCACTGAATAACCATACGACAATCCGACTATCTATTGCAGCCGTGCCGAGGGCCGACGATAGCTTCTGACTACTGCGAGTGATGTTGCTCCTCCTGCTCCTCCTATCCATCCTCCTCGCTGTCACCCGGTGCAAAGACGGCAACGACATGCAGCGACGACGAAGACTGCAAAGGCAACAACTATTACCATTTCTTGAAACATCACGCGATGACTACATACGAGTGATAATGCAACCGTCGTAGTACGACCATTGCTCTTCATTCTAGTACTATCGCAGTTCGATAATGTCCATCACGATGAACAAGAGTACATCACGGTTCCACGTGTCACCTGGACAACTCTTCCGCAAGAAACTGGGTTCTTCCTAAAGGATTTAAGTTAAGTTACCAGAATAAGGAAACCATATTATTTACTGCAGACCCCTATTATGGTAACTTAAATCAAATCCTTTAACAAAAACCCAGGAAACAGCTGAACGGGCCTGTGCATAGCCGGCCCAAAGCCTCCAGCGACACCGGCGACCAACCACCGGTATGCCGAATCCAGGTAGTTCCGCTCCTCAATGCAATCTATGCACATACTGTATGGCAGACTATGTATATTCATGTGTATGTGTGTCTATACACATATATATATACACACATATACATGTATATATATATATATACGTAAATGTGCAGATGTGCATGTATGTATGGGTATATTGATTCTGGAGTCTGTGCGCACAGTGGCTGAAGTTCAGCATTCAGGGGTCACGGCTCGAAGCCTGAAACTCTAAGGAAAACCTTCATCAAACCTTATAATACAGAGGCCTCAATAACAAGAATTGGGGTTTGCTAAAGGGTTCCTATAAAGGATCTATAAGGGCACTATAACTAATAACCTTCATAATAAGAATAGGGCCTAGGGTGTTTTGGTTGAGAATACTGGGCCCTAAACCTTAAACCCCCTGCGCAAGCCTTAGAATCACGCGAAGACCCTGGTTGATACACACTGGAGCTCGCTCGTTTCACATCCTCATGACCAGCCTTTCAAACCCCTACCCGTACTACGACCTAAACCCTCAACCCTAAACGCCTAAACCCTAAACCCCTAACTCTAAAAGCCCTAAACACCTAAACCCCTAAACCCTAAACACCTAAACCCCTAAACCCTAAACAGGCCCAAGAAAACCCTCAAATGCCGCCACGGTTCGCATCCTGCTGAGTCGCCAGCTCCTCGAATCCCCACTGGGCCTGGCCGGGGGTTTAGGGGTTTAGGGTTTAGGGTTTAGGGTTCAGGGTTTAGGGTTTAGGGTTTAGGGTGTGGCAGGCGAAGTCGCGCGCTCGGGTGTGAAGCACCCCGGGCCGCGCGCTCGCGTTGCTCGTAAACCCACCCCGGCCACCCAAACTATACTCTATTAGGGTTTAGGGTTTCTACCCCCCAACCCCCCTATCAAGGGGGGCTTTTATATTTTTGCACCCATGAACGTTCCAGTTGTTGAAGTTGTGGTTTAGGCAACGGCTGGGAGTAACCTCGGCCCTTGTCGGGCCTTCGGCATGGCAGGGCCTGCTCGGCCCTTCAAGCTTATCGTTTGACAGCTTTGGAAAATCTAGATTTTAGAGCTGGTTGTCCTCTTCCGAAAAGGACAAGCGCGACTAAATATTGAAAACCGGAAGCTTAAGAGCAGCCACACGAAAAGAAAGGAGGGGACCTCGAGATTCGCAACCCGCCTTCTCTAAAAGGCACATTTTATGAACAGAATTTGTCACTTGAAAATCACCAACAAAAATCCAAATTTCCGGAGGCCCTCTGTTGTGTGAGGAGTCCGGCATGTCCGGAGGGTCAGGGGTGTCCGGGGGTGTCTGCCGGTGTCCGCGGGGGTCCGGCCCCTAAATCCTAAGCCCGAAAATCTTAAATCCTAAACCCTAAATCCTAAATCCTAAATTCTAAATCCTAAACCCTAAATCCTAAATCCTAAATCCTGAATCCTAAATCCTAAATCCTAAATCCTAAACCCTAAACCCTAAATCCTAAACCCCAAATCCTAAATCCTAAACCCTAAATCCTAAACCCTAAATCCTAAATCTAGATTTTAGAGCTGGTTGTCCTTTTCCGAAAAGGACAGGCGCGACTAAATATTGAAATCCGGAAGCTTAAGAGCAGCCACACGAAAAGAAAGGAGGGGACCTCGAGATTCGCAACCGGCCTTGTCTAAAAGGCACATTTTATGAACAGAATTTGTCACTTGAAAATCACCAGCAAAAATCCAAATTTCCGGAGGCTAAATCCTAAATTCTAAATCCTAAACCCTAAATCCTAAATCCTAAACCCTAAATCCTAAACCCTAGATCCTAAATCCTAAATCTCAAATCCTAAATCCTAAACCCTAAATTCTCAAGAAAGTGATAAATAGAAATTGCTTGTCCTTGTTTGTAACCGCCGCTAAGGCCCAGCATTTCGGTTAAAACTGGCGTTAGCTTCTTGATAATCCAATTTCGCACAACCACAACCTCAACCATTAACTCAGCCCAGCCAACTCAAAACAGCCACCCGATCAGAAACGGAACAAGCTTCTTGATAAACCAATTTCGCACAACCACGACCTCAACTTCTAACTCAGCCCAGCCAGCCAAGCCAAACCTGTCCAGCCCAGCCCAGCCCAGCCGGCCCAACACACCGATTAAAAATTGAGTAAGCTTCTTGATAAACCAATTTCTCCACAAACTTGTAACCACCATTACGGCCCAACACGCCGCTTAAAATTGAACAGGCTTCTTGATAAACCAATTTCTCCATAACCTCCAACCCAGGCCCACCTTCCCAGACCCCAACCCCCAAATCCAGGCACACCTTCCCAGGCCCAGACCCCAAATCCAGGTCCCAAACCCCAAATCCAGAATCCAGGCCCAAGCCCCAGATCCTCCAAGCCCAGGCCCCAGACCCCAGGCCCCCAGGCCCACCCCAATCCAGGCACCAGACCCCAAATCCAGGCCCAGTCCCAAATCCAGGCCCAATCCCAAATCCACGCAGGCCCCAAATCTACTTCTTCAAATCCAGGCTCCAGACCCCAGATCCGGGCCTGGGCCAAATCCAGGCTCTAGACTTCAAATCCAGGCTCCAAGGCCCAGTCCCAAATCCAGGCGCCAGGCCCCTAATGCAATCCAGGCACGCCCCGCCCCAAATCCAGGCTCTAGGCCAGTCCCAAATCCAGGCCCCCAGGCCCCAAATCCAGGCCCCAGGCCCAGCCAGTCCAAATCCAGGCCCCAGGCACCAAAAATCCAGGCTCAAATCCACCAAATCCAGGTCCAGGGCAAACCCAAATCAAGGTCTCAGGCTCCAGGGCCCCAGGCCCCAAATCCAGGCTCCAGACCCCAAACAAGCTCCAAATCCAGTCTCCAGACCCCAATCCAAGCCCCAAATCCAACCTCCAGACCCCAAATCCAGGCCCAGACCCCAAATCCAGGCCCAGTCCCAGAGATTTGGAAACATGGTTCGCAAAAAAAAACGTTTCGTTCAAAACGTTTCGTTCAAAACGTTTCGGTCAATATTAAATGGGACCCAAACCCTTAACAATTTCTATAAATCCTAAATCCGAAACCCCAAATCCTAAATCCTCAAGAAAGTGATAAATAGAAATTGCTTGTCCTCGTTTGTAGTCACCGCTACGGCCCAATACGCCGATGAAAAATTGAACGAGCTTCTTGATAAACAAATTTCCTTACAAGCTTGTAACCGCCGTTACGGCTTGTCCTTGTTTGTAGTCATGGCTACGGCCCAACATACCGAATAAAAATTGCCAGGCACTTGAAATTTGCAGAGTCTGTACCATACAAAGATATGAAGTTCATGGGTGGACGTTGGCGTTACAAACTCACAGCGTCCTTGAAATTTGCAGTGTCTGTACCATACAAAGATACGAAGTTCATGGGTGGACGTTGGCGTTACAAAGTTACAGCGTCCTTGAAATTTGCAAGCTCTGAAGCATGACACATTCCAGGCCGGAAATGTGTCATCTTGTCCGCCTTACAGAAAGAAGCATTTTGCTCTTGTCTGCGAAGAAAAAAGAAGTTTTCTGCTTTGGCCAAATCCGAAATGCGGTCCTGAAGGGTTCAGGGACACCCTTCAGATCCTGAAGGGTTTAGGACAACCCTTCAGGTCCTGAAGGGTTCAGGGAAACCCTTCAGATCCTGAAGGGTTTAGGACAACCCTTCAGGTCCTGAAGGGTTAGGGAACCCTTCAGATCCTGAAGGGTTTAGGACAACCCTTCAGGTCCTGAAGGGTTCAGGGAAACCCTTCAGATCCTGAAGGGTTTAGGACAACCCTTCAGGTCCTGAAGGGTTCAGGGACCCTTCAGATCCTGAAGGGTTTAGGACAACCCTTCAGGTCCTGAAGGGTTCAGGGACACCCTTCAGATCCTGAAGGGTTTAGGACAACCCTTCAGGTCCTGAAGGGTTTCCCTGAACCCTTCAGATCCTGAAGGGTTTAGGACAACCCTTCAGGTCCTGAAGGGTTTCCCTGAACCCTTCAGATCCTGAAGGGTTTAGGACAACCCTTCAGGTCCTGAAGGGTTCAGGGACACCCTTCAGATCCTGAAGGGTTTAGACAACCCTTCAGGTCCTGAAGGGTTCAAGGGTTGAAGGGTTTAGGACAACCCTTCAGGTCCTGAAGGGTTTCCCTGAACCCTTCAGATCCTGAAGGGTTTAGGACAACCCTTCAGGTCCTGAAGGGTTCAGGGACACCCTTCAGATCCTGAAGGGTTTAGGACAACCCTTCAGGTCCTGAAGGGTTCAGGGAAACCCTTCAGATCCTGAAGGGTTTAGGACAACCCTTCAGGTCCTGAAGGGTTTCATTGAACCCTTCAGATCCTGAAGGGTTTAGGACAACCCTTCAGGTCCTGAAGGGTTCAGGGACACCCTTCAGATCCTGAAGGGTTTAGGACAACCCTTCAGGTCCTGAAGGGTTCAGGGAAACCCTTCAGCACTTTAATGTCGCCTTCCCACACCACTAGGAAAATACAACAGTTCATATTGCTCCCACAGCTGATTTAATTATTTAAGGTTGTCGAGCTTAAACTTATTTTGATTCCTCCACCTGCACTTATGAATGGATTTGTTAACCTATTGTTTCGCTTATGACGGATGACCCATAGTCTTCCCAAGGCAAAAATCCCAGGACAGTTATCTGAGACGGATGACCCATAGTCTTCCCAAGGCAAAAATCCCAGGACAGTTATCTGAGACGGATGACCCATAGTCTTCCCAAAACAAAAATCCCAGGACAGTTATCTGAGACGGATGACCCATAGTCTTCCTAAGGCGAAAAACCCAGGACAGTTATCTGAGACGGATGACCCATAGTCTTCCCAAGGCAAAAATCCCAGGACAGTTATCTGAGACGGATTACCCATAGTCTCATAGTCTTCCCAAAACAAAAATCCCAGGACAGTTATCTGAGACGGATGACCCCTAGGCCCTAAACCCTAAAGCCCAAACCCTAGGCCCTAAACCCTAGGGCCCTAGGCCCTAACCTTAAACGACGAAGGGGTTGACCTTAAACGACGAAGGGATTAGGGTTTAAATTATCATATGAAATAGAGGTTTAGGGTTTAGGGTTTAGCCCTCTAGCCCCCCCAGGCCCCACAAGCCCCCCAGCAGCCCCAGTCCCAGCAGCCCCACCAGCCCCAGCAACAGCCCCCCACACTTTCGTTCAAAACGTTTCGTCAACAAGTTTTGGGGACTCAATTTCTATGATGGTTCGACCCCAGCCCAGCCCCAGCCCCCGCCCAAGCCCCAGGACGGTCAAAACGTCTCGCTCCAAAGTTTCGTTCAAAACGTTTCGCAGCCCCCCAACAGATTTGGAGACATGGTTCGCAAAAACAAACATTCGGTCAAAACGTTTCGGCGAAACGTTTCGTTCAAAACGTCTCGTTCAAAACGTTTTTGGGATCCAAACCCTTAACAATTTCTATCTGCCGTCAGAACTTTCGGTCAAAACGTTTCGTTCAAAACGTTTCGTTCGAAACGTTTCGCATGGTTCGACCCCAGCCCAGCCCCAGCCCCCGCCCAAGCCCCAGGACGGTCAAAACGTCTCGCTCCAAAGTTTCGTTCAAAACGTTTCGCAGCCCCCCAACAGATTTGGAGACATGGTTCGCAAAAACAAACTTTCGGTCAAAACGTTTCGGTCAAAACGTTTCGGCGAAACGTTTCGTTCAAAACGTCTCGTTCAAAACGTTTTTGGGACCCAAACCCTTAACAATTTCTATCTGCCGTCAGAACTTTCGGTCAAAACGTTTCGTTCAAAACGTTTCGTTCGAAACGTTTCGCTCAATACGTTTTTGGGACCCAAATATGATCCTGCATGCAGCTGCAACATGCACGTTCTTGAGAATTAGGATTTAGGGACAATTTCTACAGCCCCAGCCTGAGCCCCAGCCCAAATCCTGCCTATTGCCTTGGACTCAGGGATCTCCAGGAAGCGTAGTCCCGGCTGCCACCGCCCCCGCGGGTCACGGCAGGCAGTGTCGCGGGCAGTGCTGGCAGACGCCAATCGGCCAATGCTCGGGGTGCCTGGGTGCGCGCCGGGCGTCAAATGCCAGTGCACCGCTTGCGGATCACACAGCTGTCCAGGAGGTAGACTTCAGTCATCAGACGGGCAGAGCTAACAAGGCCCAAATTGAAGGCCACCCCATTGATCAAACGTCTCGCTCCCAAGTTTCGTTGAAAGTTTCGCAGCCCCCCAAGAAATTTGAAAACATGGTTCGCAAAAAAAAACTGTCGGCCAAACTTTCGGCCAAACTTTCGGTCAAAACTTTCGCTCAAAAAGTTTTTGGGACCCAAACCCTTAACAATTTCTATAAATCCTAAACCTTTTAATTAAATCCTAAATCCTAAACCTTAAATCCTAAATCCTAAATCCTAGATCCTGAACCCTAAATCTTAAACCCTAAATCCTAAACCCTAAATCTTAAATCTAGATTATAGAGCTGGTTGTCCTTTTCCGAAAAGGACAAGCGCGACTAAATATTGAAATCCGGAAGCTTAAGAGCAGCCACACGAAAAGAAAGGAGGGGACCTCGAGATTCGCAACCGGCCTTGTCTAAAAGGCACATTTTATGAACAGAATTTGTCACTTGAAAATCACCAGCAAAAATCCAAATTTCCGGAGGCTAAATCCTAAATCCTAAATCCTAAACCCTAAAACCAAAATCCTAAATCCTAAATTTTAAACCCTAAATCCTAAATCCTAAATCCTAAACCCTAACTCCCAAATCCTAAATCTAGGTTTTAGAGCTGGTTGTCGAAAAAGAAAGGAGGGAACCTCGAGATTCGCAACCGGCCTTGTTTAAAAGGCACATTTTATGAACAGAATTTGTCACTTGAAAAGCACCAGCAAAAATCCAAATTTCCGGAAGCTAAATCCTAAATCCTAAACCCTAAATCCTAAACCCTAATCCTAAATCCTAAATCCTAAATCCTAAACCCTAAATCCTAAATCCTAAATCCTAAACCCTAAATCCCAAATCCTAAATCTAGGTTTTCCCGGGGGTGTCCCGGGGCGTCCCGGGAAGGGCCTGGGACTCCGGTCCTGGGGCGTCCCGGGGGGGGCCCGAGACAATTGTTTCGGGGGGGTCCCGCGACTCCCCGAGACAACCCGGGACAATGTCCCGGGGAGGCCCTGGGACAACTGTCCCGGGGGGGCCCTGGGACAACTGTCCCGGGGGGGCCCCGGGACAAGCGGAGTTTGCGTATGAGAAGTTACTACCTAGACGCTGAAGCCTGCAGGCATTAATCCTAAACCTAGAAGTAAACAACCCTAAACCCTAGAATCCTAAACCCTAAATCCTAGAATCCTAAACCCTAAATCCTAGAATCCTAAACCCTAAATCCTAGAATCCTAAACCTTAACCCTAGAATCCTAAACCCTTAACCCTAGAATCCTAAACCCTAAATCCTAAAATCTAACCCTAAATCCTAGAATCCTAAACCCTAAACGGTAAAATCCTAAACCCTAAATCCTAGAATCCTAAACCCTAAACTGTAAAATCCTAAACCCTAAATCCTAGAATCCTAAACCCTACATCCTAAAATCCTAAACCCTAAACCCTAAAATCCTAAAATCCTAAATCCTAGAATCCTAAACCCTAAATCTTAAAATCCTAAACCCTAAATCCTAGAATCCTAAACATTACCCTAAATCCTAGAATCCTAAACCCTAAACCCTAAATCCTAGAATCCTAAACCCTAAATCCTGAATCCTAAGCGCCCTCCAGAGTCAATGGTTCACGGTTTGGGGTTACTCTTTAGCTACGCTAAAGGTGGTCTGGATACGGCCAGCCCTTAATTGAGTTCGGACGTTGTCGTAAGCAAGGCCACGTTCGTTGGCCTGTCCAGGACAGGCGGCGAGGCTTAACCCTCGCCTTTCCGTCTCTCTTTCCGTATGGGCGCTCGGGCTGTTAGGCCCTCGGCCGAGCGCTCGGGGCCTGTCGTTCGACGGTTTCGGCCCCTCGCTTAGTTTAGGGTTGGCTTTGGGGGGTTAATAGAGGGGCCTGAATAATTAGAATAGGGTTCCTTTACAGGGGTTACTATAGGGGTTACTATAAGGCATCTATAAGCGTACTATCATATAGGGGCCTGAATAATTGGAATTGGGTTTTGGGTTTAGGGTTTAGGGTCAAGGGCTACTACGGTTGATGATATAAATCCTGCATTACCTTAAGGACCCTACCCTATGGGAATTATCGTCTATTCCTTATTCTGGGCAATGCAGGATTCATATCATCAACAGTATAGGCGCCTTAATAATCAGAATAGGGTTTTGGGGCCCAGTATACCATTATTTAGGGTTTGCCACGCCCTCTTCTTTCTACGGCTATGACTTATGGTTTCTGAACTTAGCCCTACACAGCAAGCTTTAAACCTTGAAACCAAACCCCCTAAACCCTAGACCCCTAAATCCCAAAACCCCAAAACCCCGAAACTTTGAGTCTTCACCGGCTGTCAAGCTCTCCGCCTGCAGCGACTCCGCACCCTCGGCTTGCCGGGAGGGCTTCACCTTGGCTCGAGGATTCCAGGAATCAAGGTGTAGCGTGCAAGTTTTGTTTTTTTTGAACGCCTTTTTCCAACTGCAGAAAAGCGTGCAGGGTTTAGGGCTCAGGGTTCAGGCCCAGTGCAGCGACCCTGCCCAAGGTAGGCTTGCACAGCACATTATCACTCAGCATGCTCACCCCGATTGACAATTTCGGTGGCTGCCGTCGCAGATACAAACATCGGAAGTTTCCTTCTCTATTTGGGTGGTTGTCAAAACTACGCAAGATCCCATTTTGGGTACCCTAAATAATAAGTGCCGTATTATAATAAGGACCCAAAAAGGGACCCTAATATTTCAAGGAGTCGGCACGGTTTAGGGCTTCGGGTTCAAGGTTTGGGGTTTACGGAAAACCCAAAACAACTCCAGCGTCCGGGAGGTGCATGTTACGGCCAGTAAAGAAACTGTTTTAAAAACCCCTCCATCCGCAAAACTAAGCCTGACTCCTATATAAGTCTTAAACTTAGCTTAATTCCTATTTAAGGCTTAAAGTTAACCTGATTCCTGTATAAGTCTTAAAGTTAACCTAATTCCTGCATAAGTTTGAAAGTTCAGGGTTTAGGATTTAGCAATCCACTGCTTAGCAGCTTAGCACTGCCCGACTGAAGCCTGGAACTGCCAAAGCCCTAATGTAGAGGCCTTAATAATTAGGTTAGGGTTTTGGGAGGTTATATAATACAACAGTTATAGTAGACCACCCCCAAAGTAGTGTTGGTGAATATTAAGGCCTCTATATCAAATCCTCCTTCATTGACTCCCGAATTGCTTGCAGACCGGGCTGCATACACAGGCCACGTTTCCACATTGTCCGGGAGAGTCACCTCCAGAGTTTTGGGTTTTAAGCGGTCTTCCGGAAAGGGAGTCTAGGTTAAATGTTGTCCTGCTACACTGCGTGTTTAGAGTTTAGGGTTTCGCGGCGTGGTACAAAGGCCTAAGATAGCAGAAAAAGGCTTGAAAGCTCTGTACTATGCATGAGCAGAGAACTTGTACTGTACTGTTTTTAGGGCCTGTGAAGAAATGCTGGAGTGGTTAGTCCGACCTCGACAATGTGAATATCAATTTTAAGGCTTGCCTGAAAAGCGGTCCAGGGGGCTCAAGGTTTCGATGGGATGGGCTTCGGTTGTGGATCCTTTAGGGCTTTCATAGTCTGTAGGGCTTTCGTACACCCTACGGCATACGCTCCCGCAACTTTCGGCGCAGTGTGCTTGTTGTGTTTTTGAAGGCGGTGGTTGGCGATTTCGGTGTGTAGGAGTACTAACAGTAGGCATTGTTGAAGTCGAAACTGTTGTGGATGTGGCCTTCACCTAAGCTATAAAATCAATGTTGTGGAACCCTCTGCATCCTCTTGGCTCCTAGACTTACGCACGGTTTGTAGCTTGAGGGCGGCCTGGGGTTTCCTCACGGCCTTTTCTGAGCGTGCTGATGCAGTCAGGTGAGTTTTTGCATGTGCATATATTTATCTCTAGAGAGAGAGAGAGAGAGAGAGAGAGAGAGAGAGAGAGAGAGAGAGAGAGAGAGAGAGAGAGAGAGAGAGAGAGAGAGAGAGAGAGAGAGAGAGAAGAGAGAGAGAGAGAGAGAGAGAGAGAGAGAGAGAGAGAGAGAGAGAGAGAGAGAGAGAAAGAGAGAGAGAGAGAGAAAGAGAGAGAGAGAGATTTATATGTATGTATTTGTACCTTTACGCGCATGTGCATGTGTATATGTTTTCGTGTATACATGTAATTCAAAATTTCTATGTACCTGTATATGTATGTATGTATGTATGTATGTAAGCAGCCAGACAGGCAGAGGAAGGGAGTCAGGGAGGTGTAGGTATATGTGCATGTGAGCGTGTGTATGACTTTGTGTATTTGCGTTTGTACAGGCTACAACCCCCAACCCCAAACAGTGGCCCAGAGTGAACGTAAACCCGAAACCCTAGACCCCTAAGCCCTAAACCCTCTTGGGATTCTCTGGGACAAGCCACGCGCCACTGGCGCCGAAGTTCCATCAGCTCGGCTATCGGTCGGAACTCTTTGGCCTCATCAGAGGTACAGTGCTGGAGCAATATAGGGGCTTCAATACTTAGAATCGGGTTTGGCACTCGTTATACTATACTTATAATAAGGAACCCAAGAATGGCGAGGGCACAAAAGCACGTAGCCGCCCGAATGAACGTTACATGCTCCAGGCTTGGCGAGAACAAATACGGGTCCCTTTGTGGGGTTCAGGGTAGAGGGTATACGAGCCCATACGACAAGGACAAAACCATGTAGGGCTCTCAACTCGGTCCCCCCCCCTTTTGCTGAAACCCTCAACTCAACTCCTATTCCCAAAGCCCAAAATCCTTAAACCCTAAACCTTAAACCCCTAAAGACACTAAGCCCTAAACCCTAAACCCTAACCCCTAAATCTTAAACCCCTAAACCCTAAACCTTAAACCTCTAAAGCCCCTAAGCCCCAAAGCACCGTCCACTCTGCTCTGCAGCCCGGAGTCGGGTGGCTGAAGCTTGAAAGGCTGCTGCCCCATGTTCACCTATACTGAACTAAATATGAACCACAAAAAGGAACTACTATGGGGCCTTAAGGTAACTATACTGAACTTAGAACCCTAGCAAAAACTATAATTTTAGCTGTTTCTTAGGGATTATAATAGCCAAAAATCAAAAAATTGTTTCCAAGTACCCCTAAGTCACGGTCATGGCACCCTTGTCCCCCGGTGACAGCAGCGCCTGAGGTTTAGGGTTTAGGGCTTCGGAGGCCTCGAAAGGTGGGATGAAGGTAGGTGGGATATTCCCAAATAAGAGCCCTTATATAAGGGATCCTGAATCCTACCTACCTTCATCTTTTGAGGCCTCCGAGGGCTCAGGGTCTAGGCTTCAGGGTTTAGCGCGAAGGATTCAGGATTCGGGATCTCCTTGGGCGTTGCCGCTTTGAGGCTCGGAGTTCTCTTCAGCTGTACCACCGCCAGCTCACTCAAGAGTGAGGGCTCGGTTTCACTGAGCGCACGTGGCGAAACTTGGTCTAATCCACTTCGCTCTGCTCTAGTATTTAAGGCTTGGGGTTTAGGGTTTAGGGTTTAAACGAGCACCTCAAACTTCGCGCAACCCCCATCTACCCTGATTTGGGGGGTTCCGAAAATAAGGGACCCTAATATAGTACCCTATATAATAGGATCCTTATATTACAAGTAAGGTACCCCTAATTTTCGGAATATCCCATGCGGGCTTGCTTCGACTTAGCATGCCGTTTAGATTCTGATCATGCACACTTTGTCGGCTAGGTGGCTTAAGTCGAACAATGGCGCCCTAGTAAAATCCTGGCGTCACCGGAATAACCTACTTGGAGGGTCGGGGGACTTAGTAAGTAGGTAGTAAGTAGACTTATAAGTACCCTAAAAGGGACCCTACTTGGGGTTATGGTACTTATAAGTCCCTAAAATAACCCGTTTCTAAGTCCCCCGACCCTCCAAGTAGAGTCCTAGAGTCCTCAACCCTACAATGAAATCCTCGACTAAACCCCCAAACCCACTCCCGTGACTTTGGGTCCAGGGCTCAAGCGCTCTATGGCACTCTGGCCTCAAGCCACAAACGAACCCTAAAACTCTAAACCCCGCAACCATTTCCGGCCCGAGCCGCCACCAGGGGCAAACCCACTTCGGAAGGCAACTCCTCGGCTGCCAGCTGCAGAAGCGTCTCGAAGGCAGGCTTGTCCTCGGTCAAAGCTCTAAGTTTAGGGCTCGGACTTTGGGGGATTTAGGGCTCCCGGGGGATTTAGGGCTTCCGGGGGATTTAGGGCTTAAGGGTCCCGGGGGATTTAGGGCTTAAGGGTTTGAGAGCTGTAGAAGTTGCGGAGTCAGGGTTGAGAGGGTTTTGGGTTTAGAGCTGTAGGGCTAATAGGGTCTAGGGCTTAGGGTTTATGGCTGTTTAGTGTTCTGGGCTTTGGGAAAGTATGCATGTCCTCAGCACCGTCAAAGCCCTGAATGCATTTCGCTTAGCTTGTGTATGTCTCTAGCTGTGCTTGTACGTGTTAGCTATGTGCATCGTGCTGCACTTGCTATTGTAGAGCATTCCGCACCCTTTACTACATTCCGCTACATCACAGCGCGGTTGAGTATGCTGTACTCCGAAACGCGGCCGAGCAACCACTGTTGCCACCCTGAGCTGCAGGTGATTTTCCGATTAGTGGCAAAGGCAGGCTCTAGTAGAGGCGTTCTTTCGTCAGGTGTTCCGGCGTTCTTTCGTCAGGAGGACTGGCTCAGGGTGCAAGGGCTGAAGAGTTGGGGTTACTGTTGAAATCAAGCAAAGTCCAACCTCCTCACGATCAACTTTGGGTAAGCACGGGCCAAGCTATCACAGAGGTGAGAGATCTTGGGACCCCAAGCAGCCCATCATCAAACCCTCAATCGTAAACCATAAACCTTAAATCCCAAATCCTTAACCATAAACCCTCTGGCGAATCCACACCTGTAAATCCTAAACCCTCAACCCTAAATTAAACCCTAAACCGTAAATTGAACCCTAAACCCTGAAACCCGTCCGTTCTGGGCGCCCCTGCTGCACAGAGCCGGCGTCGCAGTCCACGGCGACACACAGGACGATGCCATCCTTCCAAGCGGTACCTGGTGGCATTTAATGTAGGAACCTGATTAAGAAACCCTGGCCCCATAACCTCAACAAAATAGGATTCATAAAAGGAGCCCTAATAAAGACCCAAGGTTTCTTAATCAGGTTCCTAGATTAGGGCATACGTGAACCCCAAAGAACCTACCTTTTTTAAGAACTTATACAAAGAAGTCCTATTGGGGAACCCCCAAAAAGGTAGGTTCCGTGGGGTCCGGGTAGGGCTTAGGGCTTAAGTTCAGGGCTGGGTTTTGTGCTATGAGCTTAGGGCTTCGGGGGAGCTCGGGGCTTCGGGTTTAGGGCTTCAGGGTTGAGGGTTTGGGGCTTGCGGTTCAGGGCTGGCTTCGATACTGGGCCTCTTCTTGAGGTTAGGGCTTCGAGTTAGGAGTTCTAGTGTTTCCCTGCATAAAGGACCGGGGGACACAGTAAGTAGGACTCGAAGTCAGCTAGATTCATCACTACATCTATCTCTAAGTAAGGTAAAAACCGGCAACCTCAATCAAGGCATCTATAAGTATGCGTCAAACCCTAAACCCTAAACCCTAAATCAGGCACTATTCCTAGACTGCTCACGAGCCTGGGCTCCTAGACCCTAACCCCTGAAACTCTAAAACCCTAAAGCCCTAGGTATACTTTGGGTTCGAGGCGCCAAACCCTAAACCCTAAACCCCCTAAACCCTGAACCCCCTAAACCCTAAGCCCCTAAACCCTAAACCCCCTAAACCCCAAACTCCCTAAACCCTATAAGCCCCCTAAACCCTAAACCCCCTAAACCCCCTAAACCCCTAAACTCCTAAACCCCCTAAACCCCTAAACCCTGGAGCTTTCAGGGCCTTAAGCCGTGCACCGAGGCGCTCTTACCGTCGTCCTGCCCACCGTGGCGGCAAGCGCCGTTATGGAGATAGGCCCAGGTCCCCAAGTCCTCCCCCGGCGCGTAGTCGTCGTCCTTGGGGGGCAGTTCAACGATCTAATGTGGGAACCAGATTTTGAAACCTTGAGCCTTTTGTTAGGGTTCCTTTAAAGGGGTCTATAGGGGCTACTATAAGGGATCTAGAAGGGTACTGTAGGAACCTGATTAAGAAACCTTGGGCCTAAGGGTTCCTTTGAAGGGGTTTACAAGGATTACTATAAGGGATCTATAAGGGTACTATGATAATGTAGGAACCTGATTAAGAAACCTTGGGCCTTATTCGGGTTCCTTATATTATAAGTCCTACTATTTTGGGGGTGATAGGCCCAGGGTTTCTTAATCAGGTTCCTACATTAGCCCTTCAAAACCCTCTACGACCCCAAACCCCAAATTATAGTATAACGGGCCCCACAAAACCCTCTTCTAGGTATGGGCTACACTAGACATTAGTGTTTGAGGTTCTGGGGATTAGGGATTCACTCGGGGCTGCAGGGCTTAGGAGCATCTCGAGAGCCATGTTTGCGCTCTCCCGCTCGAGCACAAACTGAGCGTGAAGCGTTGCGGACTGTCTTTGGGGTCTAGAGGCTTCGGGGTTTAGGGTTTAGGGGTTTAGGGGTTTAGGGGTTTAGGGTTTAAGGTTCAGGGTTTAGGGTTTAGGGTTCAGGGTTTAGGGTTTAGGGTTTAGGGTTTCAGAGAATCAGGGGCCTGTGAGGAATGCTGAGTAAGGGACCTGAATATTTCGTCAAGCACGAAATCCCATACCTACAAGCCTGAACACTCGCGTTCCTGGAGCCCGACAACTGCGCCACACAGTCTGCATCGGAGCATCTCTGCTCTAACTATTTCAGGACAGTTGACCATATAGGGACAGTAAAGTAATAGCAACCCTCACAATAGCAGCAGCACCAGCAGCAGCAGCAGCAAGGCTAACGCTACGAGTGACATTAGTTTTAAAAAGTCTTTTAAACCCGGGAACCCTAAAAGCCTTAAAGCTTTAAGCCGTAAACCCTACAAGCCTAAAGCAGCACAACTCTAATACTCTGAAACCCTAAACCCTAAACCCTAAAACCCTAACACACATGAACCCTGAAGTCCCAAAAACCAGCTGAGGGTCGGCGTTCTGCAGCGCGAGGCCTAGCAGCCCACCATCGCCCGACTTCTCCACGGTGACTTCGAAGTAGACCTCTCAGGATTTGCGGGGTTCCTTCATGGGTTCTTGAAGGGGTGCTGTGAGAACTATCTAAGGGTTCTGTAAAACTGTTGTGAGGCTGCCGGAATCTCGAAGTAGACGGTTTCGGATTCAAGACTCCTTTGAAGGGTCCCTTTGAGAGTTGCAGAAGGGCTGCTGCAAAGGTTCTGTACTAGGGTGTTTGGCTTTGGGATGTTTTGGTGCATATCAGGGTTGCACCAATCGGATTCTACGTGTTGCTGTTTTGGCTTGGGGTTCTTTCTGCTTGGGCGTTTAGGGTAAGGGATATTCAACTTGCTCGTGGCTGTTGATAGCAGGTCGTCTTAAGCTAGTTCAACCTCTACATTATCTAGTTCCAAGCACAGCAGGTGTTGCCTGACGGAACCGTAAAATAAAACAACATCCATTTGGAGGTTTGCGGCTTTCCTTTTCTCTGTTCAAGAGTCGAGGGCTGGATTTTTTGGGGGTGTAAGCCTTAATTCTCCGGTTCACCCTTAACCCGAGTACCCCGCTTTCAACACTCCGAAACCCCACCTTTCCGGAGAGCTTGAATCGGTCCAGCGCCGCAACCTCCATCTGCTTTCGCTCATCTTCGTCCATGTCCTGGCTAAGGACTTCATTGAGTTAAAGCCTACGGCAACCGACAAAACAGGATCACTTTGGCAATGAGACAACGTGCTTTTCATGAACAAGCGTATCTAGCCACACACGTCGAGCGAAACGAAACATGAAACCCGAATTAAACCCTAAACTCCTAAACTCCTAAACCCTAAACCCCCCCATACCCCAAACTCCTAAACCCTGAACCCCTAAACTCCTAAACCCCCAAACCCTAAACCCCCATACCCCAAACTCCTAAACCCTGAACCCCTAAACTCCTAAACCCTACACTCCAGTTTCTCCAGGGTTTGGGCCCGCAGCCTCAGGGTTGGAGCTTTTACGGGCAGGGTTTAAAAGGTTCCTTGAAGGGTTCTCAAACGGTTCCTGTCAGGGCCCTATACTCACTGGCCCAAAACCCAAGGAAATAAAAGTTGAAACTTTCAGAATCGACTACCTTATAAGAACCCCAAAAGTTGAAAAGTTGAGTTTCAAATGGGAGATTCCGAAAGTTTAGGGTTTAGGTTTTGGGGTCCTTATAGTAAGGATCCTACTTTTTAGGGTACTACAATAGGGCCCCCTATTTTCGGAAAATTCCCAAATGGTTCCTGTCAGGGCCCTATAAGGGTTCATCGCATAATGGGTTTAAAGGGTTCCCAAGGATCACTGCCTCCGGGGGTGTTGGTTCCTTGACGGGTTCTACTAGGGTTCCTGTAGGGCTTCCGGTGAGGATTCATTGTATAATGGGTTCTACCAGGGTTCCTGCGAGGGTTCATTGTATAATGATTCCCTTTAAAGTAACAGCCAGAAAGTTGGAATATGATTATCCTAAACCCTTTATGGTAAATTACAAGGTATCCTACCCTGAAACCATATTCCCCAACTTTCTGAAGTTCCCTTTAAGGGTTCTACAAAACTTTCAGGCTGAAAAATCTACAGCTCAGGTTGAGCTTCTTGTCGCGCGCGCGCTCTTGAATTCACATCTTTGCCCTCTATGTGGGTGGTTGTTAAAATTAGGGTCCCTTTTTTGGGTCCCTATTATAGTGCGGCACCCTAATATTTAGGGTACCCAAAAAGGGACCATAATTTTGACAGCCACCCATGTAGTGGTAGGAGGAGAAGGAGGAGATGGGGGAGTACAAGTAGGAGATGGGGGCCTAAACCCTAAACCCTAAACCCTAACCTTAGGTACTGCCCCCATACATTAAGGCTCTATACTAGGGCTACTATGAAGGTCCCAATATATCTATACGTATGAATACTATTCAACTGTTACTGAATGGGGGCCGTACCCAACCCTAACCCCTACTTGGAGGGTCGGGGGACTTAGTAAGTAGGTAGTCAGTAGACTTATAAGTACCCTAAAAGGGACCCTACTTGGGTTATGGTACTTATAAGTCCCTAAAATAGCCAGTTACTAAGTCCCCCGACCCTCCAAGTAAACCCTAAACATGGGGGCTCGGAGTGTCGAGGCTCATGGTTCGGGTTGGCGGGCTGGGGTTTTGAAGACTGTGGTCGGCCGTAATATCGGTGCTTTAATAAGTGGACCAGCGTTTTGGCGATTGTTAAAGCGCCTCTTGTACCCCAAAAAAAGTATTGGTAATTATTAAGGCCCCTCTTGTAAGGCCTGACTGGGATGCAGCAAAGCTGCGTTCTTGGCAACGTTCTGCTTCTCGCAGCGAGAGCAGACGACGACCTCACAACCTTCTCATGCCATGTCGATGTAAGTTGTAAGGATAATTGCCATCGTGAGTGCAATCCTACAACCACCAGCATCACTGTCGTCATCATCGAACTCGTCATCGAAATAGCGATGCTCGTCGATGCCATCTTCATCATCTTAAGCAGAATCGTCTGGCAACACTCCACTGACCATAATCATAATGCAGGGACCTTATTCATTGGAACAGGGCTTTGGTGTATATTTGCACAAGAGCCAGCTTACAGCCTCAGGCCTGGTCCTCAAGGCCAAGTCCAGCATCGCCTAATCTTGGGGCCTTAGTAATAAAAACAAAGCTACCCTAACCCACCAGAACCTACTTTTTTGTAGGGTCCCCCACAATTCCATATTAGGGTTTATAGTAAGGGCCTACAAAAAAAGCAGGTTTTGGTAGGTTCAGGTATCGGGCCTCTATATTCTACGATGAGTACTCTGAAGGAGCTCTTCGGCCAACTGTTCTGATGCTAATTATTAAGGCCCTAGAATAGCCTACAGTAGAAGCCAGAAAGTTGGAATATCATTATCGTAACCCCTTTAAGGTAAATTATAGGGGATCCTACCATTAATCCATATTCCAACTTTCTGGAGTTCCCTTTATAGCTTAGTTTACAGAAACCCGAGATCCCGAAGTGGAGCCTGAAGCTCCGGATCTAGATGGGAGCTTCCGAAAATGAGGGGTACCTTATTTGGGGATCCCTCATAATAAGGATCCTACTACTGACGGTACTATATTAGGGTCCCCTATTTTCGGTAACTCCCATATGAAAGCTCCAAAACCCGCGCTCAAGAACAAATAAGACCAAACAACACCAGTGAAAGCTCTCGCCCGTCAGGGTTTAGGGTTTTGGATTTTGGATTGGTTTTGGGTTTTGGATTTAGGGATAAGCTAGGCTTCAACTCTTTAACTATGTCTCTGTGCTTTTCCGGCGGTGCTTGGGCTTCGAAGTTCCGGACCAAAACGACCCGGGTTTGGGGTTTAGGGTTTGGGGTTTAGGGTTTACATAGGGTTTAGGGTTTAGGGTTTAGGTAAGTGGCGTCCGCAATACCAGTGAGAGCCACTCACCTCGCGGCCACAGCGCTCACCTGGAAGTGTCAGAAGGGAACCTGAATACTATAAGGGCCGCCCTTAACGGTTTCGAGGGTCATTCGTAGCAGACATTGACATACTGAGTCCCCTAATCCTTCGAGCCGCCACACCCTAGACCCCAAACGCCTAAACCCCTAAACCCTCAAACCCCTGAACCCCCAAACCCCGAAACCCCTAAACCCAAACCCCTAAACCCCTAAACCCCTAAACCCCCAAACCCCTAAACCTCTAATAACCCCAAACCCCAAGCCCCTAAATCCTAAACCCCAAACCCCAACCCTGTCAGCGAGGCACACTCCATCTCGTCCTCGTAGTCGTCCGTGCTCTTCTTGCTGCTTAAGACGTGCTTACTGGAGCCTCGGAGCATCACGGTCTGAGCTTAGGGCTTACGGTTTAAGGTTTAGGGTTATGAAGGGTTTGGGGGTTTGAGGGCATACGGTTTAGGGCTTAGGGCCATTATGGGTTTAGGGGTTTAAGGGCTGGTTATTGAGGGTTTAGGGGTCTAAGGGCTTACTTAGGGTTTAGGGGTTTAGGGGTTTCGGGATTTAGGGATTTGGGGGCTAGGTCCCTGGTTTATGGTCTGGGGTTCGGGTGCTAAAACGGCGTTACAAGCGTTACATCTACAGTTCTGTAAGGGCTACATAGCGGCTGGTGTGAGAGTTAGCACGTAGGCTTCTAGGGACTCTGAGACAAGCCGCAATGCTATGTCCTTATTGTAAAGACCCCTTAACGTGACAGACCTAATTTCAGAACACTCCACGGGCAACAATCGTCGAACCCCATCAACAAGGCGGCCTACCACTAACAAACGAACACACGGTGACCCAATGAATCCCAGGAGCACATGGGCTTGCCCTTATTCTTGAGGCCCTGTGCCGTGATGCGGCAGCCGGAGGCACACTTCGTAACCTGAACGCTTGAGGTTCGGGGCTCAGGGCATTTAGGGCCTGGGCTTCGGGGGTCTCGGTGTTCGTGTTAGGGTTTGGGGCTTGGGGTTAGATGGGTTTAGGGATTTAAATTGTCCTGCGAGTGCAGGTTGTTGCATGTATGTGGGTGTACTCAAGTCTCTGCATCTACAAGCCACCCGCTCCGATACCTGAATGTCCCAACACCCTAACCCAACAGCCCTGAAACTTAGCGCCAAAACCGGACCGTCCACAACCTGCAATTTCCAATTTCACAGCGTCATCCGCGAAGCCCGAAACCGATCCAGGCAAGGCTCAAACGTGGGGTTTCACCAAAAGCCTACATGGAAAACAAGAAGACAAGGAAACGTGAACCTTGGTGGATGGTCTGGGGCTTGAAGTTTAGATGGGAGTTTCCGAAAATTGGGGGTACCTTATCTTGGGGCCCTTATAATAAGGATCCTACTATTTAGGGTACCATATTATGGTCCCCTATTTTCGGAAACCCCCAGAGTGCAGGTCCCAGTGGCCAACGGCGCTTCGCCCGTCAATTTGGGCTCGATGAGCTTCTCCAGGACCTGTTTGCACAGCTTCTCACGAGTCTTCTGTTTGCTGTAGGGTCTCATGTAGGAGCCTGATTAAGAAACCTTGGGCCTTTATTAGGGTTCCTTATATGAACCCTACCATTTTGGGGTTATAGGTCCAGGGTTTCTTAATCAGGTTCCTACATAAAGGTCTTCCTCGCCCTTTTGCGAGCATGTGAGGCGGCGTGTGTTTGCCGCTGGTTTTAAAGGGATCCTAAGGTTCCAGGTTTAGGGTTCAGGGTTTAGGGTTTAGGGTTTAGGGTTTAGGGTTGAGGGTTTAGGGTTTAGGGTTTAGGGTTTAGGGTTTAGGGTTTTAGGGTTGCGGCTTTCGTCATACTTCCGATGTCGCCTTACAGGCACATGAGTTGATGTCCTATACTGTTCGCACGGTTCTCCATGTGCCAGAGTTCCAGAAGCCGTATTAATCCTGAAGCCCACGCGCGACCCTAAACCCTAAAGCGGGTCCTGTTGACCCTGACTCGCAATTTACAAGATTCTATTCCTTCATGGGGCCTTTTTCGTCCTTGCTCGCACTTCATTATCAGTTTCCTCTTAGAGTAAGCGGTTCTTCTGGTAAAAGACATAAAACCTAACATATTCCGATATAACCAAAACTGCTTGAACCCTATGCGCACGTATCACCCAACTAGGCGCAGGGTTTTGGGGTATGTTGTCGTCTAGTTTAAACAAAGAAACTCATAATTTTACGATTGATACTATTACGAATTCTTCCCATCACTTTGTTGTAATTAGGGTAAGGAACCCAGGATTGCACTGTTAATGCCAACTCTACTTCTTCCCACTCCTATGTTCGCACACCCCCTTCAGCTGAGCGGCCGTAGCATCGACTCGGGTCGCAGACCAGGTCCCTGAGATCTCGTTAGCATCGAGGGACCACCAAAAGCCTGCCAGCTTTGAGCCACTTTGGTGTTTGGGGTATCCTACGCCCTAAAACCGAAAACTCTAAACCGACCTTAAGACTAAAGCCCCAAAGCCCTAAACCCTAAGCCTAGGGTTTCGCGTGTTGTTTGGATCTGGCTGCATTTCGGGTCTTGGGTTCTGAAAACAAAGGCTTCGAATTTGTGGGTTTTCGCGATCCGTACGCTCTGTCTACGAAAGCCCTACAAACCTCTACAAAAACCCGGCAAACTCTTTTTGTAAAAGCTGACTCGTCATCTATGGAACCACCGGAATCCCTAAACCCTAAACCCTGATCCCTAAGCCCTAATCCCTAAACCCTAATCCCTGATCCTTAAACCCGAATCCCGAAACCCTAATCCCTCAAGCCTAAACCTTCAACCCTACACCCTAAACCACCCCCCCGCCCCCCCGCTCCCCTCAGGTCTCCGGAACCTGTGATCGTGGCCACTGCGCCGCCGCGACGATCGAGCTGACCCTCCAGCATAGCGCGGCCCTTCCAGCCGTTGACCTGCCCAGGGTCAACACACTAATCAGGGGCTTAGAAGTTCCAGAAAATGCGAAGTGACGATAGGTTTCGGTTTAGGGTTTAGGGTCTTAGGGTTTACGTTTTGGGGTTTAGGGCGAAGTGACTATAGGGTGTTAGCCTTTAGGGATGTTTGCTAGTGGGGGATGCGCGAAATGGGGCGAAGGCTAAGGACTTAGGGCTCTTGAGGGTTTACTTGGAGCGTCGGGGGACTTAGTAACTGGTTATCTTAGGGACTTATAAGTACCATAACCCCAATTAGGGTCCCTTTTAGGGTACTTATAAGTCTACTTACTACCTACTTACTAAGTCCCCCGACCCTCCAAGTAGGGATGGTGTTAAGGTCTGGGAGTCGCCATGAGTAAAATGAATTCGAGGGAGGTTTAGGGATGCTTCAGAGCTCGTGCTTTTGCCCTAAACCTGAAACCCTAAACCCCTAAACCTAAAACCCGACACTCTGAAACCTAAAACCCTAAACCCCCAAAACCCTAAACCTGAAACCCTAAACCCCTAAACCTAAAACCCTACACTCTGAAACTTGGCTGATGGGAGGCCAAAAAGGGGGGTTTAAGATTCTTGGGGTTGGGATTCCTTAATACGAACCCTATTATGGGAACCCTAATCCCTACTAAACCCCCATAGGCTAAAACCCCCTTTGGCCTCCTACGATTGAAACAGAAGTTGCAGGGTCGACAGCTTCAGGACTCTGCAACTCGCTCCTGGCTCTGAGTTCAGGGTTCAAGGTTCAGGGTTCAGGCTTTAGGGTTTAGAGTAAGAACCCATCTTTGTAAGGACATATATAAGGACATCATAATAAGGAACCCTAAAAAGGTAGGTTATTCAGGGTTACGGTAGGGTTTAGAGTTTAGGGGGTTTATCGTGTAGGACTTAGGATTTAGGGTTCAGGGCTTAAAGTTTAGGGCTTCGGTTTGGGGTTTAGGATGCTTTCCGGCCTTCAGATCTGGGCTCCTATACAACTGAGGCCCTCGCAACAACTAAGCAAAAAGCAACAAAAAACTAAGCCCCAAATCCAAAAAAAAAACTAAGCAAAGAATGAAAAAAAACTAAGCCCCAAATCAGAAAAAGAAAAAAAAAAAAGGGAAGCAGGCGCCTGGAGCCGCAGGGAGCGGCTCTTCAGGGAGCCTTCGACAAGGGCCTTGCTGACCTGCGGAAGACTTTTTCATTACGGAATTTAGACGAAGTTACCGTATCAGGGATCGATGGTACGGAGTAGGGCTTCCTGAAAACCCAAATACCTAAACCCTAAACCCTCAACCCTATTGCAGCTTAAATCTTAATCCTTCACCAGCACCCGCAAGAGAAAGGGATGCTGGAGTTTCCCGGCTTTGGAGGGTGCAGGGCTTGGGGTTTCGGGTTGAGGTTTGCAGGTTTGGGTTTAGGGCTCGTAGTTTGGCATTTGTTGTTGGCATTTGGAGTTTGGTGTTTGTGGTTAGCTGTTTGAGGTTTTTGCTAGAAACCTCTCTATCCCTTGACTAATGACAACTCGCCAGTCAAGCCCACTATGACTTCCAATGAAACGGATTGTGAGCTGCGGGAGGCCATGCATCTTTGAGCTGCGAGCCCTATAAACCTTGGAGAGAGAACTCGTTCAGGGTTCAGGGCGGGATATAGGCTGAGTCTGTAGGGTTTAGGTGTCAGGGCTTAATGCCCAGGCCTAGACCCTGAACCCTCAACCCAAAACCCTATACCCCAAACCCCTAAACCCCAGACCCTATACATCCCTTAAAGGATCCCTTAAAGGATCCCTTTTAAGCCCTCCAGTCCTATCCGAAGAAGTGACCTGCCTTCGGGCCCCCGTCGGTGCTTCCATTCTCCAGCTCGGGCCCTGGTCCAGATTAGGGCTGAGGGTTTAGGGGTTCCTTTAAAGGGATCTCTAAGGGTTCCTTTAAAGGGATCTATAGGAGTTCCCTGAGTTCCCTTGAAAGCATCTATAAGGGGTCCTTGAAAGGGATGTATAGGAGTTCCTTTAAGGGTTTTTTAAGGGTCCTTTAAGGGGTCCTCAAGTTCCGGGTCTAGGGCTTCGGGGGTTTAGGGGGTTTGGGGGGTTTAGGGCTGAGGGTTTAGGGGTTCCTTCAAAGGGATGTATAGGAGTTCCTTTGGAAGGATCTATAAGGGGTCCTTTAAAAGGATCTATAGGGTTCCTTTTAAGGGGATCTATATGGGTTTAGGGTTTAGGGGTTCCCTTAAAGGGATGTATAGGAGTTCCTTTGGAAGGATCCATAGGCAACTCAAGAGTCCTATCCTAGGCCTAACAGGGGACCCAGAGCCCCTTCAACCCAGAAGCCTCGTTGAATCTTACAGAGAGATCCGGGTTCAAGGGTTTAAGGTTTTGGGCTTGGGGTGTGTATTTGGAGAGGTTTACAGGGTAACTAGCTTTGCGCGGCTGACAGTCTCTTCCTGTCCTTCCTGTTCTGGGAGTCTTTTGAACACCTGCTGAAGTAAACACAGCAACGAAAAAAGTCATCAAAAGCTACGAGTGTGATGCGTGGCGTAGCACTTGCATCGGTTTGCAGTGGATCAAATGGATTTAGGCTTTGCGGTTTGGGGTTTAGGCTTGAGGGTTTAAGGGTTTGGAAGTTTAGGGTTTAGGGTTTTCTTAACCTTACTGCTGCGAAAAACTGCGCAGTAAACATGAACCGACCCTTCGTACCCTTAGCAGCACACAAAGCAGTGACCCACCCGGCCTTCCAGCAGGGCGCCGTGAACGGCACCCGACCGCGACTCGACCGCGAAATGGACCTCAAAGAACCCAAGAAACGATCACTACAACTCACGGAAAAAGGGCCTCTCATGGCAGGGCTTCACAGAGCTCCGCGCCGTCAGCCACATGGTGTAGGCATAGGCCTGCGCATCAGAAAACCAACAATGAAAGTCACCGTGCAAACGAAGATGACATCACTCATGACCTTTGACGACAAGGATGATGCCAAGTGATGACGATGCTGAAGGCAGTAGTGATGGGCCATTGTCGTGGTTTAACCGAAAAGTGCAAGCACAGGCAGGCCAGGGTCCGGGTTCAGGTTTGGGCGTTCAGAGGTTTAGTCGTCAACACTGTGCTGTGGCTTGTGCAGCTTTCTACTGACACCTTTACACCTTTAAGTTCAAGCCTGACTCAAGCTCTATACCGTAAACGCCCAAAAACCCACAAACACCAAACATCACCTCACTCAAGAGCCCCAAACATAAACCTTAAAAAACCTAAACCCAAACCCCAAAACCCGCAAACGTCGCGAGGACCCCCCCCCAATGTCCAAAGCTTCGCCCGTCTTGCCTGCGCCCCGTCCTGCAGGCCCACGGACACCTGGGTTCTTGTGCAGGAGCTGATAAGTCACCATAACTAGATGCGAATCGGTTTAGCAGCCCCCAGTTTTAAACTGTTTTAAACAGCAGGGGCTTAAAGTAGACGAGCCGCGCGCCTGAATCAGAAGTGCCATAGTCGGGGTTTTGTGAATCGAGGGTCTATACTACACGGACCTTAATACTTGATCCTCATAGTAGGCCTTATAGTGGCCTTTAGAGACCCCTTTCAAGGAACCCTATTCTAATTATTAAAGCCCCTACATGATGGTACCCTTATAACAATAGACCCCTTATAGTAACCCTCATAGTAGCCCCTTTAAAGGAACCCTATTCTAATTATTAAGGCCCCTATAGTACGTTAACCATGGCCCAGACACGCGCCAGAGACCAGCCAGGCGAGCGGACTCGTCCACTACGCGGGTGGCCGTCCAGCGACCCTCCTCAGCTCAACTTGGGCTTTCAAGGGTTGTGAGGGGTAGAGTTTAGGGTTTAGGGGTTTTAGGATTTAGGGTTTAGGGCCCAGCATATCTTTAAACTATCGGCCAGAAAACCCTTGTGGTTTTTATGCCCGTTGTGCAAACGCCGCTTGCATGAACTACGAACTTCGGCGCATCTGTCTGCACCTTAGGGTTTAGGGTTTAGGGTTTAGGGTTTTGGGGTTAGGGTTTAGGGTTTAGGGTTTAGGGTTTAGGGTTTTGGGGTTAGGGTTTAGGGTTTAGGGTTTAGGGAAAGCCTGGGCCACAAAAACACACACAACAATTGCAAAAAAAAATGGTAGCGATTGCACGTTAGTGATCGTCTCGGGGTAGTGAGGGTAGTACATAGTCCCAATACCGACTGCATCCTACATATATGTATATATATATATATATATATATATATGTGTGTGTGTGTGTGCACGTATACACACACAGGATTGAATGAACAAGTAAATAATGGTCGGGTACATGTAACAAAAAGATATACCTATATGTGAATAACTATGTGTGTACGTGTGTAAACGTGCGTGAACATATACATGTGTGTGTTTATACATATGTACAGAAGTGTGTTATTTACATATATATATATACATATATATATATATATATATATATATATATATATATGACCATATGCATATATATATATGTATATGTATATGTGTGTGTGGGCTTACCCAAAAAATGGAAAACATGTCGAACCGCAAGCATTCCTCCAAAAACCCTAGACCCTAAACCCCTAAACCAACTCCGAAGGCAGGCCAGGAAGCCGTGGCCGGCGGGTTCGTGCCCTCTGGCAGCTCCTCCCACCAAACGGGAGTTTCCGAAACTCAGGGGGTACCTTTAAAGGTATCCTCTAAGGGTTCCTTAAAGGGATCTATAAGGGTTATATAAAGGATTTAGGGTTTAGGGTTTAGAGTTTTCGAAAATTAGGAGTACCCTATTTAGGGGTCCTTGTAATAAGGATCCTACTATTTAGGGTACTATACTAGGGTCCCCTATTTTCGGAATGCCCCCCGTCAGTTTCACGCTCAGGGGCATAAGTAGAAATTCGTTCAAAGGATAATTGGAAGGTTACCAAAAGCTAAACACTAAACTAAGCACAAACATATGGGTGGTTGTCCAAATTATGGTCCCTTTTGGGGTCCCTAATATAGTACGACACCTCATATCTAGGGTGCCCGAAAAACGGCCATAATGTTGACAAGTGCTCGGTTCTCTAAAAGTTACGGTAGGAATCAGCTACTGTATTGGCTCTGTGGGATTTCGGGCTTAGCATTTGGGGTTTAGGGCCTAGGGCGGTCTTGGGCTGAAACTTCTTATGCCTGATCTCGAGTTTGCTTTTCACTGCTAGGATGGCCCGTTAAAGCCTCTGAAAATAGTCGTAAATAGGGTCCTATTAAGCCCAACAAGGGAAAATATAAAATGTCCCAAAGGCCTACCTAGACTGTCTGGGCCTCACATGACAGACCGGAGCTTGAAGAGCCTGCTTTAGGGTTCAGGGTTTAAGCTTTAGCGTTTAGGCTTTAGGGGTTTAGGGTCTAGGTTAGGGCCTAGGGTTTGCGGTTTAAGGTTTCGAGTTTAGGGCTGACGAATCAAAGTCTCCGCAGCTTCGTGGCTTCTTGTCTCGAGCCTACAACGATGCGGAAGATACTGGCCGAAAGGCACGTTCTTCCGAGGCTTTGCAAGGGCTTTGCGTAGGTGTCAAACAAGGGCTCTATGAATGATTTGCATCGCTCTGACTCTTTGTGTAGGCCCAATGTCGGCGCGACATGACACACAGATCTCTGAAATCCTGAAACCCGACACGACACAGGCCCAGTAACTACGTTACAACGCACCCTTTTTCTGTTGCTTCTCTGTCCGCAAAACCCAAACCACCCGCAGCCACCCTAAACCCTAAACCCCTAAACTCTAAACAGGTCCTCCTCCACCGGGTTCGCTGCACGCCACTCGCCCTTCAGAACGGCTGTGGTGTCCTGGGGCGGGTCAACAAATGCTCAACGATAGGTCCAGGCTGTATTTAAGGGTCCTTCAAGCCCTGTACAGGGCTGGTTACGTATTAGGGGCCTCTTTTTTGCAAACCGTACAATAAGCTGCCCGAGTTGACATTCAGGTATGGGCCGTCTTTTTATTAGAAGCTTACACAGTAACCTTTGAAAGGTCGAGGCTAGAGTCAGACCGGCTCCCACTTGTCGGGCATCATGGGGAACTCAAGGATAACCTTTTTGAGTTATCTAGGGATTATATAGGGACTATACTACCCAAAAAGAGGTTAAAGACTCTACTACTAGGAACCCTAAACCCTAAATCCCTAAACCCATAAAACCCAAAAAAAAACCTAAACCCTTTTAAGGAAAGGTTACCTACTCTACTACTAGGGGCTTGTCCGTTTTAGCCATTATCAGAAGAGTATAGGTCTCATGGGCTCCTGTTAAAGAACTTAACTTATAAGTTACCTAATAGGGATCTATAAGGGTTCCTTCAAGCGTTTAGGGTTTAAGGTTCTTGCTCGGGAACTTAAGTTGCCATAGTTTAGGGTCCTTTAAGGGTTCTATAAGGGTTTAGGGTTAAGGAACGTAACTTAAGTTACCTAATAGGGATCTATAGTTTTCACAGTATGGTTTCCGTAGTATGGTAACCTAAACTAAATCCCTTAACAAGAACCCAGTCTCATGGGATGCGACGTTTCAGGTCTGTCAATCTTGAAAACAGAAACTTGCCGAAACAATGGTACAATCTTCGCTTCAAATGGGTTTTAGGACCGACTTGCATAAAGCTTCGCGGAGTCAGGGGAAAAGCACTGTCTTTGCTTAAAACCTACAGGTTCGGATGGTTTCTCCTGAAAGCCTGGTAGCCTGATCTGCTGCTGAGCTGCACTTTCGTCCGTCACGGCACCATCAAAGCCTGGAGTGACGCTGGCAGCTGAGGGCTTCAGGGGTTTACATGGTTCGGTGTTTACTTGCAGGGGTGCTTGCGCTGTGAGTTATTGACTTTAGAGGTGTAGCAGCAAAAGTCCGTAACATTAGCGGCAGCAGTAGCAATACGGTAGTACCGACAACAGTGATTGGAGTAGGAGTACCGGAAACAGTAGGAGTGGGAGCGGGAGCAGGAGTGGGAGTGGGGGTGGGAGTGAAAATGGGAATGGGAGTGGGAGCATCGTGTTGTAGTGGCAGTAAGTGGTGGTAGTGGCAGCGGTAGCGGTAGCGGGATTAGCAGTGGGAGTGGGATGTCGCAGTGATAGCCGTAGCGGCAGCGGTAGCAGTGGCATTAGCAGGTGGTCCAAGTCGTAGTCGTCGTCGTGCCCGTAAACGTGGTTGCCGCGTGGTAGAAGTAGTGGCAATAGTGGTAGTAGTGGTAGTTGCACTGGCTCTATTAGTAACGGTAATGGTACTAAGATTCCATCAGCGTCTTGTCGTCACCATGTCGCTGGCAGTAGCAATGAAAGCTTCAGAAACAAGGCTTAGTGTCTGAAAAGAATCAACAAAGATAATGGAACAGCAAGTAGCATCACGGCGGCGCGGTCATATAATGTTGCAGGACCGGTCGCAATACCATTCATAGCAGTCTTTTGGTAAAAGAAAGACTATCTGCAAGAGTGGAACTGTTCTCATGGTAGTCACAGCAAGAGCACCAAGGCGGCACTAACTGCAGCAAAACTTTAAGCCATGCTGATTGTCACGAAAGGAGTACCCCGTACTACCACTGATCACAGTGAAAAAACCCTAAACCCTAAACCCTAAAACCCTAAAACCCTAAACCCTAAACACTAAGAAAAGGCCAACAGTGTAAGGCACCGGCAGAACTGGACCGTTGAGGGTTGCTCTTCCTCTTCTTCCTCGTCCTCGTCGAACCTTGCTACGCGGGCTTTGCTTGCTAAACAGATCAAGGGTGTCGGGATTTTTCTGGTATCCATCTGCTGCGAGACAACAAACTGATGCTATGACGCCTTCCCACAACATTCCTCCATGCGGCTGAAGGCTCCAGCATTTGGGAGTTTCCGAAAATTAGGGGTACCTTATTTTGGGGGGTATAATAAGGATCCTACTAGTTAGGGTACTATACTAGGGTTCCCTATTTTCGGAAACTACCATTTAGGGCTGCAACATAGCTGCAACGAAACCCTCAATTAGACCTGAAAACCGTGACCTCCGAGTCACCCCAAAGAGACTCAAGTCGCACGTTCGCACACGGTGCGTCTGAGGCCCCGACGGGTCCTTCTTCTGTGCAGAGGACTTCTTCTGCTCCCCGAACATGTCCAGTTTTACTTGCCGTCCCACGAGCTTTCCCTGGTGAAATGCAAAAGCTGTCAGCTGCAAGCACTAGTTCACTAGTAGTAGGAGCATTATTAGCAGTCGTGGCTTTCTCGTCGTCGTAGTAGCTGTACGGACTACGACGACGACGACTGCTACGACTACGACTACGAACGACGACGACTACTACTGTTTGCCCAAAAATCGTATACTAGTGATGACTGGAAGAAAGTCTGCTGCAATCCGGCCTCGCTTCTCAAGGAGACAATTCGAACCTGGGCTGCAGATCAAGAACGTATGAAACATTGGGTTGTAGCTCGAGGGCCTCCGGCACGGTTTGGGAATAGATACCACTGCCGGAACATATCTATACTGAACTTAGAACCCTAGCAAAAATTATAACTTTAGCTGGCTCTTAGGGATTATAATAACCAAAAATTTTAAAAATATTTCTAAGTACACCGAAGACTAAGATAAGGGAAGTTCCGGAACTTTCCAAAGTGCCCACAGCCCCAAGCACGCCCTGAACCCTTAAATCCTCGAACTCTAAACCCAAAAACCCAAACATGCCGCCTGGGCACCGCCTTCTTCTCTTCCTTCTTCGGCTTCTCCTCCACCTGGCTTGTGTTCGCGGGCTGGGACGCAAAAATGTCTGAAGAACGGGGGCAATGAGTGTAATACAAGGATATGAAATATTGGAATAGGGTTTTGGGGTGATGCAGGCGAAAGCCTGTCGACGAAGAGCGAAATGCGGGGTAGTGTATACCATAACCATTATAGGCACCAAAAGGGGAAGCATCACTAAGGGTTCAGACCTCTCTATTACCCTGCGGCCCCCAAAATAGTATTGCTTAGGCCCTTGATCTTGCTAAAGTTCAAAAGTCAGGAACTGCGACACACACACACACACACACACACAGTGATGCCGTAAAGGAGCACTACAGGCAACCCCGGCGAAAGCCATCTTTCATCCCTGGTTTAGGGTTTAGGGTTTTGGGTTTAGGGTTTTGGGTTCAACTCCTCTGCAATACCTAAGGAATAGACGCTCGATCTGAAAAGCACGAGGGATGAGTTCAAAAGCGCCCTTTTTTGATCACGGGATATTGGCATCCCTGAAGGCTCCCTCAAAACGGCTTCCGGAGCTGGAGACTGGACTTTTGACTTGTTTAGGATTGGTGGGGTCTAGGGTTCTGAGTTGAGGAGTTTCGGGAATCTAGGGATGAAGAGGTGTTGTGCTGATGCAAAGGTTGTCAGCAACTCGCACTAAATTACCAGTACGTCCGGTTTTACCGGTGCTGCTTCGGATCAGTACTGCATGTTTCGTATCCTCTTGAAAGCCTCATGCCTAAACGCCACACCTCTAAAGCCTGTTTAAAATCCAGCAGCCCCAGTGCCTCCCTATAAAACTCATAAAACTCGCCAGAAACCCCAAATCCCCTGTTTAATCCCTCAAACCCAGCCCCCTAGAGCAAAGCGGTCTGCCACCTTCTCCTCGGGATCGGAATCGGAGCCGTAATCACTCTCGCTGTCGTACTCCTTGGCGAAAGGCCCAGTAGGCTTTAGCTAGAGGGCTTTCGCTTTTGGGCCTGGAGTTCCGGAAGACATTCTCGAATTCTTCTCCGTGTTGGTCACCGAGTACTGGCGAAGTACTTGTAGCCATGACATAACACGAGCAGAAATCATCATCCTCATCGCAGCATCAGCATCACCACGTCCTTCATGCGCATCATGCCGCAGCTGCTGCTACTACTACTACTACTACTATACTACTACTACTTCTACTACTACTACTACTACTACTACTACTACTACTACTACTACTACTCCTGCTGCTACTACTACTACTACTACTACTACTACTACTACTACTACGCTACTACTACTGCTACTGCTACTACTGCTACTGCTACTGCTACTGCTACTGCTACTGCTACTGCTACTGCTACTGCTACTGCTACTGCTACTGCTACTGCTACTGCTACTGCTACTGCTGCTACTACTACTACTACTACTACTACTACTACTGCTACTGCTACTGCTACTGCTACTACGACTACTACTACTGCTAATGCTACAGCCACAACTACAACGGTTCTTCTTCTGCTGCTTTCGGGTTTCTGAAGCCCGAAATCTCTCGAATTTCGAAATCTCGAAAAATCCTAAGCCCTGCAGTCCCGCCCAAAACACCCCAGAATCCTAAACCCTAAGACCATCATACCTCTCTATATATACACATCCCCAAACCCCAAAAGCCTTACTTAAAGGCCCTCTAAAACTCTAAACCCTAAACTCTGACCGCTCTCAGCGTCGGAATCGCCGCCGTAGAGCTCCTCAAAGAACTCTTCCAGTTCCCCCTCGATGCCATGCTCTTCCAGGAGTTCGTGCGCCTCTGTTTTTTGGTACTTGGAGGGTCGGGGGACTTAGTAACTGGTTATTTTAGGGACTCATAAGTACCATAACCCCTATTAGGGTCCCTTTTAGGGTACTTATAAGTCTACTTACTACCCTACTTACTAAGTCCCCCGACCCTCCAAGTAGTGCATTTGTGGCGGTCCTTTCCGGCGTGCTGTCGGATCTTATCTGAGCTTTCCGAAGTTCTAACCAGGTTTCTTGTGGCGTTTCCAGTTCAGGATTTGGAGGGGTCGGGTTCGCCTCAACTTATCGTATACGCATACCGGCGATATATTAATTATCCTACAGTCTGAAACTCCTAAAGCCAAAACCTTAAAGAAGCCTTCGAAGGAGCCCCCTCAAGGAACTGCCCTCAACCCTAAAACCCTGAAATGCACTACTACAGAACCCATACAGAATCTCCGGCACTCTGGACCCCGTGAACCAGCCAGGCTGCCTTTTCAAGCAAGCCAAAACCTTGTAGAAGCCTTCAGTTTAGGGTTCAGGGTTTAGGGTTTAGGGTTACCAAAGCAACCCCTAACGGAATTCTGAACCGTGTGAACCAGCCATGCTGCCTTTTCAAACTTGTTCTCGAGGCCGCAATTCTCGAACTCTCGTCGGAGCTTCTTGTGCTTTTTCATGTCCTGGCATAGGGCACATAGGGTTTATCGTTTAGGGGTTTGGGGTTTAGTGTTGGGAAAAGGGTCTTATACAGCTTCTGATTTCAACTCTAGCGTTTAGGGCAATGAGCTTAGGATGTGAGGGTTTAGGGCTTAGGCTCAGCAGCTGGCCCTTGTCCCTCCGCCGAAAGGCGTTCAGAGCTCGGGTTTGTCCCTTCCGGAAGCAGAAGGATCACAGGTCAATGGCAGCTGTGGCCCTCAAAGAAAACCCGAAACCCTGAACCTTAAACCCTAAACCCCAAAATCCGTAAACCCTATACCTTCACCCTAAACTTACAAGATCTCCCAGGAGCCAAAGGCCTGAATCCTGATTATTAAATACGAGTGTTCCAAAAAGTCGGGATCTTGTAACCCTAAGCCCTCAATCTGGCGTCTCCAAACTTGTCTCGTCATGCTTCGAGGGCTTGGGTCGAAGCTCAGAAACAGCCCTGGCCCTAGTTCCTGAAAGCACACTTTTCAATGAGGCTCTCGAATCACTCACATCTCAAGGATTTGGGATTGCCTATACCCTACACCCTATACTCTAAGCCCTGCAACCTAAACCCCGAAAACCGGAAGCCTAAGCTGGAAATCTAGACTTCTTCGGATCCTTGAAGCACTGGAACATCTTCGTCGAACCCTAAAATCTAAACCCCTACACCACCAAAACTGTTAAAATGTTACCAAAAAACCCTAAACCCTACACTCCTTGAAGCACATTCATAAAAAATCCAAGATGTTACCCAAAAATCCCTGAACCCGAAACCCTAAACCCTACACTCCTTGAAGCACATGCCTCCAAAAAACAAGACGTTACCCAAAAAAACAAAAAAAACGCAACCCTAAAAACCCCTACACTCCTTGAAGCATTGGAACATCTTCTTGTAACCTCGCAGGACTTGGCCCAGGTCCCCGTTGTAGTTCTCCTCGGCTCTAGGGGCCCTCGCTTCGGGGGGCTTCGGAGGTTTTCTTTTTTTTGAGGGCTCTTTTCACGGTTTAGGGTTTAGGGTTTAGGGTTTACGGCCTACGGAAGCCTACTAGAGGCGAACAAAAGCGGCTCCCTCGTGCACCTCCACTTCCTGGAAGGAAAAACCACGATAACTAGACCTAAGAGTAACCTAGGAATAAAAAGGGTGCCCTGTTTGGTTTAAAGGGGCTTATAAGGGAACCTGAACCCTAAAAAAGGGAATAAGGGCCTACTCTAGGTCCTAGATAAAAGTCGACCCCGGCCATCACAGACCGGCCATGCAGCGGCGGAAGATTCTCAACACCGCAACCCTTGGACCCTAGAAAACAGAACAGAGCAACATGCACCGAATTCAGTGGACACAAAGTCTCTTCGCGAAGATAAGAAGTACTTTGCACAAGCTTGCACTGAATTACGCGGACAATCAAGTCTCTCTCGTATCGGCTTCGGAGGGTTTAGGGTTTGGGGTTTAGGGTCTAGGGTTTAGGGTTTAGGGTTTAGGTAAGGCCCTTTTTCCGTCTGCAAAGGATCTTTGCTACAGAAAGCCCCGGGGGGTTTAGGGTTTGGGGTTTAGGGGTCAGGATCTGGATGGATCTTAGGGTTTAGGGTTCAGGGTTTGGGGTTTAGGTTTTAAGGTTTAGGGATTGGCGTTGGGCTCTTCGGGTTTACTTCAAGATTACGCGAGTTTTGGCTCTCCCAGCTCGAGTATCTTGGGAGGCACTTGCCTCCATACCCTAGACCCAAGAGTAACCTAGGAATAGAAAGGGTGCCCTTTTTGGGATAAAGGGGGCTATAAGGGAACCTAAACCCTTAAAAAGGGAATAAGGGCCTACTCTGGGTCCTAGTACCTTGTGGGAGCAACATGGAGCAACGGGGCATGAAGCTGAAACTCACCATTACGGTACCTATTGTCCCTGTCACAAAACCCACAGAATATTGTGGACGGCTTCCGTGCATGACCCGCGACATGCGTTCAGAGCCTTTTTGGATAAGACTGTGGTTTACCGTAGGGTTTCGGATTTAGGCTTTAGGGGTCTAGGGGCTTAGGGTCTAGGGTAACCTTCCCTAAAGGCCCGAGTCTCGAGGATCTCAAGGATCTCCATCGTCGCATCGTACATGGGCAGGATCGCTTCGCTCAGCGTGTCCCGGTTCACCTCCCTGTCTTCGTGTTCGCTCTCGGCGTCTTCGTTGTAGTCTTCCTGGGTTCTTTTCTTAAGGAAACTCGTTTCAGTAGCCATAGAACGGATCTATCGTAAAATATGTCATTTCTGCTAGGACCTTAATAATTCGAAGAGGGTCGAATAGGGTTCTGGGGCCCATTATACTATAACTACAACAAAGAACCCCTTATTATAATAACTTAAACAAGCCCATTATACTATAACTACAATAAAGAACCCCCTTATTATGATAACTTAAACAAGCCCATTATACTATAACTACAATAAAGAACCCCCTTACTATGATAACTTAAACAAAGTTCTGTCCCGGGTTCCTCCTCGGAGCTCTCGCTGTAGGCCTTCTTCCGCCGGGGCTTCCTCGGAATCTCCTCACACTCCGACTCCTCGCCCTCCTCCTCGAGCCGAATGTCGCGCTGCTCGCGCTCGATCCTAGCTATAATGGTTGGGGTAGGATTAAGAATGTACATTATTATTCCTTATTGGGTTTAAATACCCAATAAACTCGTAAAATGTTACCCAACTATGACAAAGGATCTCGGCCATGAGGTGAGGGTCCTCATCAACGTCCTCATCGTCCTGAATCATAGGGTTTAGGGATCGGGATCTATACTCCGATACTCAAAGCCCCACCATGGCAACCCTAAACCCTACATAAACCCCAAGCCTAAGCCCCAAACCCCAAGCCCTAAACCCTAAACCCTAAACCCTAAAGCCCTAAGCCCTAAACCGTCCGGAAGCTCGATCTTCCCTTCCATCAGCTCAATCTCTGGCTTTGCCGCTTGCACAGGGGCCTCCGGCACGCTGGCCTTCCTGGGATCGCAGAGAGGAATGAGATTTAAGCTATCAGAATACAAGGAAACCGTACTACTTGGCTTCAGGGTTTAAGGCGTGTTTTTGATCCCTAGCGTTGCAGCTTACAATATAAGTTCCTCAAAAGACCGAGCCCAGCTCAGCTTCCGGTGGACGATCTGCTTCTTGCGCTTGTGCGGGATGCCGTCGCCCTGGATCCTTCCCGCGGCGTCCACAGACAAAGTCACCTGGGAGTTTCCGAAAATTCGGGGTACCTTATTTTTTGGTGTCCTTATAATAAGGATCCTATTACTTAGGGTACAATATTAGGGTTTAGGGTTAGGGTTCTTTTAAGGCGCCACTTTAGAGAGACCTATAATGGATCCCTCTGGGTTTCTTTAAGGGATCTATACGGGTTCCTTATTTAGGGTCCCCTATTTTCGAAACTCCCACCTGCCACACGTATCCCTCGGCCCCCGGGGGAGCATCACCTTCGAAGGTGATCTCCTGGGCTCTCTGCTTTTGGGGGGGTTCCTTTAAAGGGGTCTATATCTTTAGATCCTTAGCTACCTTATCCTGGGAAACATATACTGAATAATGTAGAGTTTCCCGAGTGTGGTACTCGGGTTCTAAATTAAATCATTTGGGTATCCTAATTAGCAAAAATTAGGGTAAGCTTCAATTCAACGAAACTCCCCATAATGCGAGAATTCCCGTATTTCGGGTAGCTTGAAATATGGACTCCTTAAGGAGAACCCAGGCCCCCCAAAACCCTAACCCTAATCTAGGGGCCTTAATATTAATTTGAGTAGGGATTCGTGGTATATTATACTTTGATCAAAAAAGGAACCACCAAAATAGCTTTGGCTCCTTTGTTAAGCCCCAAACCCTAAACCCCGAAACCCGAAACCCTCGCCTAAATCCCTAAACCCCTAAACCCTTAATCCCTAAACCCCCTAATTTAAAGGAAACCCTCTAGATCCCTTAAAGGAACCCTTATAGACCCCTTAAAGGAACCCTTCTGATCATCCCTTTTAAGAAGAGACCAGTCTCCCAGCGGCCCTGAAGGACCGAGTCGTCCACGGTTGGCAGCCGCTGCTCTGGGGCCTGGAATCCGTCCGGGGCGATGGTGCCATCCTCCGGGGGGCTCGGGTTAAGGAATCTGCCAACAGATCCCTTAAACCCTAAACCCTAAACCCTAAACCCTAAACCCTAAACCCTAAACCCTAAACCCTAAACCCCTAAACCCTAAACCCTAATCCCTAAACCCTAAACCCTGAACCCATCCTTCCACACGAAGATCTCGCAGCCGACACAAGCCTCCATCTCCTGTCCACTCTGGGTGACCCCCTGGGTGCCCACCACATCTGCATAGGTATCCTGGGATTTGAAGAAGGTTTAGAGTTTAGGGTTTAGGGTTTAGGGTTTAGGGTTTAGGGTTTAGGGTTTAGGGTTTAGGGTTTAGGGTTTAGGGTTTAGGGTTTAGGGTTTAGGGGAAAGTATAGGCTTTAATTTCATAAGCGTTCCCTTTCAGTAACAGGTCCCCAAAAAAGTTCTACTGAAGCATGCTACTTCAAAGCCCAGGTGGTACCCTTATAGAAACGCCCTAAGAGATCCCTTTCAGGAACCCTAAAAATGGACCCAAAGTGTGGTAATATAGTATAGGTAGATTTTGGTCCCTATACGATAGAACCCTACTATAGATCCCTTGCAGACCCCTTTAAGGAACCCTGGAAAACCCCCTAAACCCTGTAAACCCTGTTCTAGTTATTTAGGCCCTAAATACAAGGTATACTGAACTTACAACCCTGCAAAAATGTAATCTTAGCTGTTTCTTTGGGATTACAATAACCAAAAACTAAAAAATATTTCTAACTACCCCTAAGTAGTATGGCACTCCAAAGCCCAGTGTCTGCATCACCTGGTGCCCGGCTCAAGGAGACCAAAGTCAAGCGATCCGAGGGCGTCTCCGTCTTCCTCGGCTTCGAAGTGAAGTACCATGCTTTGGGTCCCTTTCAGGGCTCCCTGAAGGGATGTTTAAGGGTTTCTATGGGTTTCTACAAGGTTTCCTAAACCCTAAACCCTAAACCCTAAACCCTAAAGAGTACTGTAAGGGCACTATATCACTATAAGTGGGCTTTGGGAGGTCGAAGCCCAGCTTCCCGCTTTGGTTCACCGGCTTCTTGGTGATGCCCGTGATGCCGACCACTCCTAGTTCATGGTTGGGATAGGGTTAAAAAATTACATGTTTATTCCTTATTGGATTTAAGTAACCAAAGAACCTAAAATGTTACCCAACTTTGACAAAGACTCCATCCGTGATCTTCGTCTTCACCGCCGCGATCATGTTCCCCCGCCCCGCTTGGAAGTTCTGCCTCTTCCTGGGCTCTTGGTGGGATCGGTTTAGGGTTTAGGGTTAGTAGATGATATGGTTTCCTTATTATGGTAACTTAAATTACATCCCCTAACCCCTAAACCCTTCTAGCACCCTTAAAGGAACCCTAAATTATGGTAACTTGAATTAAGCTCCTTAAAAGAAGAACCAAAGAGGGCCTAAATTATGGCAACTTGAAATAAGTTCCCCTTAAGAAGAACCCAGCTTCATGTCGTCCTTAAAGGAACCCTACATGATGGTACCTTGACTTAAGCTCCTTGAAAAAAGAACCCAGCTTCATTTACATCCCCCAGCCCCTACATAAACCTTTATAGAACCCTTTAAAGGAACCCTAAATGATGGTACCTTGACTTAAGCTCCTTAAAAGAAGAGCCCAGCTTCATGTCGTCAGGATCCATGTACTCCATCTCGTCGCCTTCGAAGGCCTCAGAGCTCCGCCCCTGGGTCGTTTTGAAGATCACGCTGTAGATCCTGGGTTCTCGTCAAGGGAAGGACGTTACCACAAAAAGACACCAGATTATTTACTGTAGATCCCTTTTATGATAGTAGAGTCTGGGTTCTCGTCAAGGGAAGTACGCTACCATAATGAAGACACCACATTATTGACTTTTTATCCCTATTATGGTAAGTTAAACCGTAAAAAACTGACGGGAACCATTATAGATCCCTCCAGCGATCCCCTCATAGATCCCTTGTAGGAACCCGTAGAGGTCCCTATTATGATAACTTCAATTAATGGTTAATCCCCTCAAGTTTTACTTTTATAAGTATAACACATATTTCCTAAGATCATATTATTTACGACAGATCCCTATTATGGCAACTTAAACTTAACTCCGAAACTGTTTAAGTTCCTTAACCCCTAAACCCTACACCCTAAACCCTAAACCTTAATTTCGAAACACTTAAAGGAACCCCTATAGATCCGTTAAAGGAGCCCGTATAGTTCCCTAACAAGAACCCTTAAAGGAACCCTTATAGATCCCCTTTTTCAGCTCCTTTAAAAGATCCACCCTTAACCCTGAGCCCCTGTAGATCCCTTAAAGGAGCCCGTATAGTTCCCTAACAACAACCCTTAAAGGCACCCTTATAGATCTCCCTTTTTAGGTTCCTTTAAAGGATCCACCCGACACCCTGAACCCCTAAAGATCCCTTAAAGGAACCCTTCTTAAGTTCCTTAACAAGAGCCGAGGATCCCCTACAGATCCCTTAAAGGAACCCTTCTTGAGTTCCTTGACAAGACCCAGAGATCCCAATACCGGGTTGAACACACACTCGAGCGGAGCACAGAAACGATGCCCGTTACAACACGAAGCTAATTAAGGAATATACCTTAAATCATAATATTAGGGCCTCTTTTATCTAAGGTATATTCCTCAATCAAGGTACCCCTTAATGAAGGAATATACCTGGAATCATAATACTCGGGCCTCTTTTATCTAAGGAATATTCCTTAATCAAGGGGTATTGGGGTCTCTAGGAAGCCGAGGATCCCCTAAAGATCCCTTAAAGGAACCCTTCTTAAGTTCCTTGACAAGACCCAGAGATCCCAATACCGGGTTGAACACACACTCGAGCGGAGCACAGAAAGGATGCCCGTTACAACACGAAGCTAATTAAGGAATATACCTTAAATCATAATATTAGGGCCTCTTTTATCCAAGGTATATTCCTCAATCAAGGTCTAGGGTTTAGGGTTTTCTATTGGGTTTTTTGGGAAGCCGAGGATCCCCACGTCGGGAACATAGCGAGTCTGGATCTCGGTGATGTGCTCTCCGGGCTCCAGCTTGAACTCGTGCGTGTGCTGCTTCTGATCCCCTTTCTCCTGCTAGGGATCTATAGGGGTTCCTTTAAAAGGGATCTATAAGGGCTTAGGGTTTTGGGTTTAGGGTTTAGGGTTTGGGGTTTTGGGCTTAGGGTTCAGGGTATCAGGGGCCTCCTTTCTCCTGTTGGGGCCCTTAGGGCCCTTCAGAGCCCTTGGGTTCGGGGTTGGGAGGGTTTGAGTTTGAGAGGGTTTGGGGTTGAGGGTCTTGAAACGGCTTCTTTCTGGTCCCCTGTCTCCTTACCGGCGTACACGAAGTAGATGTCGGCAATCGCGTAGTGGATGTTGATGCGTGCGGCGGAGACGGCGCCACCCCCGGGCTCACTTTGGGGCAGGCTGGGGCAGCAGAATGACAGTGTAAGCCCGTAGGTGTTGAGCTTGTTGCTGGAGCCGCCGTTTGGCTGGAGCTGCATTTTAGTGCACTGCACGAAGCTCCTCTAGTTCGTGGTCGGGATAGAATGAAAACTTATTATTTCTCTGTCCTCATTGGGTTCCAGTATCCAAAAATGTGCAAAATGTTACCCAACTATGACGAAGCTCCTCTTGTCGATCTGAAGGAAGCCCTTCTGGCCTTCGACCGATATGGGCTCCACGAAGCCGAAGGCAAAGCAGTCCTGCCAGTTTGGGGCGTCAGGGTTTCTTCAAAGGGCTTCCTTAAGAGTTCCTTTAAAGGGTTCCAAGGGTTAGGGGTTTAGGGTTTAGGGGTTTAGGGTTGAGGGCAATGCAGCATGGCACCCAGAAAGCCGAAGGCAAAGCAGTCCTGCCAGCAAGGCAGCCGCAAAATTACAATAGCGTTTTGGGAGCTCCTTATTATAGTTGTAGAGTAAGAAACCCCCAAAGCCTATCCTAACCGTTACGGCCCCTGCATTCCGCACATGCTCACCAAGACATCGCACTACTCTCCGCTGCGGAGAACCACTGGCAAACCCGGCTTCGTGTTCAGAAGTTAAGGCACTGCTCCCCACAGTGGCTGCAACTCGTAATGTAAGAACCTGATTAAGAAATCTGGGGCCTTTCTTAGGGTTCCTTATATGAACCTCACTATTTTGGGGTTGTAGGCCCAGGTTTCTTAATCAGGTTCCTACATTAGCCTCATGATTCAAGAAAACATGCACGCATATACAGCGCCGAGTTGCAAGCTAGATCAACAAAAGACCACCCGCCTATGTGACAATGACACTGCGTTCCTTTCCATTGGGGACCTCGCTACTTTCTAAACAGAAGACCCTGTAGACCCTAAGCCCTAGACGCTACCCTTAAGCCCGAACCCCACATGGATTCTCCACACCCTGGCCTTCGGCAGGTAGTCCATCTGGAAGTCGAAGTCAGCCGTTGTGGCACCGCCACACTTCTCATTCCTTGGCTGACCATTAAACCCTTCGAAAAGTATTCGTAGACAGACAGGAAACGCACAAAACTATGCCAAAACCCTTACCTGGCTTCGCATAGGTGTAGAAGGGGTTGGCTCCGTGCTGCTCTTCGATGGCGATCTGCATCTCTTCCTCACTTGGGGTGGCAGGCGGGAGAACCTTGAAACCCCTTGCTTTAAGTAGTCCTCACCAAACCGGCCTATGTCCCACATAGTCACATGATCTGAAGAGCATTCAGCGCCGGAACTCCCTACTCCAATCGGTTGATCGCTGCTGCTGGGTCTTTGCTATATCTGGTGGTGGCTAGTTTGAGGAAATACTAACGAAATACAAGACCAATCATGAGACCCGCATCTTTATGTATAGAAAGATAGATTCCAAGATAGACCCGAAAAAAAACACGAAGACGACAGGTCGGGTCCCCAGGTCCTCCTCCACCGCGATGTGCTCCTTCTCCTTCTCCTCCTCCAGCTTCCTGCGCGCCACGCGGTCCTGCCAGGGCCGGAAACGCTCGCAGTTGACAGGCTCGGAGCAGGGACAGCCTTGTTTAAACGTTCTCTATCTAAAAAAAGAAACCAAAACCATTAAACCCCAACCCCTACCGTAGCCCTTGTAGAAACCCTTTCAGTAGGCCTGCTTGCACCTCGTATGGCTCGAACTAAAACTCAACAAAAACCTTCAGCCCTAAATCCTGAACTTAACCTCTAAACTCGCAAACCTCTAAACTCCTAAACCTCTAAACCCTAAACCCTTAACCTCTAAACTCCTAAACCTCTAAACCCTAAGCCCTAAACCCTAAACCCTTAACCTCTAAACTCGCAAACCTCTAAACTCCTAAACCTCTAAACCCTAAACCCTTAACCTCTAAACTCCTAAACCTCTAAACCCTAAGCCCTAAACCCTAAACCCTTAACCTCTAAATTCGCAAACCTCTAGACTCCTAAACCTCTAAACCCTAAACCCTTAACCTCTAAACTCCTAAACCTCTAAACCCTAAGCCCTAAACCCTAGACCCTTAACCTCTAAACTCGCAAACCTCTAAACTCCTAAACCTCTAAACCCTAAACCCTTAACCTCTAAACTCCTAAACCTCTAAACCCTAAGCCCTAAACCCTAAGCCCTAAACCCTTAACCTCTAAACTCGCAAACCTCTGAACTCCTAAACCTCTAAACCCTAAACCCTTAACCTCTAAACTCCTAAACCTCTAAACCAGAAGCCTAAACCCTAAACCCTAAACCCTTAACCTCTAAACTCTTAAACCTCTAAACGACCAGAAGCACCACCGCCCGGCCCGGCCTGCAGCTTGTTCGAGATGGTGTCGCGCTCTCCTCCGGGTCTCTTTACTTAGGATTTAGGGTTTAGAGTTTAGGGTTTAGGGTTTTGGGTTTAGGGTTTTGGGTTTAGGGTTTAGGGTTTTTGGGTTTAGGGTTTTGGGTTTTGGGTTTAGGGTTTCGGGTTTAGAACTCAGAGGGGCTCAATTTCGGACCAGATCTGTCAGTCCCTGCTCAATTTCGGACCAGATCTGTCAGTCCCTGTGTGATCGAGAAGCCCCCGGTTTAGAAGCTGCCCCCACCCTGGAATAGTGGTATAATAGGAATATAATAGGGCCCTAATATAATCCTTATAGTCACTATTACAGGGTGGGGCAGCTTCTAAGGTTTAGGGTGTAGGGTTCTCAAGATGAACCCTGTCATTTGGGTGTCTGGAACCTGGCTTCTCAGTCTGGGTCCTGCAGACTCCTCCTTCATAAAGCCCCTTTCAAAGGGGAGAAGGAGGGACCCTTAATGGGGACCCCTACCCTGTAATGGGCTATATAATGGGTATATAATGGCTATATTAAGGGTGTATTACCTAGGGATCCTTATTAAGGGTCCTTCCTTTTCCCCTTGGACCCTTGATTTTTTTTTTGTTGGGGGGGGGGGGGCCTTAACACTAAGATCCCTACTATATCAAGTCAGTGTCGGGGGTTTACATCTCCGCCCTTCAGGGTTACGATTAGGGGGAGCCTTGGGGATTTAGACCCTCTCACTAACGTCCCTTTAAGGGGGTTTAGGGTTTAGGGTTTAGGGTCCTGACTACTACCCCGGAGGTCCTTGCGTGATCTCCGGCTTCTTGGAGATCTCCCTCTTGAGCATCGGGGCCTTCCCGGGCAAGGCCAAGGCGCCTCCTGCGCTGCAAAACATGATTCCGAAAATTAGGGGTGCCTTTAAAGGGATCCTTCAAGGGTTCCTTGAAGGGTTCCTTGAAGGGTTCCTTGAAGGGATCTATAGGGTTTAGGGTTTAGGGTTTGGGAGGTTCCGAAACTTAGGGGTACCTTTAAAGGGATCCTTTAAGGGCTCCTTAAAGCGATCTACAAGTTTGTACGGGTTCTATAAAGGGTTTAGGGTTTAGAGTTTCCGAAAATTAGGGGTACCTTATTTTGGGGGTCCATATAATACGGATCCTACTACTTAGGGTATTATATTAGGGTCCCCTATTTTCGGAAACCCCCATCTGACTCAGCTTGAGGTAACACGGCTTAGGGGTTAGTTAGGGTATCTGTTTCAGCTCAGGGTAACGCGGTTTAGGGTCTAGGGTATCTGAGTCGGGTTTGGGATAATATCTGTTTCAGCTTAAGGTAAGACGGTTTAGGGTTAGGGCTTAGGGTACCTGATTCAACTTGGGGTAAAACCTACATCGATGGGCTTGATTGGTAGTCTATGCCTGCTCTACAGATTCTACAGGGCTTTGCGGTTGGGATTGAGGATTCAGGGTTTGAACTTGTCGGGTGGAGGGTTGAAGGGCTAAGGCTTAGGGCTTATGGTTCAGGTTTACCTTGCTCGTAGTCGGGCTGTTTTCTCCGCAGGGCTCGGCAGACTCTGTGCGTTGAAGCTGCGCATCAATGAGAAATCCATAAATCCTAAGGTAGATCCCAAAGTTCTGGGAATTTGAACCACGACAAACTTGAGGCCCTAGACACCAAAAACCCAAAATCCTAACTGTTCTCAAAGATGACAGGCTGCAGGGCTTGCATCTGACGAACGGTCAGACGTCAGGAGGACGGCGAAGCTTTCGATAGACGTTAGGCATATTAGACTGGCTCGACGTTCGGGGTCAGTGCGAAATCTGTCCTGAGATTCTATCCTGACACTCGAAGCATGGATGCCATCCAACGCCACGCAGCATAAAGAACTTGAGCAGCGCGACAACCAACCGTCAGCAGTCAAGTGGCATGACCTTCTCATAGACTTTCGGAACCAGGCCTTTAAACATGAAGGACTGAAGCCTAGTTACTAGTTGCCCTCGGGCAACTAGTAACTAGTAACAATAACGGGGCTAGAAATTTAGTTCGCTGCCAAACCTTGACGGTCTACACGCAGGCTGTTCAGTGCACTTTGGCACTTGCACTACTCGCATGTTTCAGTAGGCCTTCATGAATCGGGCCGCGTTCACGAGGTTAGCCGCCACCAGTTCTGGCGACATGTTGTTATCCAGATTGTCCCAAAAGTCTTTGAAGGGTTCCTCGATGTTCAAGGTGTTGGTGGGCGCGACAGGAGCACTTCTGGCGAGCGCAAGGTCTTCCGAGATGCCCATTGCTGCAAAGAGCTTGACTGCTGCCAGTTCTGGTGGCAGGCTGGAGTCGATGTGTGCAAAGAAGTCCTCACCTTCCCAACCATCGGTTTCGCATGAGCTGTGTTCTTCTGACGGCACGTCTGCATGCGTGCTTTCCTGGGCTCTTGTCAAGAAAATTTAATTTAACTTACCATGATAAGGATCTATAGTAAACAAAAAAGTTTCCTTATTATTATGGTACCTTAAAATTACATCCCTTCAGAAGAACCAAGCTTCGGAGTTGCTCAGAGGTTCCTCTGCCATCAGACAGGCCAGAGCAGCGGCATCTTCGGGTGAGAGTTCCTGGTTCATGGTTGGGATAGGATTGAAAACTTAAATTGGTGTTCCTTATTGGGTTTAAGTACCCATAAAAATGTAAAATGTTACCCAACTATGACAAAGGTTCAGTGTCAAGCCGCCTGGTCTGCGCGGTTTCAGTGAGCGCAGGGCAGACCACCGGTGCCTCTGCTTGCACGTGTTGCCTTGCCGTCATCATCCCTGCCATTGCTGCAGATTTGGGTGCTTCATGTGGGCGTTCCTCTCCTGCCATCGATGCCACGGCTACAATTACAACTACATAAAACCCCAATTAAGGTACTTATAACCTTACTTACTAAGTCCCATGATCCTCCCATTGTAGAACCCATTATAGCCCTTAAACGGAACCCTAAACCCTACTTACTAAGTCCCATGATCCTCCAAGTACCACATCCCCGGGGGACGTGTGGGCATCGATCGGCTTCTTCTGGGAAGTTTCCACGGGCGGCGGCCCACCGGCCTCTGATGTTGCAGCCTCCATGGGTCGCTCTGGGATGCTTGGAGGGTCTTTAGGGGACTTAGTAAGTGGGTAGTAAGTAGACTTATAAGTACCCTGAAAGGGACCCTAATTGGGGTTATGGTACTTATAAGTCCCTAAAATAACCAATTACTAAGTCCCCCGACCCTCCAAGTGCTTGGAGGTCTCTCCGATTTCATGGAGGCCAGAGCCGCAGCATCTGCTGGTGACATCCGGGGTGAGTCCAGTAGCTTTCTCTGTGATGTTGCAATCAGCATGGCCAAGAACGGGTCGGGCTTCTCCGCCTCCTCCTCCTGGGGAGTCTAATTTAAGTTTCCATAAGGATCTATAGTAAATAACTAATACGAGTTCCTTATTACAGCTACTTGACCTAAATCCTTCAACAAAAACCCAGCCTCTTCCACCGGTGGCCCTTGAGAAGCCGCTAGCTTCTCCTCGGCTTCCTGGATCACGGGCGCCTGCTCTTGTGCAGCAGCCGCAGGTTGCCCCGCTTGCCCAAAGAGCTCTCGCAGAGCCTGTCGATCCTGGGCTTTAAGTAACCAGGGAGAAAACGTACAGACTTTTATTTCATAATCTTCCCGTCTAGGTACCCGGGTCCCAAAAATATTGAAGCATGGTCTTTTCGAAGCCCAGGGGTCTTGTATCTCCTGCTCGGGGGTCTTCTGTGCAGTTCGTTCGCGAAGCTGCCTCTGCTGCTGCAGCCTGATCGTATCTCGCTTGATGTTCATCTTGAAAGCCTTGGAGAGCTTGTTTCGCACGTAGCTCCGCAGCTTCCAAACAAAGACCTCGTTCTCCAGAAATCTTGTAAGGCCTTCCTCACCTTCCGCCTTGAGAGTCTTGATCATATACCGGAGGTCCGGGTCCCATTTGATGCCAAACCGCAGGGATTTGCTCGGCCTTAGTTGCTGAATTCATAAGTCATAAGCCCACCTTCAGTTTTATAGTGGGTAGTATCCAACCCTAAACCCTAAACCCTATCTACTCAGCTACTAAGCGGCGGCGGCAGCTGCATCCTGAACCTCGGCTCCTGCTCCTGCGCGGCCTCCTCTAAAGAAGCGCTCCTCGCTCGCGAAATGATCGCAAGGCGATCAAACAGAGCCTTCAAGAACAGGTTGTGAGTGTGACTATTAGGATTTAGGGTTTAGGGTTGCTACAAGGGAGTTTCCGAAAATTAGGGTATCTTATTTTGGGGTCTTTAGAATAAGGGTCCTATGATTTAGGGTACTATATTGGGGTCCCCTAGAGCCTTCAACCACACGTACGACAGGATCAGCACGAGCAGCACCAGCTGCAAAGCGACGGAGAAAAGAGCCATGTCATGGCAAAGCGCGGGCAAAAGCACCACGTCTTTCGTGGTGGCCCGGTCTGTGAAGAAGTACAACTCGAGCATTCTCACCGCAGCTGATGGCTGCTGCGAGAGACTTTGGCTTGAGCCACGACTCTGTTGGAGAATCTTTCAACTTTCTGAGGTCCTGGAATAATCATAACACTTGTACCTAATACGGGTGTAATAATTATGGTAACGATGGTAGTAGCAACAGTGGCAAGGATAGTACCGATAGTCATAACAGCAACAGCAGCAGCAGTGGCAGCAGAAGCAGTAGCAGCAGCAGCCGGAGCAACAGCAGCAGCAGCAGCAGCAGCAGCAGCAGCAGCCGCAGCAGCCGCAGCAGCGGCAGCAGCGGCAGCAGCAGCAGCAGGAGCAGCAGGAGCAGGAGCAGGAGGGGTTGTCCTGCTTTCGGGAAATGGAGATTGTTTTACAAATATTGCTGCTAGCTGCCGCTGTTCTTTATGTTGCTGTTGGCATTGCCGCTGGTGTTGGTATTGATATTGGAAGGGCATACTTTTTCTGTCGCTATTACCGCTCCAGTTGCAATAGACAAGACTAATGCAGTATCAGTGCCGACACCGTCACCGTCCATGTATGTATGATGTAGCAAACTTGCTAGGTGCTATGACTTCTACTATACTTATACCCTACTTCACTCCAACAGAAAATCCCAAGCCCTCAACCCTGAGCCCGACACCCCAGACTTGGAGCCCCCAAAGCCCTAAGCACACGATAAACCCGTATTAAAGTGCGAAGTCCTAAAAATCGCACTTCTAACATCCCGAAACCTCTGAACCCCTAATCCCTAGACCATATAGATCCCTTAGGGGAACCATTGAAGGATCGCTTAAGGATCTAGACCCGAGACCCTGGATCCGAGACCCCAAACCCTAAACCCTAGACTATACCCCCCTTACCCTAATAAAAAATAGTATGTTTAATATTCTCTTAGGTTTAGGGTTTCGGATTTAGGGTGTTGGGTTTTATATGAACAAAAATACATAACAATTCCTAAGGAGACTAGAACCCTAAACCCTAAACCCTCCCCCGGCGGCCTCGGGGATCGGAAGTCGCTCGCACCAGGGAAGGGGGAACTCCGAGCGTCGGAACCGCGGGGTCAGCTGCACCTGGGAGAAGGTTTGGGGTCTAGGGTTTAGGGCTTTCAGGGGTTTAGGATTTAGGGGTTTGGGGGTTTAGGGTTTTTAGGGTTTTAAGGGTTTTAAGGGTTTTAAGGGCTTTAAGGGTTTTAAGGCTTAGGGTTTAGGGTTTTACGGCTTTAAGATCTTAGGGCTTGGGTTTAGGGCTTAGGGTCTGGAGTCCAGGGTTTCGGGTTTTAGGGTTGTAGGGTCTCATGTTTAGGGTTTAGGGTTTGATGTGTTAGTGGACCAAGGCTTTGAGGTTTTAAACTTGAAGGTCGAGGCTAGGTCGATGATAGTCTTCCCTTCCACTCCCCGTTACAATATGAATATAAAATGTTACAACCCCAATACCATAATGGACCTCGGAAGCCTGTTCTAACTCTTACGGCCCTATGTTAGGGCTCTGGGGGCAGCTACCGAGTTTCTTGCCCAAAGAGGGTTAGCCTTTGACCCGTGAAGGATTTGGGGTTGTTTAAGGGTTTAGGGTTTAGGATTTAGGTTTTGGATTCAGGTCCGAGGTGTTAGGGGATTCAACACAGGTGGATTTCTCTTAGCTGTGGTAGGGCTATGCGAAGCCGGAAAGGCTACTGCCTTGATGGTGACCGATGGCATCCAACCCAAAAGGGTACCGATCACCTACTCAGCTTCATTGAGAATGGTTGCAGCGAGACGGAGGGGAGGGTTGCAAGAGTACACTTTACTCAACCCCTCCGAACGCTACACCTTGAGCGTAAACTCTGGAGTTGGCTCTAAAGTCCTAAACCCCCCAACCACGCCTCAAGACCCGCCCCCACAAAAAAAATACAAAGTGCAAAACATGCATAGCAATACCTAAAGAAAGTTACAAAAGCTAGCCCTAGACCCTCAACCTCAAACCCCCGAACCCCCTCCCAAAACCTTACGAAAACCCTAAGCCCTAAACCCTTAATCTCTAAACTCCTAAATCTCTAAACCCCTTAACCCGCCCCCCCCCCCGCCCCAAAAAAAAAAAATAGCGCCCACCGCGAGCGCCTGTCCGAGCCCGATCGAGGCTGGACGGAGGGGCCAGCTGCGTCTGGTTCCTGAAACACTCGCGGCTTCTTTACCCTACTTGTCGGATATCATGGGAAACTCAAGGCTATGTACCATTTTTTGGTTATATAGGGACTAAACAGGCGCTATACTACCCAGAAAAGGTTAAAGGTTACCTACTCAACTACTGTGTTACAGTAAACCCCATAAAAGGGATTTTGGGGTTTAGGGTCCATGGTTGAGGGTCTGGTTCCTGAAGGACTGGTGGCCTTCTTTAAAGGGAGGAGGGGGGGGGGGGGCTTGGGATTTAGGGTTCCTGACAAAACTGGGGTGTCAGAGTTTAGGATTTTGAGGGTTTAGGAATTTTGAGGGCTCAGGGATTTTGGGGTTTAGGTGGGCGGCTTTCTTTAAACGGTTTAGGGTGTAGACCCCGGGCTTAGGGTTTAGGGTTTAGGGTAGACGAGCGGCTTCTTTGAAGGGGAGGGGGCTTAGGATTTAGGGTCTAGATTTTGGGGCCTAGGGTTCCTGAAAGACGGGTGGCTTCTTTCAACGGGGTTTCAGAGTTGAGGGCTTTGAGGCTTTGAGGCTCTGAGGCTTGGGATTTAGGGTGTAGATTTTGCCTATAGTCTCCCTTGTAATTCCCTTTTTGTGTTACCTTATGGAATCTTCACTATAAAAATGGTGAAACCGAAAACAATCAACTACAATGGAGACTATAGGTGGGGTCTATTGTTTAAAATTTAGGGTTCGAGGCTTAGGTTGGTAGGAAGCGTTTTGTCAAGCTGCCGGGGGGCTTTAGAGTTTACGGTCTGGTTTCAGATTTAAAGCTTAGGGTTTGAAGTTTAAGGTTTGAGACTTGCTCGAAGTTTAGAATTTCGGGTAAAGAGGGCCTTTTGAGGTGTAGCGTTGTCTTGTAGGGTTTTGCAGGACTTGAAGGGGGGAGATAGAGCCCTAGAGGTCTATAGGGTTTAAGGGTTTCGAATCAAGGTCCGGCATATAATGTAACTTGATGAGGAAACCTTGGGCCTTGATTAGGGGTTCCTTATAAAGGGGCCTATAAGGGTTACTATAAGGGATCTATAAGGGTACTATAGTAAGGAAGGAACCAGATTAAGAAACCCTGGGTCTTTATTAGGGCTCCTTGTATGAATCCTACTATTTTGGGGTCATAGGCCCAGGGTTCCTGAATCAGGCTCCTAGATTAAACCCGGAACCCTTAACCCTGAACCCGAACTGTGGCCGTAAACCCTAAACTCTACAGCCTGATTATATCTCTTCGACGAGTTCGGCGCTTTCGGCTTGAAGGGTTCCATGGTGTAAGGGATTTCGCGCATCGCAGGACCCACTGACTTCCGTAGGTGCCGCTTCTTCCGAGCACAGTCCAGCAAAAGTACCAGGCATGTGTATGTGCATTTATCCGCCTACCGCCGACCTATCTATCTTTCCATCAATGTGTCTATCTCGCGCTCTCTGTCTGTCCCTATCTACAGAATGTCTCTTTCTCTCTTTACACAACCAAGCGAACTAGAGAATCCCAGCTGCTTTCCCAGCTCCGCGACAATCGCATGGTCACCGCCCATGAAGACGTCCACCTGCAGGCTTTTGGCATCAGGGTTTGTAGCGTCGGAGTTGGCCTTTCTGCAGGCTTTTGGCATCAGGTTTTGTAGCGTGGGATTTGGCCTTAGGCTTGGGTTAAGGGTTTAGGGCTCTAGGTTTGATGGCTTAAGGTGATGGCTCCACAATCCTCTTCGATGGAGGTGCACCCAAAAGTAATTTCACACGAAGAAGAGAGTACTTCAACTGGCTTACTCTTTCCTTCAATATCCCCCCCAAAAAGAACCCCCGTGTTGAAAGTGCCTACGAAAGCCTTACAGCCTTCTTCTTCGGTGTACACCCTCTTCTGAGCTCTTGTCAAAGCTCCTGAACCCCGTTCTTGAAACTTCACAGAGCCTGCTCGAAAATCTCTACCCTTTTCCAGGAGTGTTCCTTGCCGTGGACCAGGGGTGTCTTTGGTTTGAGGTCTTACCTTTATCTTGAGCCATCACCTAAAGCAAAAATCGACCCTCAGCTCCCCATGTGGGAGTTTCCGAAAATAGGGGAACCGTGATATAGTACCCTAAATAGTCGGATCCTTATTATAAGCACCCCCAAATGAGGTACCCTTAATTTTCGGAAACTCTAAACCCCTATAGAGCCCTTTGAAGGAACCCTTACAGTAACCCCAAACAACGTACCCCCTAATGTCTCGGGAGCTCCCATGTGGGTGCTTGTCAATATTAGGGTCCCACTTTGGGTCCTTATGATAATACGGCACCTAATATTTAGGGTACCCGAAAAAGGACCCTAATTTTGACAACCACACATGTGGCCACTCTGTACCTGCCTTGCTCTTGACGAAGCCGAAGAACTCCCGGTAAGAAACGAGGTGGTCGCCAGACTCATCCATGGCCTCTGCTTCCGCCATAGGCTTAGGGGGTTTAGAGTTTAGGGTTTCGGACCGGTTCACATCATTCCGCCATGGGTTTAGGGGGTTTAGAATTTAGGGTTTAGGGTTCAGAGTTTAGGGTTGTGCTTCCGCCATGTGCTGTTGCATGTGCAGGTTGCGTGTTCCGAGGGCAAGAAGGAACCTTAACTCTCGGCCTGACATATGGTTTCCGAAAACAGGGGACCCTAATAGGGTTCCTTTAAATGGTACCATAAGGGCTCCTTTAAGGGATCTACAAGGGTTCTAAGAAGGTTTACGGTTTAAGGTGAGAGTGTCCGAAAATAGGGGACCCTAAAATAGTACCTTCAGTAGTAGGATCCTTATTATAAGGACCCGCAAAATAAGGTACCCCTATTTCTGGAAACTCCCATATAACCTTAACCTACCCGAGCAACCTTCAGACCCGACACCAAAGCCACAACGACCCTAAGCCGCCCAGGCCCTCCTAGCAAGCATCTGCCCTAAATCCCCAAAAGATTCTACATGCCTCACATAACCCTGAACCCTAAAACCCTAACCCCTAAATTTAAAACCCTCAACTCTGAAAGACCCTAGACCCCTAAACCCCTAAACTCTAAGACCCTTAATCCCTAAGACCCGAATCCCCAAAACCCTGAGCCCCTAAATCAGGGGCCCCAAAAAGCACGTAAGCATAAGCATCTTATTGGGATATCCCTACCTTATTGGGCTTCATTACAAGCGGGTTCATATGGGATATCCCCACCCTAAGTTTTGCTCATGTGCTTTTTTTGGGGGGGCCCTACTTACGCCCAACAGCTGAAGCCCTGAACGGGAGCCTCGAGCCAGTCCAGGATCTCATCCGGCGAGGTGTGGAAGCCCATGTGCCTGTTCAGGGTTCAGGGTTTAGAGGGTTTAGGGTTTCAGGGTTTAGGGTTCAGGGTTTAGGGGGTTAAGGGTTCAGGGCTTGAGGGGTTTAGGGTTTCAGAATTTAGGGTTTAGGGGTTCAGGGTTCATTGTTTAGGGGGTGTAGGGTTTCAGGGTTTAGGGTTCAGGGTTTAGGGAGTTTAGGGTTTAGGGCTCAGGGGGTTTAGGGTTTAGGGGGTTTCGGGTTTAGGGAGTAGTGGGTAGTAGTGCGATACGGGTTGCTATCGAGGCCACTGTAACTTATATCGAGGTTTCTCTACAGCAGTGACATGGTGGCTACTATCAGGGTTTCCAACTGTTACAATAGGGTTGCTATGCTTACAAACAAAGGTCACTTTATAGCAGAAGCCCCAAAGTTGGAAACCTCATAGCCTCGATGCTTAAGCATAATGCATACGAGATCTTAGCACTATTTGGCCTTATATAGTCCGGTTTCCAACTTTATGGGGTTTACTGTAGTTATAAGGGCTGCTTCTTCCGAAGCCCAGGCGCCTCAGCGCCTGGCAGATCTCCTGGGCGAAGGCTGGAAGAGTTTTGGGGTGTGTCGGGCAGGTCCCAGGACCCTCAGAGTTGGGTGTTGCATTGCTTCTTAATTATGGGGTTTATCGGTTGCTAAAGGAATTTTAGCAGGTTTAAGCGTTAGGCTTCTGGGGGCTTCGAGTTACTTAGGACATCTTGATACAGTCCGGCGTTGAATGCTTCGAGTGCGGGCTTAGAGTGGAGGGTTCGCAGTCTGTTTCAATCTTTCGTTCTTGGGTTCTGGAGCTACAAAACACCAGTAATATTTGCCAGTGCGCTGCAGGTGGAGGTGAGTCTACTGCTGCTACTACGACTACTACGACTACTACGACTACTACTACTACTACTACTACTACTACTACTACTACTACTACTACTACTACTACTACTACTACTACTACTACTACTACTACTACTACTACTACTACTACTACTACTACTACTACTACTACTACTACTACTACTACTACTACTACTACTACTACTACTACTACTACTACTACTACTACTACTACTACTACTACTACTACTACTACTACTACTACTACTACTACTACTACTGCTAACTGCTAACTGCTAACTGCTAACTACTAACTACTAACTACTAACTACTAACTACTAACTACTAACTACTAACTACTAACTACTGACTACTGACTACTGACTACTGACTATTAACTACTAACTATTAACTACTAACTACTAACTGCTAACTACTAGCTACTAGCTACTAGCTACTAGCTACTAGCTACTAACTGCTAACTGCCAACTGCTAACTGCTAACTGCTAACTGCTAACTACTAGCTACTAGCTACTAGCTACTAACTACTAACTAAAAACTACTAACTACTAACTACTAACTACTACTCCTGCTGCTGCTACTACTGCTACTGCTGCTACTGGTGCGACTGCTGCTACTACTGCTACTGCTACCACCGCGACGATAACTACGACTACAACTACGACGACTACTACCCCTCCGGCTACGGCTACGACTACGACTACAACTACGACTACTACTCCTACGGCTACGGCTCCGACTACGACAACGACAACGATTAATTACAACGACGACTGCGACTACGACCACTACTACGAGTACTACTGCTGCTACACCCTAAACCCTAAACCCGAAACCCTAAAAGCCCTGGACCCTAAAACCCTAAACCCTATACCCTAAACCCTAACCCGCTGTGGTCTCCAAGTCTCGATGGGGCCGAGGAAGCCGATCTGCTGCGTGTCGAAGCGCTCGAAGGCCTCCTGCACTCCGAGGCCTCTCGGGAAGACATCTGGGTGGTTGTCAAAATTATGGTGCCTGTTGCACCCCCAAATAAGGTACCCCTAATTTTCGGAAACTCTAAACCCCTATAGAGCCCCTTGAAGGGACCCTTATAGTAACCCAAAATAATGTACCCCCTAATTTTTCGGGAGCTCCCATGTGGGTGGTTGTCAAAATAATGGTCCCTTTTTGGGTACCCTAAATAATAGATGCCGTAATGATAATAGGGACCCCCAAAAAGGGACCATGATTTTGACAACCACCCATCTAGGGTTTAGGGTCTAGGGGTTTAGAGTTTAGGGTTTAGGGTTTAGAGTTTACTAGGGTTTAGGGGTTTAGGGTTTAGGGGTTTTAAGGTTTAGGGTTTAGGGCTTCGGGTTTAAGGTCTAGGGTTTAGGGTTTAGGGTCTAGGGGTTTTAGACTTTAGGGTTTAGGGTTTAGGGATTTAGGTTTTCGGGTTTAGGGTCTAGGGGTTTTCGAGTTTAGGGTTTAGGGGTTTAGGGGTTTAGGGTTTAGGGTCTAGGGTCTGGAGCTTGAGGGTTTCTGTTGGGGCCTGGAAGTTAAGTTTTAGAAGGGGCCCCCACCCTGTAATAGTGGCATAATGGGAATATAGTAGGGCCCTAATGTAATCCTTATAGTCACTATTACGGTGGGGACAGCTTCCAGGGTTTCTGTTGGGCTTTGCAGGCGTAATTGGGTTTTCAAAATGGTCCTTCGGTTTCTTTACAGGGCTTCAAAAAGGGTTTTTACAAGGTTTTGTAGGTTGCGATTAGGGTTCGAGACTCCTTCCTGCGGTTTTCAGCGATATAAGTGTCTTGGTGTACCCTAAACCCTAAACCCTAAACCGATAAGATGTGGGGATCCAGCCTTCAGCGGGCTCAAGGACGAACCCTAAACGAAAGACCTCAATCTCGAAGCCTCCAAAGCCTCAAATCTCGAGATCCCTTCAACCCCTCAACCCCGAGAATTCCTCCCTAAACCCCTAAACCCCAAAACCCTAAACCCTAAACCCAAAACCCCTAAACCCTAAACCCCTAAACCCTAAACCCCTGATATCAGAACCCTAAACCCAAAACCCCAAACCCAAAACCCAAAACCCTAAACCCAAAACCCTAAACCCAAAACCCTAAAGTCTAAACCCAAAACCCTAAATCCTAAACCCCTAAACCCTAAACCCCTAAACCCCTAAACGCTAAACCCCTAACTCCAAAACCCCTAAACCCTAAACCCCTGATAACAAAACCCTAAACCCAAAACCCCAAACCTAAAACCCTAAACCCAAAACCCTAGACCCACGAGGCACTAGCCGAGGCCTTTCCCTGAGATGGCTTCGCGGAGCCGGACCGCGCGGATGCGTTGCACCTTTTTTTGGCTGGGGGCTCTTTTGGGGCTTTAGGGGCTTAAGGCTGAGGGTTTAGGTTTGAGGGTTTAGGGGTGGTTTAGGGTCTAGGGGTTTTAGACTTTAGGGTTTAGGGTTCAGGAATTTAGGTTTTAGGGTCTAGGGATTTTAGAGTTTAGGGTTTAGGGGTTTAGGGGTTTAGGGCCTAGGGTTGAAGGCTTGGGCTTCGACCAGTTCCCGACATGGACTGCATCGCCCATAGAATAAAGAATAAAAGGGTTTGGGGTTTTGGGTTTGGGGTTTTTGGGTTTAGGGTTTTGATATCAGGGGTTTAGGGGTTTAGGGTTTAGGGGTTCAGGGGACGCTTCTCTGACAACTTGGCCCTTTTTTTGCATCCTGCCGCATAGAGGCTCAGCGAATGTGTCTGCAAGGAACTCTCGCAGCTATCGATACCTATCAGGACTGCCGCATGACCAGTCGTCATACTGTATGTTGCACTTCTGCCGCGGTTTCATGGCGACTGGCTTGTACATCTCACGGCAATCGACGGTAAACCGACCTTCACGCACGGCAGACCTTCCGTCGCACCTATCGTTTGGATACGTCCCCACGGAGTTGCAACAGCAGCAGCGCTTTTTTGCTTTCTTTTGCCCGTGGGTCTCCTCGAGGTTGCCCTGCTCCTCGAGGTTGCCCTGCTCCGACGATGCGCTGAAATCTTCCCCTTTGCGAAGAGCGGCAACAATGCCCAGGACGAAGAACAGGACGAAAGGAAGCTTCATAGCCGAGGGGGCTGGATTTCGCGAAGACACGGCGGGATTTGTTTGCGATGAGGCTGATCAGCTTTGAGCCAAGAATGGCGAGGGCACAAAAGCACGCAGCCCCCCGAATGAATGTTACATGCTCCAGGCTTCGACACCCCGGAATCACGCGCGAGAGCTCAAACCCGATTCACCACTCAAACCACAGCAACCTTCGTTAGTGTGCAGGACCTTGCATTGCATTTATGTAGGAGAGTTGGGCTTTAGGCCTTAGGGGTTGTATGGGACCCTAGAATAGAAGGTGCTTTTGATTTAACCTTCTTGTGTATTGTTTCATCAAGCCTTATACGAATCATGCACAGGACTTTATGGTTTTTGCGTGCTTGCAGCCCCGGAAAGATTTGGCGCATCCAGGTATCTTGGCTTCTTGAGATTCCTTTCTGTTTGGAGACTCGGAAAATAAGATTTAGAGTCTAGGGTTCATGATTCCGGGAACTTTCGTAGCACCAAGGGACGGCTTAAGGGGCTAAGGCCCTGCATACCACATGATCTTGTCAAGGAACTTTACTGCTGTGAGTTCCCACAAGAAGGGTCTACAGTAGCCCTAAACCCTCAACCCCTAAAACCTAAGCCCGTAATCCTGGCTTACTTTTGATCAGACGGGGTTGAGCTCCTTAATAAGAGCCCAGTCGCCATGATGTCGAACTCCGACGTTACCGTCAAGGCCACGGCGATGGGCCGCTCGGCCCAGTCTCCTGGATTCTTTTTGAAGAACTCAACCTAACTTACCGTAAGAGTCTGGTTAGAGGTCTCAGTTTTAGATATCATAAGTCACCATAGGATTCTTCTTACAGATCCTCTAAACCCTAAACCCCTAAACGCTAAACCCTAAACCCTCTTTACCTAAGTTACCACAAGAAGGAAGGCAGGTTCGTGGATGTATGAGCCTGGCATGCCAACTGGAACTGGAGTCGTGAAAACCCTGCGAAAACGCTTCAAAACCTGGCAACACCCACAAACCCTTTGAGCTGCAAAATGGGAAGTTCTTATAGGGTTCTCATTATAGGCGATCATAGGATATATAAGAAAGTTGACAATCTGCTTTTGGGCGGAATGAGAAGGCCGGAGCTCCGAATCTTGACTGACTTATGGAACCTTCAATAGCTTTCGTTCTCTTATCATACTTCCAAAGACCATCTATAAACTGTTCTTGACGCCCTGAGAAAAGCCCCCAAACAAAGCTGCAGAGCCTAAAAACTGCAAAGACCCCTACAAAAACCAGTCAAAACTAACTACAAAGCCTAGTCATTCTAAAGTCCCTTCAATAAGTTCTGAATTCCTAAGAAAGGCCCACAAGCATCCTTATAAAGCCCTCAACTCTAGGTTCGTGTAAGAAGCCTTCCCAAGGCCCCTAAGTTCCTCAAAGACAAGCCCATACACGCACGCACGCACACACACACACACACAAAAAAAAAAATCCCTTTAAAACAAATCCTCAAACTGGAGCCCAGTCTCCCGCAGCACGACGCCGGCAACCTCCGATTTGCTCAAAGAAGCGCCGCCGGGCGAAGGGCGTCTCGTGCTGAAGACCTGCTTTGCCCGGGTTTTCCCAGGGTTTATTTAGGGTTTAGTGCTTTCGGGGTTTAGGGTGTCGGATCTTCTATGGATCTTCTTTTGCTTTCGGGTAGGGTATCCGGAAGGTTTCTTGTAAGGTTCTCCAAAGGCTCGTGTAGTCTTTTCGGCGCTTCTTGTAGGGGCCTTCATGATTAGAATAGGGTCTTGGGGCCCCATGGTACTATAACTATAATAAGGAACCCCGAACCCCAAAAAAAGAAATCGTATAGGTAATTATAAACCCTAAACCCTAAACTCTAAGCCCTAAACCTTAGAAGCTGCCCCCACCCTGTGGAAAAACTGTGATAGTGACTATAAGGATTAGAATCAGGGCCCTATTATATTCGTATTATGCCACTATTACAGGGTGGGGGCCCCTTCTAACCTAAACCCTAAACCCTAAACCCCTAAACCCCTAAACCCTAAACCCTAAACCCGAAACCCTAAACCCGAAACCCTAAAGAGGCCCCGATGTTACCCAAGCTACCAAGAAGGCGCCTCGGAGGAGCGCCATGAGCTCCTCGTCCTTGAAGAAGACCTGTTTGGGAGCTGAAGGGCTAGAATAAGAATCGTTTAGGGTTTAGAGTTTAAGGTTTAGGGTTTAGGGTTTTGTTAGGGTTTAGGGCTATAAGAAAATAGTAGTAATAATGACACGAAGAATGATACGAAGAAGAATAATATATGATATAACATCATATAACATCATACAAGAACAATAACACTGCGGTTTGAAGAGATTGCCACCGGCTTTCTTCAGCAGGATTTCTGTTTGAAGCGATTGCTTTTGGGTTGCCTGCCAGGATTTTGTAGGGCTTTTCAAGGTCTGTAGGATTTTTACGAGGGTTTTGCAGGGTGCAAGAGGCTCTAAGAATATTCTACAGTTCTACAGCATCTTCACGTTTTTCGAGGAGGGTGGGTTTGGGTTTCAGTCGGTGTTGAAGTCGAAAGTAGCCTTCGCCCCCGATGCCTATCATAGTGGGCCCTTTTCAGGGTTTGGGGTGTAGGGGTTTGCATACCATCCCCGCATGATGGATAAGGCAAAGAGAACCCACACAGGTCCCACAGACCTGCGTGTCGAAGTAGCGGCAGAGCTGCATAGATCTCAGCGTCTGGTATGTGGCTCCCTCCTCAAAGCCCGCAGAACGGTCCGCAAGCCTTAAAACCAGCCCGCCACACCCTCAAATCCGATAAGGCAGTCAGCCCGATAAACCAAGTAAAGCACCATCCAAGAACTAAAGAATCCGGCTGAGGGGCCTTAATAGCTAGCCTATAGGGCTTTGGGACATATTGTTGTAAAGTTAGCCAGGGACAGCCATGGGATCGTACTCCTCGTCAAAGGCCCCGAAGGCCCCCCCCTCAACCCTAACCCTACAAACCCACAAAACCGAAAAGCCTAAGCCCTAGCCCAGAGTTCCCTAAAATTAGTACCCTTATAGAAACCCAAAAAAGATCAGGAACCTTGTGACAAAGGTAAAATTAGTACCCTTATAGAAGCCCTTGTAGATCAGGAACCTTGTTTTTAAAGGGCCTTAGGGGCTCTAAACCCCAACCCACATGGAAGCCGACGGAGACCTCAGCCGCAACAAACCCTAAAAACCCCTAAAACCCTAAACCCTAAAACCCTAAAACCCCTAAAACCCCAAAAACGCTTATATATCACCACAAAACGCTTAAATATCACCAAAAAAGAACCCCAAACCCCCCCCCCCCCCCCCAAAGTCCTCGAAGCCCACGGAGCGGTCCAAGACGGAGAAGCCCCCGGTGAGCGAGCGGAGGCCGATGGCGGTGTTGGCCGGCGCCAGCGGGGGGCCCGTCGCCAGCCTCAGGGCTTTGGGGGCTTTAGTGGTTTTGGGTTTAGGGGTTGTGGTTTCAGGGTTTTGGGTTTAGGGTTTTTTTTTCAGCACCTTTTTCCGTCTGCCCATACCGTCCAAGCTTACGGAAGGCCGAAGTGGCCAGGCGACCACAGAGGGTTTTAGGGTTTAGGGTTCAGGGTTTTGCAGGGCTTAGGGTTTAGAGTTGAGGCTTTAGGGTTTAGGGTCTTGGGTTTAGGGTTTAGGGTTTTGGGTATAGGGTTTCAGGGTTTCGAGTTTAGGGGTTTATCGTTTAGGGTTCAGGGTTTTGGAGGCTTTAGGGGTTTGGGGTTTAGGGTTTAGGGGTTAGGGCTTTGGAGGCTTTAGGGGTTAGGGTTGAGGGTTTAGGGTGTTGGAGGCTTTAGGGTTTTGGTTGTGGGTTTTTGAGCTCCTTTAATTGTGGGTTTGGGGTTTAGGCTTTGAGGCTTAGGGTTTAAGGTTTAGGGTTTATCGTTTAGGGCTCAGAGGAGGGCCCATCGCCAGCCTCAGGGTTTGGGAGGCTTTAGGGTTGTAGGGTTTAGGGTATAATAGAAGGGTATGTATGAATATGGGCCCTCGCCAACTCTGCAGCCGGGCAGCTTGCAGTGGAGGATGCGGCGAAGCGTCTCTCCTTCCGCCAAGCTCAGAGCCACGAAGAAGCGCCCGGAGTCCTTTCTCAGATTTGGAGCGCTTTGGGGTTAGGGTTTAGGGCTTAGGAAGGTTGTGGGTAGGGGCTGAGGGGCACCGTAGGATCTGGAGTTGAGGGCATCAGGCTTGAGGCTCTATTGTATTGGGAGCCTGGCCTGACTCTTGCAGGCTCTAAACTCTAAACCCAAAAACAAAACCCTGAACCCTATGCCCCTAAATCTCCAAAAACCATAAACCCTGAACCCCTACACTCTAAACCCCCAAACCCCTAGGCCCTTGAGGCTCAGAGCTTAGCAACCCGCTCCTGAGGTCGGAAGTGGGGATGAAGCAGCAGCTGCACCATGTCCTTCAACGCGGACGCGTAGGGCCAAGGGGGGGCAGCGGGCTGGGCGCGTGAAAGGGAGAGACGACTCGGGGTTTGGGCTTGGGGCCTTAGTATGTCATAGCCCCCCACACGCCTCGACACCTCGAAACCCGGAATCCTAGAGCCTAAAAACCGATACCCCAAGCACCTAAACTAACCAGTGGTTTTGGGGGCTCCCTTTGCCATAATATCAATGGTTAGTAAAGGCCTCAAAAGCCCTGAAGAGCCCTGAAAGCTCGAAGGGCCCTAGAGCTCACCAGATGCCGGCGCTCCTCCAAGCCAACTCCGGCAGGCTTCCCACCCTCAGGCTTTAGGGGTTTAGGGTTTTCGGGTTTAGGTTGGGGGTTTAGGGTTCAGGGTTTTGTTTAGGCTTTTGAGTTTTCTCTCTTTGGCTTGCTCATAAATTTTCGTAGGGTTTAGGCTTAAGGGTTTGTTTTTCGGCTTAGATTTGGGTTAAGAGTTAAGGATTAGGAGGAAGGGCTCAACGAAGTTCAGGCTTAGGGCCAAAGCTTAGGGTTCCAGGATGTAAACGTAAAAATGCAAGCGAGGGGTTTCGTGCTCGAAGTCTACGGCTACTGCCCAAACCCTTCACTGAGCGCCAAGCGATGAGCGACAAAGCCGTCTTCGGGTCGTGAAGCGCGTAATCGCCCTGGTCGAACACCAGTCGCAGCAACGTGCCGATGCGGTCTTGGTTCAAAGCACCTCAACGGGCACAAGCCGTGATGAACACTGCGAGAGTCAAAACAAGAGCAAGCTCGTACTCTGAACACAACGCTAGCCATATGACTGTAATCAGCTGATAAAGCTAGTGTGGACACAAGTACAAGGCTCACACCCCAACACAACACACGTGTTGGACGTGGCAGCCGGGCGTTGGTAGAAAGATGGCACCAGGGCTCCTACACAACCCTCAACCCTAAAACGTAAAAAACAAAAAAAACCTAAATCCTGAAGCGTGAAATCTTCAATTAAAGCCTATAAACCACCCAAGCCCGCAACCCTGAAATCTGCCTCCTGCGCCCTGCGCATTGCCCTCGGCCGTGAAGAGCTCCAGAGCCCGCTTGCAGCACCTTTTGTTTCAGAAGGGTTTTTTGTAAGGCTTTGATAGATTTCTCTAAAGGTTCTAGAGGGGCTTCATAGGGCTTTTCTTCTCATTAGGGGCGCCGGGGTGCCTGATTTTGGGTATCCTTACATTGAGGTTCCTACTTCTCTTCAAGACTTAGATTATGCGGTGGAACATCCCTGATATGACAGCAGGATCCCCAAGACGGCATGGTTCAAGGAACGTGCCCTACTTCGGAGATTCTGCAAGAGCCGCGTCAGGACAAGGGAACAGATGCAGTGTTGAGGTTATCGGTCGTACATGGGTTCATGGTTTTTGGTTTAGGGTTGTTTCAGGGCTCAGATCTGATAAAGTCAAAAGGTTCCATGGGGAGTTGGTGTTCAGGCTGATTTAGGTTGAGGGTTAGTGCCAGATTCTAGTTACACGGGTTGAAAGCTAGCTGCAACCCCAAAACCCCAAGACCCTTGTACTAAAGGCCTAAATGGACTGTGTAAAGCACCCTTTCCACATCAAACCCGCCCTAAACCCTAAACCCTAAACTGCAACACTACTTTGGTGTTCCTTACTATGAACATAGTATGTTATTTATATATATATATATATATATATGTATATATATATATGTATATATATATATGTATATATATTCTAAAAACCTAGTCTACTTATGATCGCCCAACTCCCTTCCGGGCCCAGATGCTTCTGCATCAGGGCTTCTTCGGTCTCCTTGTAGCGGATGGCGTGGACACCGGAGCTTTAAAGTAAAAGCCAGAAAGTTGGAATATGATTATCCTAAACCCTTTGTGGTAGATTATAAGGTATCCTACCCTGAAACCATATTCCAACTTTCTGGAGTTCCCTTTAGGATTCTTTGGGGCTTGCTCTCTCAGTCTGGTCTTCGGATTACATGCGTTTTGCATAGGGTTTAGGGTTATAGGGTTTAGGGTTTAGGGTTATAGGGTTTAGGGTTTAGGGTTTGGGGTTTAGGGTTTAAACCTTGGGGCTTTACAAACCTCAGCTTCAGATACGCCCTGCGAGCCCGAAAACCAGCCATGTGTCCTAAAACCCCGATTAACCATGTTGGTGGTTGTCAAGATTAGGGCCCCTTGTTGGGTACCCTAAATATTAGGTGCCGTACTACCAGAATCATAAGGACCCAAACAGGGACCCTAATTTTGACAACCATCCATGTACATGTCACATACAATCAAGCCCTTACAAGCCCTCGAATAAGCCCTCGAAATCGGCATACCCCAATATTTAAACATAACTCCTGCAACCCCAGCCCTAACACCCTTCAAACAACCAACCCTCTTCTAAAATCAGACAAGCCGCCGAAAACCCAACCAAAAAAAAATCAGAGACAAAACCCGCCCTTCCCCCCTTCCCGGCTTGGGGCCACCAGGGCTCCGAGAGCTGCAACTTCTCGGCCAGGCGCTGCGCCGGACATCCTCGGGGAAGCCACTCCATGACCTGGCGGGGAGTCAGAGCTAGGCCCGAAACCCTAAACCCTTTTAAGGGTCTAGTGTTTGGGGGCTTAGGGTTTAGGGCGTTGGGTTTTGGGGTTTAGGATTTGGGGTTTAGGGCCTACGGAGTTTAGGGGTTGGGATTCAGGTTGTTGCATTTTTTGATAACGGGGGCTTAGGGCCTTAGGGGTTTAATTAGTGCGCACCCACAACATAAAAATCAACACTCTTAGCGCGCTCGGGGCTGGGGCTCGGGCCAATGGGGTGTGGGCCGGCCAGCCGGGGGCGCGTTTGTTTTTGCTGTTGGTCCGCGACGCAAATTCTTTTTTGCTGTGGGTGCGCGAGCTCACTCACTTACTCGCTGCCAGCCGCCCGGAGCACCCACAGCAAGAAAGCTCTCAAGGCCCCTTGAATTGAAGCCCGCTGCGGCCTTCTCTTTGAGAACCCTATAAAGCCTCCCCTCAAAATCCTAAAAGCCTATTAACATTACTACGCTTTCTGTCAACAAAAACCATAAAGCCCGTATGAATGCGAATAAACCTTTCAAACAACGGTCCCGACAGCCCCCAAAAAAGCCAGCTTTCAAAAGCCCTCAGCGACCGAGGCGCCACACAAGTGTTCTTAAGCCGCCGGAAACCCGACCACTTGGGGTTGTAGTAGTTCTCGGAGAGGAGGAAGTCCTCGCAAACACTTTGGAGTTCTAAACCCTAAACCCGTAAACCCTAAACCCTAAACCCGCAAACCCTAAATGGCGGTGTCCTTGGGCAAGGTCTCCAAGCTCCGGCCCTTGAAGAGACGGAACTGGTTGGCAGGATAGAACCTGTCAGGAAACCCTGAACCCTAGGGATTCGGCATTTGGCATAAGGGTTTAGGGTTTAGAGTTTAGGGTTCAGGGTTTAGGGTTTAGGGTGGGTTTGTAGGCAACGGGCGGCAGGGCTTGTTAGGGGGCCTCAGCATGATTCAGAGGATTGTGTAGAAGGATGGACATGGTATGTCTTGGTATAAAAAAGCACCCAGGGACGTCGAGGAGCCTGGATTCCCTAGATTCGAGATAATCAAAAAGAGGATGTGAAGGTAAGCTTTACTGCCATGCTGTAGGAATTGCCAGGGAAGCTTATCGCCAGGTAGTGAAACTAGGTTGGGAAACTGCAAGTCTGCAGTGCTTAAAAGCGCTATTTTCGAAATCTCCAGAGGCTTCCTCTGCGCCTTTGTAGCGTAGGCTTTGTAGTAGTTACAGGGATCAAACTTGAAGATTAACGGACCTGAACCCTTCAACTGCCAATCCTGTCAGAATCCGAGGAACTGAGACGGGCTCTCTTCCTGGGCTTTTAAGTAACCAGGGAGAAAAAATATAAGCTATTATCTCATAATGGTTCCTTTAAGAAAAGTATAAACTTCTCTTTCATACTGGTTGCTTTAAGAACAAAGTATTCAAGTGTGGTACTCCAAAGCCCAGGTTCCGTGAGGCTGGCGAAAGGCCAGCTGTTCGGCTCCTCGCTGTCGCGGCAGTACATGAGGTCCACGAACTTCTCAATCTCGATCCTCAGATTGCCGGGTTGTAGTATATCTTAAAATATTATATTGTGTATTATCCTACGTATATCATAAGATTTGATATATATGTATGTATACAAACATATACTGTATATATATATATATATATATATATTTAGCCCTAAACCCTAGACCCTAAACCCTCCCTTTCTTGGGGGTGTCGCTGTAGTAAGGATCCTACTATTCAGAGTCTCTGTGCGGAGTGCCCTGTTGTCCGCAGCTCCAAGATGGCATGGGGCTTTAAGGAGACCCTCAAGAAGGCCTCGTAAATCCTAAACCCCTAAACCCTCAGACCCTAAACCATATACTTGCCATATACCCTTATACTTAAATCCTTAACCCCTAAACCCCTAAACCCTCAAACCCTAAACCATCTACCCTGATATACTCAACCCTGACGGTTAGGATTGAAGAATACGGGGCCTGGCAGGCTATATGGGTTCCCTTGCGAGCGGCTGCTGCTCACGCTCCTCCTCTTCCTCTTCTTCCATTTCCCGCTCCGCCTGCCGCTGAGGGGTTTGGGTTTGGGGTTTCGTATTTGCGTGCGGCGGCTTCGATACCCCCATAACAACACCCCAGCCATCCCTACCAAAATCTCCCAATCTGCATAAGGCTCGCGTCACACCCCGCTCTAACCCCAAGACCCTCAGATCTTATAGTTGTATGCATTCTTCAGATACTAGGGTTTAGACTTTAGGAGTTTAGGAGTTTAGGGTTTAGGGTTTGGGGGTTTAGGGTTTCGGGCGAGTACAAACCAAAACTAGCAGCTAAGAAGCATGAGATGCAACCGCGAACGAAGTCTGCGCACAATACACAAAGTAACTTGTGCTCGTCATGGTCCCCTAAACCCTGAACCCTAAAAGCGTACTAAACCCCAGCCACTGAAACAAAAGAGAATAACGACAAAAGAAACACCGAATCCTGAGACCAAAGACTGTGCCTTTAAGTAACCAGGAAAAAGCATTAAACCTTTATTTCATAATGGTTCCTTTTAGAAGAAAATATTAAAGTATAGTCCTCCAAAGCCCAGAAGAAACAAAACTAAACCATAAGCACCGAACAACTAAAACTCCAAAACTTGAGGATAACAAGAAATTAGCATAAGCTTAACCAAAACACCAAAATACTCCCAAACCCGTTTTTCAAAAACTTCATATTTTTATAAACCAACCAATTTTTGTGAAAAAATAAAAAAAAACAAGAAATTGATCAAAAAAAGCACCCGTGCGCCTCGGCCTCTCGCTCGGCCTCGGCCTCCAAGGTCTGCTCGCCAACCTCCGGCAACGAGGCGCATCGTTGCGCTTCTTGGGTTCTTGTTAAGGCATCTAATCTAAGGTACCATAATTTAGGGTTCCTTTAAGGGTTCCATAAGGGTTCTTGCCAAGGTATTTAGGATTTAGGGGTTTAGGGGTTTAGGGGTGTGGGTTTTGGGAGTTAAGGGATTTAGTTTAAGGTACCATAATAAGCCAAAGGGAAACACTATTATGTACTATAGATCCCCATTATGGTAACTTAAATTGAATTCCTTAAAAACCCAAAAATCTTCTGTTTTCAATTGCCTAGGGTTGAGGATTCAGAAGCTGAAACGTTTTGAATGGAATTATTGTAGAATGCTATGAGTGGTTAGTCGGTTTTACTTGTCTTTGTGTTGGAGGTGGTGCTGGCGGTTGTGATGGTTCCGGGTCTTGTATTGCTGGTTTTGTCCCGGCGAGCCTTTGTTGCGGTTTGGGTTTAGACTTCGCTGTTGGCGGTTCGGTGGGTAAAGGGTGTGGAGGCTTGGGGCTTCGGTGTACAGGGGTTAGGGTGTTGTCGGGTGGAAGGTTCAGGATGTTGTCGGGAAGGAAAGGTATTCACAAACCGACCCCCCGCGCGCGAGCACCGATAGCACAGCAGCTTAGGGGAAGCGTGTTTAGGGTTGAGGGTTCGCACCTCCATGCCCTGCACCTCCAGCACGTTCTTGATGACCTTGGTGGCTGGTACTGTTGAACTGGTTCTTGCATGATCCTTATGATATGACCCCCTACAATTCTACAAAGGGGCTCCCTAAACCCTAAACCCTTGGAGGGAGGGTTCGGTCTTGGGGCGACCGGGCCGTGGCCCTCCTGGCAGCCCAGCTCTGGTTGCTACACCGAAACTTCAACCTGAGCCATTACATTGACTATACCCCCCTTAGAACCATAATAAAAATGATATGTTTAATATTCTCTTGGGTTTTATATGAACAAAAATAAGATCAATTCCTAAGGAGACTATAGTCGATAGTACGCTTTTAGATCCTCTTACAGGACTGTTCTAGCAGAATTCTTGCACACCTTATAGAATCCCAAACCAGCCTTCGGCCCCTTGATTTTCGGGGACATGCAGTATGATACTACCCTAAACCCTAAACCCCGAAACCCCTAAACCCTAAACCCTACTGGCAGCAGGCTTGAGGGTCTTACGGTCTTTGAATACCTGGACCCTTAAGGAACCTGCCTTTTTAGGGTTCCCTGAAATGATTTCTTTATATAAGTCCTTAAAAAGGTGGGTTACTTGGGGTTAAGGTCAGTTTACAGGGTTTTCGGGTGGAGACGTAAAACGTCGGTGTGGTCACTGCCGTATACCAAACCCGTGAACCGGTGTTACCGACATGACATTGACTTTGACTCGCTTCTATCTTGTAGTCCCGGTTTCTCTCAGGGCCCAAGTAAGCATTACACCCCAAACTAAACACAGAGCCCCAATACCAACAACACCAAAACGCCCTTCAACACAAACTTCTAAGCGGATGTAAAGCTCGTGCCGTTGGTATTAATTGGGCTTAGCCTGAGAACTCCGACACGGTGCTTTAAATCGGAGTTTCCGAAAATAGGGGGGGGATCCTAATATGGTACCCCAAATAGTAGGATCCTTCTTATAAGACTATTTAAGGACCCCTAAACCCTAAACCCTAAACCCTAAACCGCAAACCCTAAACCCTAAACCCTAAACCCTAAACCCTAAACCGCAAACCCTAAACCCTAAACCCTAAACCTTAATTTCGACAACTCCCAAATCTCCATTCGAGAGCTTGCTGTCCAGGCTTTGGGTTTCGGATTAGGGCTCGCGCACGCCACCTTCATCCTCTGAGCCCTTAAAGTTTCCTAAACCCGACCTTAACCCTACTTGGAGGGTCTTTAGGGGACTTAGTAAGTAGGGTAGTAAGTAGACTTCTAAGTATCCTAGAAGGGACCCTAATTGGGGTTATGGTACTTATAAGTCCCTAAAATAACCAGTTACCAAGTCCCCCGACCCTCCAAGTAAACCCTGCACCCAGGTACGACACCCCAGACTCTGAACCTTAAAGCCTAAACCCCCAAACAGACCCTTCGACTTCAAAAACCGTGAACCCTGAACCTTAAACCCTAACCCTCAAGTGCACCGGTCCCGTCGAGTGCCCGACCCACTCCACCGCCTGGCGGTCGCCATCCGTGAGGATGTACCTTGGGGGCAACGAGGACAAGAAGTCTTTCGAACTACGATTTTACTCATCACCCTTCATGGTTTAGGGTTTAGGGTTTAGCAGCCCAAACCCCCGAACCCTAAACCCTAAACCCAATAAGATTGCATGGGTTATGACTGACGTCTCGGGTGGTGCTTAGGGTTCAAACTCAGAGCTGATGGGGCGGCGTAGGTTCTAGGTTTAATATACGAACATGCTTAAAGCCCGCTACCAAAACAACATTCCAAACAAAAACCATAAGCCTCTCTGTCCTAAAGCCCTTTAGCAAGACAATATGTAAAACAAACACACATAATGTAGGAACCTGCTTAAGACACCTTGGGCCGGTAACCCCAAAATAGTAGGATTCATATAAGGAACCCTGATAATGGCCCAAGGGTTCTTTATCAGGTTCCTACATTATTATAGTACCCTTATAGATCCCTTATAATAACCCTTATAGGCCCCTTTAGAAGGAACCCCTAATAAAGGCTCAAGGTTTCTTAATCAGGTAGGTTCCTACACATAAACCCCGGAAGGCCTTTCGTCCTGAACTCCTGAATCCAAGGGTAAAAGGAGGGACCCTGAATAAGGACCCCTAGGTATATACCCTTAATATAGCTATATATATACCCTTAATACAGCTATTATATACCCGTTATATAGCCCATTATAGCTTAGCGGCCTCCGTTAAGGGTCCCTCCTTTTCCCCTTTGACTGAAGCCAGGGCGCTTTGTGTACTCGTCGGCTTTTCCTTGTACGATCTGAAGCAGCCCTCTGGGCACAGGCACCTGGAGGCTGCCTTAAGGTCTAGGGGTTAAGCTTTAGAGATTAGGGTTTTTTTTTAGGGTTTAGGGTTTGGAGATTAAGGATTTTTTGTTTTTTAGGGTTTAGGGTTTAGGGTTTAGAGATTAAGGTTTAGGGTTTAGGGCTCAGGATTTCCTAGACACTCTGGGCACAGGCACCTGAGTGGGAGCTGCCCTCAGGTTTGGGGTTTATCGTTTGGGGCTTTAGGGGTTTAGCGTTTAGGGTGAATAGCTTTGGAGTTTAGGGTTCCGTGCTTTTTAGGGTTTGCGGGCTCTAGGATTTGAGGTTTTTGTATATAGAAGGCTATGAGCGATCAGAACCTTTTTATCTTGCTTGGAAGTGGTTAAGTGGCTTCAGGAGTGCTGGGGTTTAGTTTTACGACTTGGGGTTGAAGGGCCTTGGGTTTGATGGGTTCGGTGAAAACAAGAATTTGAAGGCAACCCGACTTTGAGACAACCCTACAGACACCTAAAACCGCTTCGGAAGGATTTCTGCCTTCTAACACGGCCCCAATCCCTGCGCCCGAAACTTGTTGAAGCCTCTGGTTCAAGCCTCAGACTCAGAAAAGAAAACTTTGTAAAAAGAGCCACTCACTAAAAGAACTGAAACCTCTTAGGCAACCTCGGAGTCTCCAACATAAAAAAAAACTTTTTGAGAAAAAACAGGCCCCTAAAAACCCTAAACCCTAACCCCCCCCCCAAAAAAAAAAAAAAAAACAAGGACTCTCCAAAATCGGACACATCCTAGGAGGTGTTTTTACTGAAAGCCAAGAAGAACTCCGCTGCCTCCACCACAAGCACCTAGTGCCTGTAGCATCGAAATCTGAAGTTCGGCTGAAGTCTGATTTTTAAAGCCTTGGAAAGATATTAGTAGCTAAGATTACCTTAAGCCCAATAAGAGCAAATATAGAATGTCCCAAAGCCCTACCTGGCACCTGTTGAGCCCTTTCCCGCCCTATACCCCCCTTAGAACCATGATAAAAACTACATTTCTAAATGCTCTCTTGGGTGTTATATGAACAACAATACAAAGTAATTGGGTGGTTGTCAAAATTATGGTCCCTTCTTGGGTACCTAATTTAATACAGCACCTAATATTTAGGGTACCCAGACAGGGACCATAATTTTGACAACCACCCACAAAGTAATTCCAAAGGAGACGATAGCACCTTGTCCAAGACCTTGAAGTCGATGGGCTCCTTGAAGACCTGGCTTTGGAGGGAGAGGGAGAGGGAGAGGGAGAGTTTGGTTTCGCTTTTTGGGAGGTGGCTTTAAAAGGGATTTAAGGGCTTTAGTACGGGGGTGAAGGGATCTAAGGGCTTTAGTGAGGTAAGGGCTTCACTAAGGGATGTAAGGGCTTTAAGGGTTTTAAGGGCCAAAGGCCTAAGTCTTTGATTTAAGGAGTCTTGCGCACGTTTGGATTTGGGTTGGGGGGTTCGGGGGCAGGGTTCTGGGTGAGGGTGTGTGGTTTTGGGGTTTCGGCGTTCCTATGACATCAGGTCCAAGAGCTGAACGCGCGAAGGTTGGCAGCGGCATCCCTGGAGCCCTAAATCCAAACACCCTCAGCCCAGATAATTCGAGCGTTTTGCAATTTAGGGTCTAGTGGGAACCCAGCAAAGAAACTGCAAGCAGAAGGAAAAGGCCTCGATACAGTCCACGATCTCCGGTAGCTGTAGGAGGGCGTACCTTGGCTCTGGGTTCTCGTATCCTATAGGGGTATTATAAGTATTACAAGGGTATTATAAGGGTACTATAATAAGGCTACTATAAGGGTTCTGCAAGGAATCTAGGCTTCAGATTTGGGCGATGGATTCGAGCGAATTCAACCGCTTTGGGCTCGATAGTTTAGGGCTTTGAGGTTTAACTCTAACCCACAAGACTTAGGGCTCCCTGTCATAAACCCTAAGCCCTTAACCCTTCTGTATCATGCCTCCAAAACCAGGTCGGTTGAACTGCAGGGAGGGTTTAGAGCTCAGGGTTTCGTAGCTGAAACCCAGTAATAGGGCCCCAAAAAAGCACATAAGCAAAAATTAGGGTAGGGATATCCCATATAAATCCCCTTATAATGAAGCCCAATAAGGTAGGGATATCCCCATAAAATGCTTATGCTTATGTGCTTTTTGGGGTCCCCAAGTAAGTTCAGGAACTGAGGGCCTTTGGAGCATCTCCCCCTTCTGCGGAGCTCTCGGGCTGGGAGCGGTGACGTTGGGCTTCGGGCGTCCTAGCCTTTCGGGCCCAGGTGTTCGGGCTCCCTTTTTTTTGCGGGCCCTTTTCCGACTGCATGTACCAGAAGGAATACCTTATCGGGTGGAGCCTATGTTCGGTTTCAGGGCTTAGGGTTGCTTCTATGGGTTTAGGATTCAGGTGAGGGGCATGTTTTGGAACCCGACACCATAAGCCCGGATCCGTTTCTGGTTCCGGGCTTCGGTGCCTTGCTTTGGCACTTCCGCACCTCTGACCGAGGCGCTTCTCCATGATCATGTTCCAGGCGTTCTTGCGCCAGATGTTGGAGAGGTTCCTTGCTTGTCAACCGTAAAGTTTGGGGGGTTGTAGATTTCAAGGGCATTAAAGCAGAAGGCGCAGGAGAGGTGCAGTAGATTGTCAGTAGTTGTTGTCAGCGTCGTCCTTGCTGTTAGTTTCCCTCGTCTGGGGAATTATAGTTCTCGTTCTCTGATGAGTGCTTTGAACCTGTAGTCGTAACTAGGACAGCAGGGGGTTAGCAGAAGCAGTAGTATGAGTAGTAGCAGTAGCAGAAGCTGCTGCTATAGCACGAGGAGGACACAAAAAAGGAAATGGTTTCCGCCTGGAGAGTGGTGTAAGCCTGACTTCTGGGTCTGATGTGGAGGGTTTTACCCTAGCCGCCAGCCCTAACTCCAACCCCTCACATTGGAGACAATTCCCCCTGAACCCATCGACCAGAAAGCCGGCACTGTAGGTGAGGCTCTGCGTCTGCAGGACGTTGAACTGCAGCCGGTCCGACAGCATCGAGTTGAGCACCAGCCATCCGCAGACGTCACCCAGCATGGAGGTCTCGCAAAAAGCCGCTTCAAAAACAAACGAAAGACTCTTCTTCGAAGTACTTTGGACCCTTCGCAAAGCCAAAAACCTTAGTTGAAACACGTAAAACAAAATAACTGCTCCACAGATTTTCATGTGTCTATATATACAGCCTGCCAACGTTGCATACGTACATACATGCATACTACATGCATACCTACCTACACATACACAACACATATACATGCTCATACACGTACACGCACACGCACAAAAACAGGCTCACACACATGCACATGTACAAACATCGACCTACACATATACACATCTACATATACATATTAGTGTGCGTGAGTATGTTTGCAAGTATACAGACTTTATGGCTACATATCTATATCTATATATATATATATCGATATATATATATATACACACATATATATATATATATATATACATATATATATATATACATATATACATATATACGCAATGTCCGAAGTCACAATCCTAATGATACCATTAACAAAGACATCTGCTACAGAGGGGTCTCCTCGGTGCAGACCGGCTTGCCGGAGTTGGCTTGCAGGATCTGCTTGCCTTGGTTTTGGGGTTTAGGGTTTAGGTTTTTGCTGCTTTTAAGGGCCCTTTTTCCAAGGGTTCAGGTGTTAAGGTTCAGGGTTTCAGGGTTTAAGGTTCAGGGTGTCAGGGTTTTTCTCTTTTGAACTCCTGGTGTCAGGGTTTTAAGGTTCAGGGTTCAGGGGTTTTAGGGTTCAGGGCTCAGGGTTTCAGTAAGGAGCTTCGGGATGCGACGCTAGGAGAGTGGCGGGTTGCGTAATGTAGGGACCTTAATAATTGGAATAGGCTTTTGGGGTACATTATACTATAACTATAACACAAGGAACCCCCAAAATAGTATAGGTAATTAGTTCGGCCTCTTTAGTAATGTTGGGGGCTTCATGAGTTCAATTAGAGTCCTGGGGTATCTGATATAATTGGCATAAGAGAGAATACGATCCCGACTTAATACGTCAGATTTAGACTTAGGCGCACAAGGCTTCTAAGTCTCCCCTCGTAGGCTTTAGGACCACAGCGTTGAGGGCTTCGAGCTCGTACTTTACGGAAAGCAGCAGGAATGATGGAGAACCTGATGCAGAGGTGTTTGTACTGAGGACGAACTCAACAGAATAGGTCCTGAACCGTAGTCATAACAGGAATAACAAAAACAAGAACGACTCAGAAGTGCTGTTCAAAAGACGCAAGGCAAATCAGGTTACTGGTCGCAAAAAAAACCTAGACACCTCTGACCCGCATCCAGGCTCCAAGTTGCTTATCAGCTCCCGCACCTCTGGGATGATGAGGATGCGCAGCTTCTGCCCCTTGCCGATGCCTGCGGTCAGGCTTTAAGCTATGGAAAACTGTGGGCGCGGTTTTTTGGGCTTGGTTGCATAGTGGGAGGCCCGGTGGGAGGCCCGAGCCGTAGCGATGAGCGTCATGAGAGCAGTAGTTGCCGGCGTCATGGTCGCTGTCGTTGTGCGGTTATCTAGCAAGAAAAGACCAACTTTAGTAGTAGCCATCATCATCATCAACAGCGCGTCAGAGGAAGAAACACGCCCTTGTCGCGACTCTACATCGCTTGAGGCATTTCCACCGTCCTTGCCAAGGAGCTGAGCCCTAAACCCTCTGAGCCTCCAGCCAAAGACTACTTGCAGACCTGACCCATACCCTCTGGGCCGTAGAAAACAGCCCCACCCTATGACCTTGAATCCTCATAGAACCCTTATAGGGACCCTCAAAAGAAACCTTCACAGAACCATTGTATGGTGCCCTTAAAGGAACTTTCATTGAACCACCTTTGATTAAAGGGAACCCTTATAGATCCCTTAAAGGAACCCTTATGAATACCTTAAAGGGAACCTTATCGATACCTTAAAGGAACCCTAAAGCCTAAACCCTTTAAAGCCTCTGAGCCGATAGGCACCCTGGGCATAGTCTCGGAAGACCATGTCCTTTCGGGCGTTCAGGGGTTCCGGTTAGGGTTTTTGGTTCCTTTAAAGGGTCCTTTCAGGATTTAAAGGTTCAGGGGTTCAGGGGTTCCGGTTAGGGTGTTTGGCTCCTTTAGAGGGTGCTTTCAGGATTTAAAGTTCAGGGTTCCGGGTTTAAGGGTTATAATGGTTAGGGTTGGGGATCAGGGTTAGGGTTTAGGGGTTAATGGTTAGGGACTCACGCTGGGTTGAGGGTTCAACGTTTCGGATTTGGGTTTCAGGGTTCAGTATTCAGGTTTCGGAGTAAAGGATCAGGGATTAGGGATTACGGCGTTGGGTTAGGGTTCAGGGTTTAGGATTCAATGTTTCGGGTTTCGGGTTTAGGGGTTAGGCTTTCGGGGGTGGGGGCTAGGGATCAGGGTTTAGGGATTAGGAAATTAGGGTTTTGGGATTAGGGATTATGGTTTGCGGATTGTCAACCCTGTAGCGTCCTTCCCCAGCGTGATGGCGCCCACACAGTCGCGCTTGTGCTGGATATCCATTCCGGTGGTGTGCACCTATGGGGCCATGTGGGTTTGGTATCTAGGGTTTGGGGCAATGCTATCAAGGTCGCTCGGTTGAAGGGGCATGCTGCGGATTTGGAGCTCCTGGCAGTCCTTCGAGATTTTGAGCCCAAACCCTCTGAAACCGAAAGCACTTTGTTAGACTGGGGTTCTGGTGTAGATAAGAGAAATCATATAGCTATATAATATGGAGGGATATATGGGGATTATGATGTTACTATTGTAAGGAATCAAGGAACCCTAACAACCCTCTAGAACCCTCATAGCAACCCTTGCAGAAGCCTGCCAAAGAAACCCTCTTCTATACTGAACTTAGAACCCAAGAAAAATCATAATTTTAGCTGTTTCTTAAGGATTACAATAACCAAAAATTAAAAACTCATTTCTAAGTACCCTTAAGTCTTGGTGGCGGTGCCTGGTCGTAGAAAGCGAAGCGGCTGGTGGCCGGGATGCCACAGTCAGCCAGATTCAGGACTTCCTGGGTTTGCCTCTGCACGGTTTTATATAGGGTTTAGGGTTTAAGGTTTAGGGTTTAGGGTTTAGAGTTTAGGATTTAGGTTTTAGAGTTTAGGGTTTAGGGTTTAGGGTCTAGGGAACATGAGGAGGTTGTCAAAATTTGGGTCCCTTTTTGGGCCCTTAGCATAATACGGCACCTATTATGTAGGGTACCCAAAACCTACTTGTCGGGTATCATGGGGAACTAAAAGTTAACCTTTTTGGTTATATAGGAATTATATAGGGACTGTACTACCCAAAAAAGGTTAAAGGTTACCTACTCGACTACTGGGAAAAAGGGACCCTAATTTTGACAACTATGGGAGACTGAATGCTTTGAATAGGGTTTCTGCCGTCCGGCTCTGACTACTGCGCTTCGCGTTTTGGGGTTTGAATTTTTACAGTGTAGGGCTTCCGGGTTTCTTTCTTTGCTGGTCAGGGTGTAGGGCGGATCATTCTGAACTCTCATGTTGTTACAAGTACAAGTATTGCTGCGACGAGTAGGAGAAGGGGCATCAGCAATTCGTGGCGCTGGTGATAGAACTGCCACAGGGACGTGATGCGTATCACGACGATGAGTAGACACGAGGCCCCCAACGCCATGGGGATCCCGTAAGCCTTTGAATCCCAAGAACTAAAACCACACAAAGCCCTACAGTAGAAGCCAGAAAGTTGGAATATGATTATCCTAAGCGCTTTATGCTAAATTATAGGGGGTCCTACCATTAATCCATAGTTCCCTTTAAGATAATATTCTCGAACGGTCGGACTCCGGGCCTGAGGAGGATCTTCTTCGATCCTTCATCATCGATGAAGACCACCCCCTGGAAGCTGCTTGGCAGCGTGGGGTGAGGCACCTGGGCATTGTCCAAGCCGAGGAGGTACACGGCCACGTCCTGACTCGCTGGTGGCATGAACTTCGCACTTCGCACGGATCATCTGAAAGACAAAACAATATTACGTAGAACCAGCAGCAGAAACACAACAACGACTGGAAAAGATGGCTCCCTCACAGCAACAGCAACAGCAATCTCAACAACAACTCCTCGTACATGCCTCCGCCCGCAACGCTCAACCCTGACCCTGACGCGTCCTTGTTGGACAGGCCGGTGATGAGGGCTCCCGTGTCGATGAGGGCGTGGAAGCCCCCCACCGCGATGCGGTCAAGGAGGCTCGTGACGGTCCAATCGGCACCGAAGACTTCGAAGGAGACCACCTTCCGAGTTGTGCATCATAGTCGTCGTCGTAATCGTAGCACCAGCAGGAGTAGTAGTCGTGGTCGTGGTAGTGGCGGTGGCAGTGGCAGTGGCAGCGGGAGTGGCAGTGGCAGTGCCAGTGGCAGCGGCAGTGCCAGTGGCAGTGGCAGTTGAAGTAGTAGCAGAGTAATAATAGTCGACGTCGTCGTAGTCGTAGTCGTCGTCGTAGTAGTAGCAGTAGCAGTAGCAGTAGCAGTAGCAGTAGCAGTAGCAGTAGCAGTAGCAGTAGCAGTGGCAGTGGCAGTGGCAGTGGCAGTGGCAGTGGCAGTGGCAGTGGCAGTGGCAGTGGCAGTGGCAGTAGGAGTAGGAGTAGGAGTAGGAGTAGGAGTAGGAGTAGGAGTAGGAGTAGGAGTAGGAGTAGGAGTAGGAGTAGGAGTAGGAGTAGGAGTAGGAGTAGGAGTCGGAGTGGGAGTGGGAGTAGGAGTAGGAGTAGGAGTAGGAGTACGAGTACGAGTAGGAGTAGGAGTAGGAGTAGTAGTAGTAGTAGTAGTAGTAGTAGTAGTAGCAGTAGTAGTAGTAGTAGTAGTAGCAGTAGTAGCAGTAGTAGCAGTAGTAGCAGTAGTAGCAGTAGTAGCAGTAGTAGTAGTAGTAGTAGCAGTAGTAGCAGTAGTAGCAGTAGTAGCAGTAGTAGTAGTAGTAGTAGTAGCAGTAGTAGTAGTAGTAGTGGTAGTAGTAGTAGTAGTAGTAGGAGTAGTAGTTGTTGTTGTAGTAGCACCACCAGCAGTAGTAGTGGCGTAGTCGTGGTAGTTCAGAATCAGGAGAAGCAGCAGTCGCAGTACTTGCCGTAGCCTAGGCTCCTTCAAGGGCTCTCTATGGTTCCTTTAAGGATCCCTTTAAGGGTCCCTTTAAGGGCTCTCTATGGTTCCTTTAAGGATCCCTTTAAGGGCTCTCTGAAAGACGTGCCTCTGGATTCGTCAGCGTGTGGACGATGCTGCCTTCGGTTTAGGGGCTTATGGCTGCTCTGTTTTAGGGGTCAGGGGTTCCGGGTTAGAGGTTTAGGGTTTTGGGTTTAGGGGTTTTGGGGCTTAGGGCATATAGGGCGTATAGGGTTTAGGGGCTTGGGATTGTTCTGTTTTGGGGGGTCAGCGGTTTAGGGGTTTATAGAGTTTAGGGGTTTCTTGTTTGCGGGTTCGGGATGTCGGGCACCCTCAATGAATCCATAAACCCTGCATTCCCCATATCCCTCTGTTCCCTGTATTCCCTATGTCAAACATGGTATAGAACCCTTGAAGGGACCCTTTGTTCCAAACGAAAACCCTCAACCCTCCATCATAGTAACCCCTACGCTAAAAGAACCCTCGAAGGAACCCTCTGTTCTACTCATAAGGCCTACAACACCCACCTGATTGTCCCTATACCATAGAACCCAGATACAGAACCCATATAGCTCCCTTACATTCCCTGTTCCCTCTCATCCCTGTTCCCTACAAATCCCGATATTCCCTAAACCCTAAACCCAAAACCCTAAACCCCCCCTTACCTCTAAACCCCCAGCCCAGAAGCCCCAAACCCTCCATTGTGTCCCCATTAAGGGTCCCTCCTTTTCCCCTAAACCCCCTAAACCCCCAAACCTCTAAACCCTAAACCCTATACCCTTATAGCATCCCTATAGATCCCTTTATTAAGGGGTCCCTCCTTTTCCCCTATGATTAAAGGGAACCCTTATAGATCCCTTAAGGGAACCCTTATGAATACCTTAAAGGGAACCTTATAGATCCCTTAAAGGAACCCTAAGGAGCCCTTGAAGGAGAGCCCTTTAAAGGAACCCTAACGGACCCTCCATTGTCGCACCTTCGCTCCCGGGCTCGAAGTCGCAGGAGCCGAGCTCCCGGGGCATGAGATCCGAGGGTGTCCCGCTGAAGCCGATACGCTCCTTCAAGGCGTTTAGGCTTTAGGGGTTAAGGTTTAGGGTTTGAGGTTTAGGGTTTAGGGTTTAAGGTTTAGGGTTTAGGACGGTTGATAGAGATACGGTGGTCTACAAGGGTTCCTTTAAAGGGGGTCTATAACGGTTGCTATAAGGGATCTAGAAGTACCTTAAGGCTCCTTCAAGGCGTTTCGGGGGGGCTGGCCCAGAGAGCCCAATACCCCTGAATTAAGGAATATACCTTAAACTGCAAGGGGATTCATATTATGATTTAAGGTATATTGGTTAATTAAGGGGTATTGGGTTCTCTGGGCAAGGCGTTTCGGGGGGGCTCCTGGGGCTTGGGGTCTAGGCTCCTTTAAGGGGCGGCTTGGGTTTCGGGCTCCTTCAAAAGGATTCCTTTTGAAAGAGTTCCGGTAGAAAGGGTACATCTAGAAGGGCTTAATATGACACCTGGTATGTTTCAGGATTCTAAGCTGAGAGGAGGTGCGGAGAGGCTTGGAGGCAAGGCACGACAACACCTGTGAGCCCCAAGAGCCCTGATCCCTAAACCCTAAACTCCAAAGGCCCTAAACCCTAAACCCAAAGCCCTAAACTCCAAGGACCACTCCAAAGACCCTAAACCCTGAACCTCAACGTCCGAAACGTAAACCCTAAAAGGCCGCAACGCCGGCTCGCGCTCCTTGAAGAGCAGGGCCCCACCGAGATCTTGGCCCGAAGACATGAGCTTCACCTTTACAAGCGCCCCTACCCCTTTTTAGGGTTTAGGGTTTAGGGGGGTTTAGGGTCTAGGGGGGTTTAGGGTTTAGGTTCAGGGTTAGGGCTTCGGGATTTTAGGGTTTCGGGTTTAGGGGTTTTAAAAGCCTTTCAGGGCCTTCAAAGCTCTACTTGGAGGGTCGGGGGACTTAGTAAGTACTATAGGTAGAAAGTAGACTTATAAGTACCCTAAAAGGGACCCTAATTCAGATTATGGTACTTATAAGTCCCTAAAAGAACCAGTTACTAAGTCCCCGACCCTCCAAGTACGGGGACTGGGCTCAGGGTTTGGATTTTGAGATTTAAAGTTTAGTGCTTAGGGTTTAGGGTTTAGGGCTGAAAGTTTAGGGTTTAGGGCTTCGGGTTTAGGCTTTGGATTTTGGGGTTTGGGTTTTGAGGTTTAAAGTTTAGGGCTTAGGGTTTAAAGTGTAGGGTTTAGGGCTTAGGGTTGAGGGTGTGGGTTTAGGGTCATTTAGGCTTCGGGATTGGGGGATTTAGGGATATTGCGGGTTTAGGGTGTGGGCTCAGGGCATCAGGTTTGCTTTGGGGTTTAGGGCGTAGGACCCAGAGGTCTCAGAGTGGGTGCTCAAATTTAGAGCATTTGCGGCTTATTCTTGGGAATCTATATGGCTTTTCCGGTTTAGAGCTTGTGGCTTTTCGGGTTTGGTGTTTACGGCATAGGGCTTGAGAACCACGCTGAGTAAGTCCTAGACCCAAAGCCGTCACGAAAGCCGAAACCCTCAGACCTAACCTTACTTACACTCCAACAGCCTGAAACTCTAAACCCCCGAACCCTAAAGCTTCAAAGAAAGCCTAAACTCTAAACCCCCAAAACCCCTACACCCCTAACCCAAGGATGCAGCGGCGAACCTCCTGGAAGCGGAGGTGCTCCGGGAAGACGATGGACTCCAGGTACCAGGCGACCACCTGACCATTCTTCCGGAGGAGCTTGAAGAGCTCGTTCATCTGCCTTTTTTAGGGTTCAGGGTTTAGGGTTTAAGGTTTAGGGTTGAGCTCGTTCATCTGCCTTTTTTAGGGTTCAGGGTTTAGGGTTTAAGGTTTAGGGTTGAGCTCGTTCATCTGCCTTTTTTAGGGTTTAGGGTTTAGGGTTCAGGGTTTAAGGTTTGGGTTTGTTTTGTTTAGGGTTTAGGGTGTGTAGCGGCCATGGAAGCACCAAAGTAACGGTAAAGAGTTGAAGAGCTCGTTCATCTGCCGTTTAGAGTTTAAGGTTCAGGGTCTTAGGTTTAGAGTTTGGGGTTTGGGGTTTAGGGTGTGTATGGGGCCCAAGGTAAAAGATGAAGACCTGACCTTTCGGTGATTATGAAATTCCCCCATTCAGGGCGGATGCTAGCAACCCGATGTCGTCTTCTTGAAGGGATTCCAGTGCTTCTGCGGTGCCGGCGGTTGCTGCGCTCCAGCATGTGCAGTGGCAGGATGCGCACCTGTGCTGTCAGGGCCAAAACCGTCCCTGAAAACATCATGAACCGCAACAAAATAACGGTAATGCTTGTAGCAAGGGCATCCAAATCACAAACAACAACAATAGTAATAATAATAGTTGAAATATCAATGATAATGCTAATCTTAATGATAAAATTACTACAACACGAAAACACTAGAATACTAAAACACTAGCATACTAGAGTTCTATAATGCTATAACCGGATACTACACGACTAAGAATACCAGAATACCAGCATACCAGGACACTAGAACCAGAATACTAGAACACTAGAATGCTAGAATGCTAAGAATACGAGAAGACTTCTAGACTACAATAGTAGAAGACTAGAATCCTATACTACTATTACTAAATTACACTATCAACTGCGGACCATCGTTCAACTCCGAGCCTTCTTCTCGCGCACCTCCGCCGCGCGAGCTGCGGCAAGCTCTTCGGGGGTGAGGTCCTGTGGTTTAGGGTTTAAGTTTAGGGTTTACGTTTAGGGTTTAGGGTTTAGGCTCATGGAGCTTGGGGCTTAGGGCTAAGGGTTTAGTTGAGGGTTTGGGGTCGTGCTTTGCACGCTTCCGCATGGGCTTTCAGCCTTTCCAGGCTCTGTTGTTCGAAACTATCGAAAACAGATATAGATAGTTACATGTGTATATGTATAGACATACATCATAAATCTGTATCTATCTACTTATCTATCTATCTGCCTGTCTCTCTATCTGTCCATCTGTGTATTCTTCAGCTCTCCCTGAAGTCCTGGAGCTCCTGGCGCCTGGTCGCCAGGACCCCCCCGGAGCCTTCGACCCAGCGCTTGAAGAGCATCGCCTGGGTTCTTCTTAAGGGACTCAATTTTTGAGTTGCCATAATTTAGGTTTCTGTAAGGGTTAAGGAGTAAGGGATTCAATTTAAGTTACCATAACTTACGGTTCTATAAGGGTTAAGGGGTTAAGGGAGTTAAGTTAAGTTACCATAATCGGGATATATAGAAGGGTTCCTCTAAGGGATCTATAAGGGTTCCTTTAAGGGTCTAGGGGTTTACTTCAAGTTAGCCATAACAAGGAAACCATATTATTTACTACAGATCCCTATCACGGTAACTTAAATTCCTAAACCATAAACCCCTAAAGGAACCCTCATAGATCCTTATCATGGCAACTTAAACTAAGTTCCTCAACCCTAAACCCTTATAGAACCCTTAGAGGAACCCCTAGAGGAAGCCTAAGTTATGGTAACTTAAACTAAGTTCCTCAACAAGATCCTAGTCGCCGTGGGCCGCTCCGCAGCCACGCCGGGCTCGGCTTCGAGGTTCGCCACCAAGAGGTCCTTTGGGGCTTTAGGGCCTCTAGGGTCTCAGTACGGGTTTAGGGTTTAGGGTTTAGGGTTTAGGGTTTAGGGTTTAGGGTTTAGGGTTTAGGGTTTAGGGTTTAGGGTTTAGGGTTTAGGGCGGTTTATAGGTTAGGAGTATGCATGTGTGTCTATGTATGCCATATATATGTCTAGGTCTATGTCTAGGTCGATGTGTATGTCCATGTGTATTGTATATACAGACATATACACATACACATACGCATACATATACATAAACATATACACATACATATACACATATATTATCTGTGTATACACGCGTCTGTACACTTACATATATAAAAACAAACATACATGCAGACATACATACGTATACATTACATATATGTATATATATATATATATATATATATATATATATGTTTATGTTTATGGACAGATCGATAGGTATATAGGTATGTAGAGAGATAGGTATATAGGTATGTAGGCACAAACAGATGGATACGCATGTACATATCTACAAGGGTCAGGAGTTTAGGGTTCAGGATTTCGGATATATATTGCCACCGGATCTATGTTGCCCGCAGAAAGTCCAGGACGGCATCGAAGTCCGACATACGGAGCCCCTCGTAGCGGAAGCTGAGGAGGGTTAGGCCGATGGTGATGTCCGGGTGGGCGAACTCTGAGGACGGAGACGGAACATCCTTTAGGGTTTAGGGTTCAGGATTTAAGGCTGCGAGTTTCGGGTTTAGGATTTCGGCAGCTTGATTTAATCCGAGCAGGACTTTGTGTTTAGGATTGAGGAATCAGGGTTTAAAGTTTAGGGCTTGGGATTTAGGGTTCAGGATTTGCAGGGTTGAGGGTCCTTGCCGATGAAGGGGATGGACAGCTTGGCACGCGTCATGGGCATGCCGGGCTGCTTGATGAGGGCCTGCTCTACCTGTGTGTCTGTCATGATACCGTAGGTGACCTGGGTTGTAGTTGAAGGGCTTCCAAAACCTCGTTGGAATAGATACCTCTGCAGGACAATACGGGCAAACAAAAACATTCCGCAAGTGCCACCTAGTGACTCTGTTGATCTTCTGGAGCACGTGCGGCAGGAAGATCGAGAGCCAGTCAGCAGAGAGGTTGAGCATCTGCACATCTCTCTTGGGGAGCATCTCCACCCGCTTGGCCAAGGGGGAGTCGGGGGCGGCCACCTGAGAAGGTCAGAAAACAAGGAACCCTGATATAGACCCCAAATAGCAGGAACCTCAATATAAGCCCCCCCCTACCCCTGATATAAGTATGATCTCTACCTATCTATCTACCTCTGTCTCTATCTCCACCGATATCTATTCCTATGTTTGTACCTGTATCTATATCTATGATCTCACTCTTTCTATTTCTCTCATTGTCCCGAATATGGAGAAACCGCACCTGCCGCAGGTACTCTCGGACCTCCTGGTCTGAGAGGCCCCCGTCGATGGTGCCCTCGCGCTCGTGCGCGAAGCTGCGGCCGACGTGCTCGGATGCGAGCCATAGGGACATCCAAGAGCACATCACCTCCTTCAGCCTCAGATGCTCTGAAGTGGGAGGGTCGAGGGTTTAGGATTGAGGTTTAAGGGCTTAGGGTTTGGGGCTTTATCACCTCCCTCAGCCTCAGCTGCTCTGAGACTCAGGCGGTAAACTAAGTTTAGGGGCCCTTATTGCATGAGGCCTACCACTCAGGGTTTGTCCTCATCGATTGGATACTTCTACTCACGGCCTCCGCTGAGGCATTGCTCGAGGAGGTTCGGTCCCTTCTTATGGCTTATATATATAGTTCCTTGGAAAGGTAGGACAGGTAACGCCTAAACCCAAGCCCTACAACAAGGAGTCAAAGGGCTTCTCCTTAATAACCCTGAACCCTAAACCCACGAAGTCCAATATCCTTTAATTAAGGAAGACAACTAAAATTATAGTATGATCCTTAATCTGATTTAAGGTATATTCCCTAATTAAGGGTTTTTGGAGTCTCTGGGATATCCTAAACCCTAAACCCCACACCCAAGCCCCAGACAGAGCGGGATGGCTTCAGGTGAAGAATCCTAAATCCTAACCCCTAATTAAACCCCAAGCCCAAGCCCCAGAGCAAGCCCCATAAAGTTGGAAACCGGACTAAGGCCAAATAGTGCTGGGGTTCCCTATAAATTAATCTTCAGGATCGAGGCTATTGGGTTTCCAACTGTTGGGCTTCTACTGCATAAGGAGCCAGGGTGCTTCTCCTCGTAGAACTCCAGGTTCAGGAGCACAAGATGCGGGCTCCGCTGCATCTTCAGCTCCCTGGTGCCGTCGGCGACGGTCTTCGCGATCTGCTTTAGGATGTCCTGCAGGACGGATCTTGGTCTAGGGTTCAGGGTTTCAGGCTTAGGGTTCAGGGTTTCAGGTTTTAGAGTTTAGGGTTTATGGCGGGCAGAAGGGCTGCTTTCGGCAGTTTAGGGGCAAAGGGCTCAGGGTTTGGGGGCTTCAGGGTCTCAGGGCCTCCTTGGCTGTGAAGATTTCGCTCTTTGAGTTTAGGGTTTTGGGAGAAAGGGGGGGGCGAAGAGGTGAACTCTGTAGGGTCTCTAGGTTCAGGGTTCGGGGATTTGGTGTAAGCTAGAGTCTAGAGGCTTCCAGCTTTAGGGTTTGGGGGTCTAGATTCCGGCAGTTTCCGAAAATAGGGGACCCTCAAGTAGTACCCCAAATAATAGTATCCTCATTATACGGACCTCAAAATAAGGTACCCCTAATTTTCGGAAACTCCCGAATCAACACACCTAATCCGCGACCTTCTAAGCCCTGAAGAAGCCTAGAAACCCTCATAGAACCTTGCACAACCAACCCTAAACCCTAAACCCTCTTGTAAAACTTTATAGAAACCTGCAGAACCTCGCAGAACCCTAATACTTACCTTTGGTTAGTAGGGAATGGAGGAATGGTAGAAATAGTGGTTCTAATTGTATCCCATTCCTCCACTCCTTACTAACCAAAGGTAAGTATAGAAACCCTAAACCCTTCGTATTGCCTGCCTTATAAGAGGCCCCGAGTCACGAGGCCTTGGCGAGGGCGCTGTCCGCGAAGCGCTCAGGCGGCGTGAGCTCACCGTCCTTGCCTGCCTGGCGTTGAAGTTTTTGTTGTTTTTTGTCGCTCCTTTTCTCCTGCTTCACAAGGTCACAGGCGTTGGGGTTGAGGGTTTAGGGTTTCCGAGAGGATATGTTGACATAACATTGAACCACGGGTGTAAAATTCTAGTTTTTGCATCTTTTCTGAACTTCCCGCTGAAGGCCATCCTGGCTGGCACTTGAACACCTCAGCCCCTTAGCGTGAACTGTGAAACTCTAAAGTCTTCGCCGTACTTCGAAGCCGAAGGAAAAATGGTAGCTGCGACGGTCTCAAGACCCTAAATCGTCTGGGTTTTGGGGGTTCGATATGGTGTATGACTTGGCAAGCGGAGGCAAACCGTCCTTAGCTTACCTCACCGTCCCCGTGCAAGCCCTCCGCAGTGACCTTCAAACCTGAGCCCCCAACCGACCAACTTTTTACGTCCCCGGGGTCTGCCAAGAAGGGGTTCACCGCCGGCTTGCCTGAAGCTCGCTGATGAAGATGCCTTCTAGCCTGGGCCGGTCGCATACAAGGGCTCAGGGCCTAGGGCTCTGGGCCTTATTGTTGCTATCTTTACTATTTTTGCTAGCGTTATTTTTGCTACTATTAATATTAATGTTACTAATAAGCTTTCAAGATTTAGGTCTCAGGGCATAACTCCTTTCAAGCTGAAGAGTTAAATCCTAAACCTAAACCAAACCCTGAACTCCAAACCCTAAACCCCTGCAACCCCTCACCTAGCCCAAACCCGCAAGTTGTCAAACCGAGCAGCAGGTGCAGCGGGATTTGCCAGCGGTGTGGTGCGAAATCGATGAGATTCTTGGGCCCGATGGGGAAGTTGAGCTCGCTCCGCAAGGGGTGCAGAACCAGGTCCACCTGTAAGGAAGGGGCCTTGAGGGTTTTGAAGTATATAATACGAGAACTAGAATAAGGAGCCTCTACTAGGTTTTTCCAGAAAAAACTAATGTAGGGGCCTTGAGGATTTCGGGGTATATAATACCATAATTAGGATAAGGAGCCCCCAAGTAGTATGGGTAATTATTAAGGCCCCTATATTATACCCTAAACCCTATAGATCCTTTAAGGGAACCCTTAAAGGATCCCTTTTTTCTATGGGGGCCTTGAGGATCCCCTCAGGCCCCTATAGTAAGCGGACCTAGGGCTTCTATATTGAACTTAGAACCCTGGCAAGAATTATAATTTTAGCTGTTTCTTAGGGGTCTTAGGGATTATAATAACCCAAGATTAAAAACTCATTTCTAAGATTAAAAACTGCTTCTAAGTACCCCCCTAAGGCTTGGGGTTTAGGGGTCTTGGGGGGGCTTCCAGCTCGTGAGGGTTGGGGATCAAGGTTACGAGTACGGCTTCGCATAAACCCTATAGGAATCTAAGGACTCATATTTTGGGCTATTTTGATGCTGAGGGAATGTATGGGGCCTTCATCACTAAGATAGGGTTTGGGGGGGGGGTATATTATACTATAGACACCATAAGGAACCCCAAAACCCGATTCTAACTACTAACTAAGGTCCCGACATTAAAATGCAGGGTGCCCCCCTAAACCCTAAACCCCTGCACCCTAAACCCTAAACCCCTACACCCTAAACCCTAAACCCCTACACCCTAAACCCTAAACCCCTACACCCTAAACCCTAAACCCCTACACTCTAAACCCTAAACCCTACACCCCTAAAACCCTAAACCGTAAACCCTAAACCCTAAACCCGATGCACCGCAGGGTTGGGATCTCCGGGTTTCGGATTACCCAAAGCTTTGCCTCGCCTTCACAACCTTACCAAAAAAACCCTTAGAACCCAAAAAACACCAAAACAAAAAAAACAAAAACCTGAAACCCTAAAAACCCAAAAAGCCTAAAACCCTAAAACCGTCTTCCTAAAACCCCTAAAACCCTAAAACCCTCAACCGTAAACCCAGAAACACCAAACCCCCGCGAACTGGAGGGCGTCCGAAACGGTCCACCTCTCAAAGGGGACAAGGAGGGACCCTTAACAAGGACCCCTGGCTCCCTATAATGGGCTATATAATGGGCTATATAATAGCTCTATAATGGACTATACAATAGCTATATTAAAGGTATATAATAACTATATTCAGGGTATCTAGTGGGTATATAATGGGTTATATAATAGCTATATTAAGGGTATATACCTAGGGGTCCTTATCAAGGGTCCCTCCTTTTACCCTTGGAACCTCGTCGATCATGCACACGCCTTTGGAGAACACCTGCAGGGCCGACAGCTTTGGTTCCGGTGCTTTCGGTCTGGGGAGCATAAAACAGCCTTGTTTCAGGGTCTAATACCTATATATATATATATATATATATATATATATATATATATATCAAGGCCTCATTAGGGCTGGGGGCATGAGTCCCCAGACCCTGAATCTCAGGGTACCGGACAGAGTAGTTGCTTTTGTTCTTTTGGGGGGAGGGTCCTTTTTCCGACTAATCCAGAGTAGGTTTAGGGCTTAGGGTCTTGGGGTTTCGGGTTTAAGGCTTAAAGTACTGTAAGGGTACTACAGATCTGTGAGGGCAACGAAACGGGCTACTAGAAGGGGGGACGTGCTTTCAAGCGTCGAAGTGGTCAGCTTGACCGGGATGAAACCATCGGGGTTGTGCTTCAAACCCTTTGAGAATTAAATATGAATAGGTTCCCTTTATGAGGAAATAGAGGAAATTAAAAATTATCCCAAAGCACAACCCAGCCATGTCAACCCGACCCCTTCACAGTTCTTGCATCTTCGCCATTTTCCTCAGACCGCGGACAAGTTGGCTGAAACCGGCTCGAGCAGGCCCCGAGCTCTGCCAAACGAAAGTCACCGAGAGCCAGCGGAATCAGACGCTTCCATCAGCCCTGGTTTCGAAGCCCACCACGAGTCGCCATGCAGTCTCCATGCAATAAAGAATTCGCTGTGTGACGACGAGATGGAAGCTCAAGTTGCTAGCATGCCCCCGGAAGTGTTGGTTGAGATCGTGGGTGATCTGACGATTCGCTCGGGCAAGTGCGCACACGGACACCGCGGTCAGGCAGCCGCAGACCAACAGAGATTCTTCGCCCACTATGTAGTATGGAGGGGGGTCAGGGTTCTTCTCAAAGGCGTCTCCTGACAGAAAGAAGACGATCTTCGAGAGCAGGAAGATGACCAGGCATGTAATCATCGCGGCAAAGAGGCAGCGCGGGAAGCAAGAGCCCCGTTTAACGATGTCGCTAAGGAAATCGAAATCGCTTTCCGATAGGCTGCATACTCTCTTCATCTTCTCAAGTTGCCTCTGACTCAAAGCTGCGGCCCATGGAAGCTCCCAGAGATTTGTGCTAAGCCATTGTTGGGGATCCGGAGCAGGAGCCAGAACCAACCTGGGTTCTTGCTAAGGAATTTAAGTTAAGTTCGCCTCGGCCCCGGCCGAAGGTCCTATTCGGATTCCCTCTATTCCCCTCTTAATCCCCTCCCCAATGACCCCACACCAAAAATCCGCGCCACGCCCCCCCCCCCCTTAAAAATGGAAACGTGTCGATTAGCCCCTCCCCCCCCCCCCCCCCTCCCCCCTTCCCTCCCGCCCCTCCTCCGCCTGCTGACAGGTGCGAGCTTTCGTAGCATCTTTATGTCCCTGCCCCCCCCGCCTCCCCTCCTCCCCCACCCTCCCGCCCCTCCCCCCTCGCTGACAGGTGCGAGCTTTCTGGGAATTTCCGACGACACCGGACTGTAATGTAGCATGTTTATCTCTTGGGGCGCGAAATCCACAGCCTCAACGGCCCATACTTAAGGCATCCCGCCGCTTGCGAGAGTCTTGGTATCCAGTGTTTCGGAATGACGACACCCAAAATTCGTACTGATACTACCACTACTAATACTACTCACAATCATCCTGCTTCGTGTTGCTATGAACATTACTTTTACTATAAGTGCGATTCCAACTGTTACTTTTTTCCTACAAGAGCTTGCTGCAGATAGTAGCCACTCGCCGCATGCGCGTACAGCCGGGCCGAGGCGGACGACGCGCAGCGTTTCAAATTACCATAAATAGGAAAGAATATGGTTTCTTGATTCTGGTAACTTATACTAAACCCCTTAACAAGAACCCAGCAACGGCTGCAACTGTAGGTCCTGGAGAGTATCTTCCTCCGCTCGCGCGTTGACTTCGGCCATTGCGTAGGTGTCCCGCTTGGCTCTACATTCTCAGCGCAGCAGATCCTAGATTCTAGAGCCTAAACCCTGAACCTAAACCCGTGAACAAATGAGGGTCACGGTTGCAGACCTAATGGAGTCCTATCGAGATGTGTGCGGTTTCTGCTATACTGAGTGTTATAAAGAGTTACTATAGTACCCCTAAACCCTAAACCCTAAACCCTAAACCCTAAACCCTAAACCCTAAACCCTAAACCCTAAACCCCTAAACCCTAAACCCTAAACCCTAAACCCTAAACCCTAAGCCCTAAACCCTAAACCACAACTCTCAAACCTCGAAACCTCGAAACTTCTGCCGTTCGGAAGCACCTCCAAACGACGGAAGACAGCCAGCTGAAATCGTCATTCAAACAGTGGGGAAAAGGAGGGACCCTTAAAGGGAACCCTTCCCTGAAATGGGCTATATAATGGGTATATAATAGCTATATTAAGGGTATCAGTTCCTTTAAGGGATCTATAGGGTTTAGGTTTTAAGGGACTCCAATCTCCCTTAACTAAGGAATATACCTTAAATCATATTAGGGATCCTACTATAATTTAAGGTATATTCCTTAATTAAGGGACATTGGAGTCTCTGGGAACCGTGAGTACTTGACACTCTGCAGCCATTGTCCGACAATCATCATCATCATGGTCCTCGCCGTCACCATCCAGAAAGTAGGTCAACAAGACAAGTTACCAACAGGATAGTCCAGGGTATCCATATCTTTACTTCTTTCATTGCCTAGAAACCCTTACGAATAGGACAGTCACGCATCTAGACAACCTCAAAATAAAGTCTCACCCCTTTCTCCTTACATGGCACCATTTGGACCCCGCTACACAACCTTAGCCCCAAGCCCGAAACTGCCCAAGAAGAAGCCTACCACAGGAAAAAAGTTGACCCCAAGCCGAAAACCTTCGCAAACCCTACACACCCCGCATTCAAAGCCATGATCAAACCGTAACTGTACTTGCCGCGATGACAGTCGAGTACCAGCAACAACAACCAAGATGATTGTAGCATTAATAAGCATGACAACAATCATAACAGTAATCGCCGTCGTCGTCGTAGTCGCAGCCGTAGTCGAGGTCGTCGTCGTCGTCGTCGTAGTAGTAGTAGTAGTAGTAGTGGTGGTGGTAGTACTAATAATACTAATCATAATAGTAGTAGTAGCAGCAGCAGTAGTAGTAGTAATAATTAGAATAATTGTAAAGGTAGACGTGGGCCTCCAGTACCCGGCCGAGCTCAATGGTCTCCTTCTGCAGGGCTGCTGTGTTGCGCTTGGCACGCCGGTCGTTGCAGATGTCCAGGTTCCTGAGTTTGGGATGTGCTTGAAGGCGTAGGGTTCGGGGTTTAGTGATTCACATTTTCCCCAAACCCTAAACCCTAAACCCTAAACCCTAAACCCTAAACCCCTAAACCCTAAACCCTAAACCCCTAAACCCTAAACCCTAGGGAGTTAGTTTAGTAGGTTTGCAGGAACTTTTTGGAGGGTGCTTCAGGTTCCTCGGGCTTTGGGGGTTAGGGTGGGGGGTTCCGGAGTTTCAGTTTCGGGCTTTAGGGTTGAGGGTTTAAGGCTTAGGGTTCAGGGTTTAAGGCTTAGGGTTCAGGGTTTAAGGCTTAGGGTTTAGGTCTTAGGGTTTAGGGCTGGCTGTTCTGGGCTGTTTGGGGGGAGCGGGGTCGCGTGTTTTGTAGGTTTCCTATGGCTTATTCAGACAGTGATAGACTATTGTAAGTGTGTGCAGGCATTTTATATACACGTGTACGTATACATGTATACTTATCTACCTATCAATATGCGTACATATGGCACCATACAGATCTATGGTCCTGTAGTCTATGGATATTTACAGGGTGCCCTCTAAAATAAACTGTTTGCTACATACGCCTGCAGAGACGACGGACAGATACGCATGTGTACATCAAAACGCTGCTTCTGACTACACCCTAAACCCTAAACCCTAAACCCCACGCCCTAAACCCTAAACCCTAAACCCTAAACCCTAAACCCCACACCCTAAACCCTAAACCCTAAACACTAAACCGACACGGCTGAGGCTCTCGACGAATCGCAAGATCAGGCTCTTGACGTCAGTTGGCTTGGTTAGAAGAATGTGGCCTTCGTTCCGCACGGCCTGTGCCCAGAGAGCCCACTACCCCTATAGGGTTTAGGGTTTAGGGTTTAGGGTTTAGGGTTTAGGGGTTTAGGGTTTAGGGGTTTAGGGTTTAGGGTTTAGGGTTTAGGGTTTAGGGTTTAGGGAATATAGCTTAAATCATAATATGAATCCCCTTATGGTTTACGGTAGATTCCTTAATTAAGGGGTATTGGGCTCTTTGGGTGAATGCTTCAGGGATCATGGGCCAGAATTGCTCAACCCAAGTTCTACCGTATTTCAGGAGCTTAACCCTACACTTGTCAGGTTCGTGGGACTTTTGTCGAAGAAACCGCCGGAAAAAGCTTCCACTATCCAGGTTTTGGGTTTAGGCTTCAGGGCGTTGGTTGTAGGGTTTAGGGTTTAGAGTTTGGGGTTAAGGGTTCCCAGAGACTCCAATATCCCTTAAATAGGGAATATACCTTAAATCACATTGAGGATCCTACTATAATTTCAGGTATATTCCTTAATTAAGGGACATTGGAGTCTCTGGGTTTAGTGTTTTAGGGTCGCCTCAATCCGGTCACAGATGGCAATGTCAACATCCTCGGAGCGGTCACAGTGGAACATGCAGATTCGCTTCCTCGGCTGCGATGGGTGGCATCGAGCTTTGGGGAGTTGCTAGGGTTGTAGTGTAGTGGGCTTAATGATTAGGCATATTAAATTACAACCTAAACCCTAAAGTGGAACTCGGGACCTCCGATCCAAGATGAAAGAGCTACAACACCACCTCTTCAATGATGCTTGGTTCAGGGTTGAGGCTTTAGGGTTTAAGGTTCGTTTGGGGTTTAGGGTGTTGGTTGCCCTCCGCACGGGCGATTCAAGGGATGCCAACTCAATTTGTCAGGGCTTTGGGTTCCTATACGGCCTGGATAATGACACAAGTCTTTCGGTGTAAATTGCACGAGAACTGTATCGGTATTATACAAAGAGCTATACTGATGATATTGAAACCCCTAGATTAGGTAAGGCCGTAAATCCGAGACTAAAACATAACTAGATAACCTACAGCCAACATAGGTGATGTAGCGGCCTTAACGAATTGAATATGGTTTGGGGTACATTCGAATGACAGTACATTGACAATCACGAAGGATAAGGAATAAAACGATGACTAGGACTAGTAGTTACTCAGACTTCTATATTCACTCCGGGCATCTGAATTATTAAACCCTAAACCCTAAACCCCAAAACCCCTAACCCCTAAACCCTAAGACCTTGAGCCGGGCATCTGGATGATGGAGGAGAATACCGCCATCAGCACGCCACGGCAGAACTCAAGCAAGGCCGAGGGAACCACCAGACTGACCAGGCGCTTGCCATTGGCCAAGAGCCTTGTAAGGGGGTTTAGGGTTTAGGGGTTTAGGGGTTTAGGGTTTAGGGTTTAGGATTTAGGATTTAGGGTTTAGTGTTTAGGGTGTAGGGGGTAGGGTTTAGGGGTTGGGGTATCATGGGTGCGGAAGGACTCTAAATCCAAGCCCTTTGGGATGCAGGGTTGAAGCTTTAGGGTTCGGGGTGTACCCAGAGAACCCAATACCCCTTAATTAAGGAATATACCTTAAATCATAATATGAATCCCCGTATAATTTAAGGTATATTCCTTAAGTAAGGGGTATTGGGTAGGGTCTGGGGTTTGGGTTTTACGCTTTAGGCCTCGAGGTTTAGGTTTCAAGGTAAAGGGCCCCAAACCCTTAAACCTACACCTAAAGGCCGGAAACCTTGAACCCCAAATCCCTGAATTTTGCAGCAAAGTCCGTTAAGTTACACTGATCATGGGAGCTTGGGGCTTTCTTTGGGGGCTCTTGAATGGAGGAGTGCTTGCTTCACGGCGCTTGAGGTTTTTGTTATGGCTTCGGGCAGTGGAACGTAGGACCCTAAACCCTAAACCCTAAACCCTACCCCAGACCCTAAACCCTAAACTCTAAACCCTAAACCCTAAACGGGTTCGGTGTGCGTATTCCAGCAATTGGTGCTCAGAGCCGTTTCGCTGGCTGCATGCTCCCATCTTCTCTCTCACTGTCACTTTTACCTACTTGTCGGGTATCATGGGGAACTAAAGGTTAACGTTTTTGGGTGTATAGGGATTATACAGGGGCTATACTACTCAAAAAAGGTTAAAGGTTGCCTACTCTACTACTAGGTTTAGTCGCCAATGTTTCCAATTTACCTCGTTGGCTCCGGCTTCTGACTGTTGTTCCTATGGATCTGTTCACCTTTTTGCAGGTGTTTTCACTGATGCTGCGAGGAACGATCAACCGACAATCTTCCTCTTGCTTGCACCACTACTCCCCCTTCTTTGTAATAGTAGTGAGGAATCGATCTCCTTCTATCCTTCTTTCTTCTCCACCACCTCGTCATAATCAAAATCCCCATTCTCAGAACACTACCGAGGCAAGGTGCATAGACAAGAGTGGGCTCACGACCGTCGTCTTCCCGGCTCCCATGATCATCCTCGGATTCTCAGCGCCATAAAAGTTAAACCTGGGGTTCCTTCAAGGGATCAATTTTGAGAGTTGCATAAGGGGGTTAAGGAATATACCTTAAAGACCCTAAACCCTAATACCTTAGATCATCCTCGGATTCTCAGCCCCACAAGGGGCAAAATGCCTAGAGATCCCCTCTCTTCGGAGTTCTCAAGAGGAGATTCGGCTCGAAGAATTAATGTAGGGGCCTTAATGATTAGAAGAAGGTCTTGGGGGGAATATCATGCTATAACTATAATAAGAAACCCCCCAAAACCCTATTCTAATTATCAAGCCCCTGAATTATTTTTATTATCAATATTGTGAGTATTACCATTACGTTCTTACTACCGTTATGCTTTTGGCTGACTCAAAGAAGTAAGGGGGGAACGCAAGGACTCTCTGCAGAGCTGAAACGTCTCCTACACCTTACTTCATGGGCCTTAAGAACCTGAATCGTTGGAATAGGGCTTTGGGGTATGTTGTATCATCATTATACGGGGACTCCAAGCGGACATCATCACTAAGTCTTCAGCCTACCTTTTAAAGCACCCCCCTAAACCCAAAAACCATGCTCTTCCCGTTGGGTACTGCCCCCATACAGTAACAGTCTATCATAGGGCTACTATTAAGGTCCTGATAGTTTCCGAAAATTAGGGGTACCTTATTTTGGGATCCTTATAATAAGGATCCTACTCTTTAGGGTACTATATCAAGGTTCCCCATTTTCGGAAACTCCCATATCTGTATTACGAAGATTATCCAACTGCTACTGAATGGTTCCCAGTCAACCCAGGAGCTGCTTCACGCCGCTCTCCCCGCCCTCCACGGTGCGCTGGAAGTCCGAGATGATCGCCACCTGGGTGGTTGGCCCCTTTTTTGGGTCCCTAGACAAATACGGCACCTAATATTTAGGGTACCCAAAAAGGCTCATGCTTGGGATAGGATGATCCATTTACTTTTTTAGTCCTTATTGGGTTTAAGTAGCCATAAAAATTTAAAATGTTAGCCAACTATGACGAAGACCTGCCGGCCGTGGAGCATCTTGTTGTCCGAGAACCTTGGGGCATCTTGGGGCGGTTTAGGGTCCGTTTAAGAGATCCTCCACACCCTAAACCCTAAACCCTAAACCCTAAACCCTGAACTCCTTTAAGGGATCTATAAGAGATCGGTCGAGTTTAAGGGTCTAGGGGTCTAGGGCTGACAAGGTTTGTGGCTTAGTGTCATAAGGCTTAGGGCTGAGGGTTTCGGATTTGGGGTTTTTTTTTTAAAGTGCAATAGCCCCTTTCTCCACAGATTTGGGGGTTTAGGGCTTAGGGTTTAGGGTTTAGGGTTTAGGGTTCCCAAAACACAGAGAAAGTGGGAGGGGAGTCCCCTCTTACGGCGCTGAGGAGCTCAAAGACCAAGAAGTGTGGGTCGTAGGACAACGTCTCGGAGACATAGTGGCGCCTTGCAGCGATTCTGCGCCCTAAACCCTGAACCCATTACCCTCAACCCCAAAACAGTAAACCCCTTAAAATTGGAAACCGGATTAAGGCCAAATAGTGCTGGGATTTCCTACACATTACTCTTCAGGATTGAGGCTATGGGGTTTCCAACTTTTGGGCTTGTACTGTGACTGTAACCCTAAACTCTATAGACTCTATAGATCCCTTAAAGGAATCCCTTAAAGGATCCCTTTCAAGAAACCCCTAGACCCAAATGGGAGTTTCCGAAAATAGGGTACCCTAATATAATACCCCAAATAGTAGGATCCTTATTATAAGGACCCCAAAATAAGGTACCCCTAATTTTCAGAAACTCTAAACCCTAAATCCTTTACATAACCCTTATAGATCCCGTTAAGGAACCCTTAAAGGATCCCTTTAAAGGTATCCCCTAAGTTTCGGAAACTCCCAAACCCTAAACTCTATAGACTCTATAGATCCCTTGAAGGATCCCCTTTAAAAGGAACCCCTAGACCCAAACCCTAAACTCTATAGACTCTATAGATCCCCCTTTAAAAGGAACCCCTAGACCCAAACCGCGCCTTGCGTCGATTCTGCGCGCCAGGACCTCGCCCTTCTCGGCGAGGCCCACGCGGACGTCGTTGGGAAGCCTGGCCGCTCCAGGGCTTGCACTTGGAGGGTCTTTAGGGGACTTAGTAAGTGGGTAGTAAGTAGACATATAAGTACCCTAAAAGGGACCCTAATTGGGGTTATGGTACTTATAAGTCCCTAAAATAACCAGTTACTAAGTTACCCGACCCTCCAAGTGGCGCTCCAGGGCTTGCAGGGCTACCTTTTGCTACTCTCCTTAAAGGGTTCTATAAGGGATCTATAGGGGTTTGGGGGTTTTTGTGGGTATAGTTACCTATACTATTTGGGGGTTCGTTTAAAGGGTTCTTGCAGGGGGCTTTTGTCGGGACGTTGGGCTTTAGGGTTTAGGGGTTTAGGGTTTGGGGTTTAGGGCTTGGGGTTTAGGGTTTACGGTTTAGGGGGTTAGGGGTTAGGGTTTGGGGTTTCGGGTTTAGGGTATTGGGGGGGCGGTGTAGGTTAGGATCCAAGGGCTTGGAGGGTTTTGAACCTAAGCCCATCGACGTCGCAGTGAAACTTGAAACTGCAACCGAGAAGCTTGCCGGTCTCTTTTACGGTGCTGATGGCCTTTGTGAGCATCTTCTGTAAGTCCCGAGCCTCGGCCAAGGAGCCGTTGGCCAGGACCACGCGCACGGCACGGAGCATGGCATGGGCCGTCAGCTGCAGGATGTCCCTCACCTCGCTGTCTGTGAGGAACGGGTTGATCCTTTGCCAATCCGTTGTTGCCGATGAGGACAGCAAGGAACCTGGTTCATGGTTGGGATAGTACTAAAACATGAAATTGTTATTCCTTATTGGGTTTAAGTACCCATAATAATGTAAAATATTACCCAACTATGACGAAGGAACGGCAGGCCCGCTGCAACCAGGCCTCCGATTCGTGGCCCGAGACCCGCAGCAGCCAGTGCTTCAGCCGCGCCAGGTTGGCGTCCGTGGCCGCCCGCGCCCCACCGTTCGAGGCTTTGGCCACGCCTTCCTCCGAGATCTCGATGGTGTTGCCCCGCTTCAGGAGCTCTTTGAAGGCTGAATCCACGAAGGCCGCATCTGCGGCCTTCATGTCTGAGATACCTTGCTTGTCCAGCTTCCTAGGGTAACAGTTAGGAGTTGTAGTTATAGTGCCCAATGAAGGCTTACAGCTTACTTACTCTATTGCCAAGATAGCCTGGCCTTCATACCCAAAAAGTTTAGAGCTTACTTCCAGTACGTCTACGGGCACACACTGGTCATAGTACTCAAAGACTTGTAGAGCTTGTTTCCTCTACTCTAAGATACACTGAACATAGAACCCAAAACAGCTCAATAAACTCCAATCTAAAGATGTGTTTATTACAGTGCCTTGGTCAGCTCTACCCTACCTTAAGATACACTTGTTATAGCACTCTTCGTAACCTCTACTGATACACGACACTGCCATAAACCGAACAAAACCTAAACCCCTATAGTCTCTCCTCAGGGATACACTTTCTCTACTCTACGACTCTAAATACTAAACCGACCCTTAAACCCCAACCCCTAAGCCTCCCCTAAACCCGCCCTAAGCCCTGACATCTTCTACACCAAGATACCCTAAGACTCTAAACCAAACCCTAAACCCGAAACTCAAAACCCCTCCCCTTATAGGAACCCTTAAAGGAACCCTTAAAGGATCCCTTTAAAGCAAGATACACTTGATGATGTTGCTGAGGGCCCTCTCCGCAGCATCGGCGGCCTCTTGGTTACCTCGGCTCTTGGTATAGGTAGGGTTTAGGGTCTAGGGTTTAGGGTTTAGGGTTTAGGGTTATAAGGCATTTTTTGGTACCATAACTTACAATAGATCCCTACTATGGTAACTTTAATTAAGGTACCATAACAAGGAAACCATATTGTTTACTACAGACCCCTATTATGGTAACTTAAATGAGGTTTCCCTATAAGGAAACCATTCTAGCCATAGGATGTAGATCCCATTCTTGGTACCTTAAGTTAGGTTCCTTAACCCTAAACCCTTATAGAACCCTAAAAGGAACCCTGACAGGAACCCTAAATTATGGTAACTTAAGTTAAGTTCCTTTTCAAGAACCCTTGTAGATCCCTTAAAGGAGCCCTCTTAGATCCCTTAAAGGTTCCCTAACAAGACCCTCAAACCCTAAACCCGTAAAGGAACGCTTATAGATCCCTATTATTGTAACTTAAATTTAAGTTCCTAAACCTTCAACCCCTATAGATCCATTAAAGGAACCCCTTAAGTGAACCCTTTATATTATAGATCTGTTTGTAAAAGTTCCCTAATAACAACTAAGTTACCGGATGCCAACTTCCGCAGCTCGGCCTCGCTAAGCTCCCGCACGCGAGGGGCCGGGGTGTCCTTTGCAAGCAGGGGCTGCAACAGTTTAGGGTTTTTAGGGCTTAGGGTTTAGGGCTTAGGGTTTAGGGTGGGGAGGTTTGGGTATTGCTTTTAGGGGAAGAATGCTTGTAGGGGAATCCCACACCGTATCAAAGCTGGCATAGTCAGCACTGCCTGTCTTCATGCTCCGTTTCAAGCCCCAAAAAAGACAATCCTCCAATCCGGGACCCTTCTTCCTACCCACTCTTAAGGCCCTCAAAGAGTCTTCAGGCCCCAACAAGCAATCCTCATATTGGGGATCCTTCTTCCTACGAAGAGTCCTTCTGCATCTCCGCGAAGCGTTTCATCTCCGCCTGCATTCGGTCCAGTAAGCCTGGGACAATCCAGGCGAGGCATGTGGTTCGGAGTCTGACAAGTGAAACTTCACTAGGAGGAATAGTCAGTACTTGGAGTGGAGTGGAGTGGAGTGGAGTGGAGGGACGACCGAGACCCGAAGGCCTGGCCTGTTAGTTAGCAGTGGCATCACCTCCGGCCCGAAGGCTTAAGGATCAAACCACAAAGAAAACCCTGCAAAAACAAAGGGTCTTAGGGCAGGCGAACCGGGTGGCCAACCGCGCACCCCAGGCGCACACCGGATCCATCCCGACTCGAGTCTCCATCAGCTCATTGCAGCTCGCGTAACCGTGCACTCCAGGCACGAACCGGGATCCATCCCGACACAGCTTCCATCAGCTCATTGTCACTTGCGTAACCGCGCACTCCAGGCGCGAACCGGATCCATCCCGCCAGGGCTATCAGCTCATTGCCGATTGCGTAACCGCGCACACCAGGCGTGAACCGGGATCCATCCCGACAGAGCTTCCATCAGCTCATTGTCACTTGCATAACCGCACATTCCAGGCGCGAACCGGATCCATCCCGCCAGGGCTATCAGCTCATTGCCGATTGCGTAACCGAGCACACCAGGCGCGAACCGGGATCCATCCCGACAGAGCTTCCATCAGCTCATTGTCACTTGCGTAACCGCGCACTCCAGGCGCGAACCGGATCCATCCCGCCAGGGCTATCAGCTCATTGCCGATTGCGTAACCGCGCACACCAGGCGAGAACCGGGATCCATGCCGACAGAGCTTCCATCAGCTCATAGAGCACTCCAGGCGAGAACCGCGATCAAGCCGAACTGCTGTACCATCGACACTTGCGTAACCGCTCACTCCCCGCGTGAAAAAGGATCCACTGGTAGCTGTTCCATCAGATCATGTCAAGTGTAGAAGCGCGATCACCAGGTTCGAACCGGGAACCCTCCCGCAAGAAACACGTCAGCCTCCAGCCGCAAAGAGACCCAAAATGCCGGCACTGTCGCCCTACTGTGACCCCCACGCCTGCTTGCTGGGTGCTCTTCGGCCTGGAAACAATCCTAGGCCTTAGTGCCGCCCCTGGGGTCCCAGCAAGCACGCCGGCGAAAGGGTTAACAACCACAGCAGGCCCAGGGGAATAGTCAGTACTTCATCAACAACGGTAAGCCTGGGCTTTGAAGTATCCAGGGAGAGACAGTGGAGCATAGACTTTGAGATCACCCTTGAAGTATGTAACGTGTCCCCAAGAAAATATGGACTTCTATTTCATAGTGCTTCCCTTTAAGTAGCAAGTCCCAAGAACAGTATAGGCTTTTAGTTCATAATAGTTCCCTTTAGGTAACAGGTCCCCAAAAAAGTACAAACTTGTGGTTCATAATGGTTCCCGTTAAGTAACAGGTCTCTAAAAGAAAAGTACTAAAGCCTAAACCCTAAAAACCCTATAAACCCTAAACCCTAAATCCTCTCAACCCTAAACCCTATAAACCCTGAACCCTAAACCCTATAAACCCTAAACCCTGAACCCTATAAACCCTCTAAACCCTAAACCCTAAACCCTATAAACCCTAAACCCTGAACCCGATAAACCCTCTAAACCCTAAACCCTAAACCCTAAACCCTATAAACCCTATAAACCCTATAAACCCTATAAACCCTATAAACCCTATAAACCCTATAAACCCTATAAACCCTAAACCCTAAGCCCTAAACCCTATAAACCCTCTTAACCCTAGAAACCCTAAACCCTACAAACCCTCTGAACCCTATAAACCCTAAACCCTATAATAAACCCTAAACCCTAAACTCTACTCCAAAAGCCCAGAAGCGCTTGGCCACGGTGTGGCGCACCGCGGGGTGCCCGGCGATGTCGAAGGGCAGGTCGCCCGTGGGCAAGTTCCTGGGATCTTGTTGGGGGATTTAAGGTTTAGGGTTTAGGGTACGTCTCTTGTTAGGGTACCATAATAGTTAGGGGATTTAAGGTTTAAGGGGTTTAGGGTTTGTTTAGGGTTTAGGGGTTTAGGGTTTGTTTAGGGTTAAAGGATTTGATCTAAGGTGCCAAAATAAGGAAACCATATGATTTACTATAGATCCCTATTATGGTAACTTAAATCCTAAACCCTAAACCCCTAAAGGAACCCTTACAGATGCCTAACATGGTAACTTAAACCCCAGAACATTAAAACAGAACCCAGATTCTGCGGCACCTCCCGGGCGATGTGCCCCAAATCCAGGACCTCCTGCATGGGCTGCGAGGCCAGGGCCTGCAAATCAGAATCTGGGTTATGTTTTAATGTTATGGGGTTTAAGCTACCATAACTTAGGGTTCCTCTAAGGGTTCCTTTAAGGGTTCTATAAGGGTTTAGGGTTAAGGAACTTAACTTAATTTACCATAATAGGGACCTATAAGGGTTCCTTTGGGGGTTTAGGGTTTAGGATGCGAGGCCAGGGCCTGCAAATCCTGCTCCGAAGTGCGCAGAGGCCCGTCGCTGGCGATGGCCTCGAAAGGAAGCCCTCTCTCTCGCTCTTTCTCTCTCTCTCTGTCTCTCTCTCTCTTTGTCTCTCTCTCTCCTAAACCCGACACCCTAAACCCTAAACCGTCCCTCTCTCCCTCTCTCTCTCTCTCTATCTCTCTCTCTCTCTCTCTCTCTCTCTCTCTCTCTCTCTCCTAAACCCTACACCCTAAACCGTCTCCCTGTCTATCTCTCTCTCTCTCTCTCTCTCTCTCTCCCTCCTACACCCTAAACCGTACCCTAAACCGTCTCTCTGTCTATCTCTATCTCTCTCTCTCTCTCTCTCTCTCGCTCTGAGACCCTCGTTCCATTCACTTTCTGAGGAGGGAACCTTGAGCGCAGCGCTTCCTCCCCAGCCCCAGCCGGAGCTTGAGGCCTCCGAAAGAGGGCAACAGAGACTCCAGCTATCCCTTAATTAAGGAATACCAAGGGTTCCTTTTGAGGGATCTATAAGGGGTCCTTGCAGGGTTCCTATAAAGTTTTCTGCTATATAGGATCTATAGGGTTTAGGGTTTAGGGGACTCCTATATCCCTTAATTAAGGAATATACCTTAAGTTCTATGAGGATCCCTATTATGATGTAAGGTATATTCCTTGATCAAGGGATACTGGAGTCTCTGGGAATGTAACAGAGGGGCTATGAGGCGGCCTGCTTGTTAGGGTTTAGGATTTAGGGTTTTGGGTTTCAGGTTTGGGGCTGTTGTTGATTTTGTTGCTGCTGCTTTGTCCTTGCGGTTTCAGGATTCTGGAATGCGTTAACTGCGGCTGGGTGTCATCCTACTACTGTAATTGCTACAGAGATTTTTGGCTCAGTCCTGGGGCCTTCAGCCGTACTGTTAACTCTCTTTCCATAGCCATACTTTGAGATTGCAGCTATGTACAGCAACAGATAAGCATCTGAACATGAGTCAAGGAGTAACAGCAGAAAACTTGCTTCAAAAACGAAGCCCCATTCGCGAAGACTAGACATCGACCCCACACCCAAAACCCTGAGCTAGACCCCGAAGCCTCCGAACCCCCACGCAAGAACTCAAAGATACCACGCTAAACTATACTGTACGATACTATACGATACTATACCATATTATACTATATTATACTGAACCATCTAGTTTACGAAACTACAAAAACTGACACCGCGTACGGACGGGGCCCGGGGTGCCTTCCCGCCGCTCGGGGCATCGGGGCCTGTCCAGGAAAGACCGAAGCAAAAGCTTAAGCTCCAGAAAGTTTTGGATTCGGGACTTATGTAGTAACCTAAATTGGGATCTATATGGGTTCCTTTAAGGGTTCCTATAGGGGATCTATAGGGTTTAGGGTTCGGGATTTACGGCTTTAGGTTCATGCAGTGTGGGGTTGAGGGTCTATATAAACTACCGCAGGGACTGAAGGATATTATAGTCTCGGGCTCCTTTTTTCTCTTGAACTCTTCAATCCAGCACCCTTTTCGAAACCGAACTTGATCTCTGATCTCCATCGTCGTAAAAACATCTCGGCCCTGGCCCTCATACCCTTCAATCACTTGAGTAAACCCTTGCCACACCGGCTCTAACCCCTTAACTCTCAGAGATTTGATCACGAAAAGATTCCGCTTGGGAAGCCAACTACCCAGCAGAAAAAGGCGGAGGGACGACACTGCACCTGCTGGGGCCTATCCCTGAACCACAGGAACGAACTCAGTAGATCAGGCTTCTATTTAGCCGCAGCCGAGGTTGGCGCTTGACAGGGCCAGTAGAACACGTTCTCCGCACTGAAGATCCTGCATGCTTGGGCTTGAACTTGCACTTCGGGGTCCGAAGTTCTTACCTTGGGTTAGTAGGGATTGGAGGAATGGGGTGCAATTATAACTACTATTAGTACCATTCTTCCATTCCCTACTAACCAAAGGTAAACCCTAAACCCTATAGATCCCTTAAAGGATCCCTTTAAAGGAACCTATTACTACCATTCTTCCATTCCCTACTAACCAAAGGTAAGAGTTTAGGATTTAGGAATCTCTGGGAGATTTACTCTTGCAGTGACCCAGTGACCCCCGGCTGAGGCGGAGCAACATGCCAAAGTCCAACCCTAAACCCTAAACTTGGCCCTAAACCCGCAAGCCTTAACCCGCAACCCTAAACTCAAAGCCCGAAACCCTAAAAGCGAAATCCGAAACCCTATGCTCTCTAGTGCACCTTGTGCTCCGGAGTCTCGAAGAGAGGCCTCGGATCAGCGCAGCTTCGAGGTTTGAGTTTGAGGGCTTGCATAGGGTTCCATCAAGGGGGTTCTAGCCGTTCAAGGGTTCGGGAAGGGCTGCACGAGGATTCCATCAGGGGCTGAAAAAGCGTTTTGTTTAATGTGCTGTAAGGGCTTTTTATGGTCTGCGGATGGTCTGAAGCTTGAAGATGCCTGTGCTCCCCGTTGACTCCCGTTTCGGGCTTAGGGTTGATGGGGGGGCTTAGGGCCTGGTAGGGTTTAGGATTTAAGGCTTCTGCGTTTTGGGGCTAGGGCGCTCTGGGGGTTTGTGCTTGTGTCCGACACCGGCTCCTTCCACTACAGACCTCGCAAAGGGGATGCATCATTTGATTCATGTTGGACCATGCCGGGTGCACCTATCGATTTAGAGTCAGAGTAACAAGACATGTGGGAACACTGTTGGCAGAGCGAGTGGCGCAAATTTCGTGGCCACTTTTTACAACCTGCCGCTATAGGTACTGACGACATCCTGATCTATGACTACCCCCTTTGCCACTCTGACTCTTTGCTGCCACTATCGTGAAGGACGGCTTGGGTTCTCCCCTCTGGAGCTTGGGGCTCAGAACCCTCGAAGGCTCCGTTTAGGGCATCAGGTCCGCTTAAGTTTGGCAGTCAAAGCACCTAAACCCTAGACCCTAACAGTTCACATAAAGGGCTTCCCCGACGAAACCCTACGGACTGACAGCATTGAACCCCTAAACCCCTCGGGAGCAGCATGGACCATCGAAACGCAGAAGCATTAGCTAATCGTTCGCTTCGCGTTCTGGAGGTCATTCAACTACATGTTTAACCCAGACCCCCGGGAGGATCCAAAAAGTAGATCCCTTAATGGGGGTTCCTATAAAGTACCCTTAATAGTATAAGGCCCAAATTAGGGGATCTACTTTCTAGATCCTCCTGGGGGTCTGGGAAAATAGCCCTAAGGAATGGCTAAATAGCATTGCTAGTCATTCGGGCTTTTATACTAGGGTCGTTATTCTGGGCAGAGTTTCGGGCTTGAGCTGGGTTCGGGGTTAACCCTACGCAGAACCACAAAAAGGTTAGAAGAAGCATAAAACCGCAGACCCCAAACCCTACGCCCTAAACCATCAGAGCCAACAAAACCCTTGAATTTTGGGTGTCAACGAATTGCTACTATAGGGGCCTTTATGAGTAAAATAAGGTTTTGGGGCCCAGTCTACTGTAACTATGGCAAGGCAAGGAACCCCAAAATGATATACGTAGCTACTTCTTAAGGCCCCTATACCATAGAACCCTACTATAAATCCCTTATCGGCCCCTTTAAGGAAGCCTTTACAGGGAACCCTCCAAAATAGTACAAGTACTTATTGAGGCCCCTATAATGGCCCGAACCAGCGCGGCTTGCAGCAAGGCGGCGGTCCCAAAGGGAACTCGCCGCGCCGGATCTCCTTGCCGTCCTCTGCCGGGTGGGGTTCAGGGTTTAGGGGTTAGGGTTTTTTTGGGGTTTAGGGTGTAGGGCTTAAGGGTTTAGGGTTGAGGGGTTCAGGGTTTAGGGTTCAGCAGCTCTGACTTTGAAAAGTTCTTTTCATGCTATCTTCAAGAAGAAACCCCACCCGCCCATAGAATCCCATCACGTTACAAATAACAACTACAATTGCGGTAGTGTGAATTCAAAGGACAATCTTTTTTTAAATCATGAAACATTTAACCATGGTCGTACCCATCAACATGAACAATTAACAAACAACTATCGAGCTACATGTTCACGCTAACGCTTGCCAGAACATACCACATATTGCAGACAGAAACTACACAACAGACAATCTTCCACTCCGGACATAAAATCTTCAACAGAACAGTAGTCATCCTGCACCTCAACCGTTGGGCAAGCCGAAGTTCTCATGTCGGTTGTGATGTAGCGCTTTGCGGACTTCCCTTGTTTCTATTCTGAGTTTTCCCATGCTTCAATTGCCCTTCCAACAGAACGACAATCATCATCATCCTAAACCCAAACCAATTAGTAACTTGATTTTTTATGTTGGTTATCCTGTGGCGTTTGCGGATTTCGATCGCTTTTGTATTAATGGTCTTAATGTTTTTGCTGTGTGTTCAACAGATCCCACACCTCAGCCATTTAGTACTTTGATTTTTTATGTTGGTTGTGATGTGGTGTTTTGCAAGTTTCGTTTGTTGGCGTCTTGGTGTTGCCAATACTTCTGTATTATGATCATACATTCCAACCATTTGGTTGCGATGTGGTGCTTTGCAAGTTTCGTTCGTTTGTGTTTTAGTTCTCCCAATAATTTGTTGTGTTCAATAGAACAACAGTCATCATCTTACACCCCAACCAGTTAGTAACTTGCATTTTTATGTTGGTTGGGATATGGTGATTTTGCGGATTAGTTTGTTTGTCCATTGTTGTTGCCAAATGTTTCACGAATATAGTCTCAAAAGAAAGTGGTTGAACCGCCATCGCCATGTGAGACATTGGTTTAATTTCGCAGCAGCTCACGTCGACCCCACTCCAAGACGTTGTCTCATGTACGAAATTTCTTGAGAATATTTCTCACTACATCTACATTCCAAAGTACAAGCCTCGAATACATTCAACATCATGAAGTTCCTGCACCTACTTCCCAAAAGGTTATCTCACATATTTGATTTCCCGAGACTATTTCTGAATATAACTACATTTCAGAAATACAATCTTGCGAAAGAATATACAAAAAAGAGTTTATGATAATATATCAGATGCGGTCATATGTCATTGTTTATCACAGAAAGGCCACTGCAACCTCTGAAATAAAAGTTTCTGTTGAGGTGGTGCAACGGCCGGAGGACGAATCCTATTCAAAAATGCCAAAGCGCTAAGATTGAGCATTAGGGTTTAGGGTTTAGGGGTTTAGGGTTTAGGGGTTAGGGTTTAGGGTTCAGGGTTCAGGGTTTAGGGTTTAGGGTTTAGGGTTCACGTTTAAGAGTTTGGGGTTTGGGGCGGTTTAGGGGTGAAGTGGTTCAGGGGTTTCGGGTTTGGGGTCTAGGATTCCGCGTTGTGCTGGAGGGCATGTGGGTTATGGGGTTCAGAGTGCCGACGTTAGTGTGGAGAGTTTCCGGTTGAGGGAGTTTTGTAAAATCTTTGTGAAAACCCTTACCATGGTCACTTGTATGGTTCTATTCAACGAGTATGACAGTTTAGAAAACAAGGGACCCAACATAGACCGGCTACAGTATCCCAACGACGACAAGACACAAAAATATACCCCTAAAACCCTAAATCCTCATTTTATGGAATCCCCGTTTGTCCAGTTCTTCGGACCTGGTTGGGGGCCATTGGCCATCTCGCGTGCTCAAGCTCTAAAGCCAGCACGATCAACCTACCCCAAACCCTAAACCCTAAAACCTTACACCCCTAAACCCTGAAACCCTAAAACCTTGCACCACTAAACACTAAATAAAACCTTACACCCCTAAACCCCAAACCTTACGGCCCCTAAACCCTAAAACCCCTCGTCTGGGCTCTTATCAATGAGCTGAATTCAAGCTATCATAAGAATATACAAAGGAGTTTCCGAAAATGAGGGCTACCTCATCTTGGGGGTCCTGATAATCATGATCCTACTACATAGGGTACTATACTAGGGTCCCCGATTGAAACTCCCGTAAGAATATATAAGTATATAAGACTGATGCTATATTATTTACTGTGGATCCCTGCTATGCTGACTTGAATTAAGCTCCTTAACAGCAACAAGGCAGTCACTTAGGCAATGCCCGATGGGCAAGTCCCATAGTTCAATCGGTGAGGTAACCCTCTTCAAAACCAGCACCCAAATCCATCAAACACACTACAAACCCCGAGCCAAACCTGAAACCCTAAACCCAGCTCTTAAACACAAACCAAAAAAACTTCAGAACCCGAAACCCTAACACCCTAAAACCCTAAACCCTAAACCCGACTCTCAAACCCTAAACCCCCCCTCGCCCCATTCTTTGGAAGAACCCCGAGCCCGGAACCTCGTCGTTTTCCAAACCAGGACAAAAGACCAAATGTGGACAGAGGCCGCCTTAAGTCATCGGGACCCTTGGGGGGGTAGGGCTACTAATAATACCGCTAAGTTGCATTGAGGTGAGGGGTTCTGGTGGTTTAGGGTTTAGGGGTTTAGGGGCTTAGGGGTTTCGGGTTTAGGGCTTAGGGTGCCTCCTTTACAGGTTTTCAAAGTTGAAATGCCTCAGTTCGGCGATTTAGGGCCCTCTTGGCTTTATAATTTAGGGTTGGGGACTCAGGGAGTTCGGGCTCTTCCGGTTTTCGAGGATTTTGTTTACAGCTTCTGGCTCTAAGGGCTTTTCTGCAGGCTCAAGGGCTTGCGGGTGATTGCGGCCTAGCATTTAAGGTTTAGGGGTTAGGGTTTAGGGTTTAGGGTTTAGGGTTTAAGGCTGAGGGCATGTGACCCAGAGCTTCTTGCGCGCAGCACCGCCATTATACTTATCCTCAGTGTTGAATGCAACCGTGCTAGTAGTTGTTATGCTCCCTCGCGTGGTCGCTGCTACAACTAGTGCTGCCGCTGGCTGTTCCTCGTTGTCATTCGGCTCCTGGTGTGAAACTACGGGTTCGGGGCAGTCATTCTCCTAAAGAGGGCTCAGTGTGAACAAAGATCGCCACAGACTAATCGTCTTCCGCTGATACCCTCCCGAAAGCCTCCAAAGTGCAACTAGTGGAGCCTTGAACCAATTCCAGATTTTGGAAGAAACGTTGTTCTTGGCTCTTGCACTTTCAAACCTCACCTCTGTCCAAAGCCCCTAAACCCTAAAACCTAAAACCCTAAACCCTGCTAAAGCCTCAGGTTTTGATGCTCGGGCTTCGAAGCACTGAGAGTAATGCAGAAGCAATCAGTTAGCAATACTAGTTTTCGAGTTCCTGAGTAGAACACAAAAAACACCCCAAAACCCTCTTCACCCTATTCCATTTATCAAGACGGCTACAGTACTAGGGCCAAGGGTTTAACATAGGGGCCTTAACAATTAGAAGAGGGCCCATTATACTATGATTATAATCAGGAACCCCCCAAACGAGCATTGGTAATTATTAAGGCCCCTATACTATAGTACCCTTATAGATCCCTTATAGTAACCCTTCTAGACCCCTTTAAAAGGAACCCTAAATTATTTCCTACATTAGGGCTCCCGGAACTCCGCAAGGTCAAGTCAACACCGAGGCGTGCGCCGTGCTCGTCACCCACAGACATGAGAACCGGAACTTCCTGAATCGTCAGAAAGTTTAGGGTTTAGGGGTTCCTTTAAAAGGCATCGTCAAGGGATCCTTTGAGGGATCTACGAGGGATCTGTGGGGTTTAGGGTTTAGGGATTTAGGGTGCATCGGTTCAGGGATGAGGGTTTTCGTGCAGCAGAAATTGGAACAATCTGGTGACAGCAGGCGAAGCAGCGGCGGCAAACAAGGCAGGCCAGCTGCCAAAGGAGGACTTCATCTATTGTATATGATTAGATGATGACATGGACAAGTACAGTTGCGGGACCCCGCAGCTGCCACAGTAGCTTTACCGTAAGCCTTCAGCGGTTCTCAGATTTGAGAAAACCCCGACGCTGCTTTGCCTCGGATTGCAAACGGCTTCAGTTCCACACCCTCAAGAACGGCAAGCTCACCGGCGGACTCTGGCAGATTGAAACCGCTGGACCATGTGTAAATGCTTAAGGCGAGGCTCTGTGGATTTTTAAAACTGGCAAAAACACTTCGGTGGAAGCAAACCCTGCTATGCCCTGCAAGACCTTGAAGAGCACGAAGCCCCCTCCCCGCCTCTTCGTCCGGGGCAGTGCCAAACGCCGCTTCATCAGCATCCTTGTTCTCCTGGCACGAGCACCAGCACAGGGCTTAGATTCAGTGCTTGGAGCTAGGGCGGGCTTGTGGCACGGCTATGGTGTCGCTACCCATGTCACCTGCAGGGTGTGCACCGTCAAAACTAGCAGGTGGAGGTGGCGGAGGCGGTGTTGGTTGTGGTAGTGGTAGCAGTCGCAGTCACGGTAGCGGTAGCGATAACGGCAGCAGCAGTGGCACTGGTAGTAATAGCAATGGCAGTGGCAGTGGCAGTGCTAGCAGTAGCAGTCGCAGTAGCGGCCAAACCCCTTGACCCTCTGACCAACAACCTCGCTCAACTAAGCTTCAATAAGCATCCCTTATACAAAACGCCAACTAAAGCTCTTAAGGTATCTTCCAGAGTTAAGGAGGGTTTGGGGTGCCTGCGGGCTGCCCTCCCCTAAACGACAACCCTAAATCCTCAAGCCTTCGAGCCGGCCCTTCACCCCAAAGCCCTACATGAAACACAAAGTATGTGCAAACCGAGAAACCCCAAAGCCCCCAATCCTTAAAAACGCCTTCAAACCCTTAAAGACGCACAAAAACCCTAGGAACTCTGGCAAGCCCACATAAACACCTATAAACGTCCACTACAGTCCCCTGTATAAAAGCAATCTTAAACGCTTAGGACCCTTTACACAAACCCTTCTGAATACCCTTGTCAAAATCCTGCAAAACCCCACCCAGAAAGCAAAATAAACCCTAAACCCTAAAAATATAAAGCCAATATCCCCTAAACCCAACACCATACAAGACCCCACGAGACACACCCAAGGCCGGCGCTGCTGTGGCCATCTGGATTTCCGGCTGCTGGGCCAGCACCATGAGCTTCCTGGAAGAGCTTGTTGGCTCTTTGTTTAGGGTTCAGGGTTTGGGGTTTAGGGTTTAGGGGTGTTTAGGGTTTAGGCTTAGGGCTCCGCGCTCATCAGCAGAATCATCGCACACTCGTGGTCATAAAGAGTTTTGCCGCCAGAAACGACTTGCAATGATGAGTAAGCTGGCAGCAATTGCAACAGCAGCAACGGCCCTCATCGTAGCAGCAACGGTAATATCAACAAAACGCAACATTGGCGGAAAAACGAACAGGAGGTTTGCATAGCGCAAGAATTCAGTAAGAGTAGTCCGAACCCTGGCAACAGAACGAGCAAAACGGTAGCAATAAGCTCTACAAATGGTAGAGGAAACCAGCACTGCTACCAACGACAGCAGCTGCAGTCGAAACATTTGCGGCTGTTGCCTTAAACCCTAAACCCCAAAACCCAAAAACCCCAAAAGCCTCAGCCCCTAAACCCTGAACCCCTAAGCCCCTAACCCCCTAGAAGCCCCTAAACCCTAAGCCCCATAAAAGCCCGTAAACCCAAAGACCTAAACCCTACCGCCCGTCCTGTGTATGGCGATCAGCTTAGCCTTCCACTGGCGGACGAAGATCACCTGGGCTCTTGCTACGGCAAGTAACTTAAGTTACCCCTTATAGGGATCTATGTAGGGGTTCCTTTAAGGGTTTTGTTTTTGTGCAGAAGGGTTTAGGGTTCAAGGTTTAAGTTTCGAACCCACTATTAGGGATCTATGCTCTTGTTTTGGGACTGAGGATTTAGGATTTACCGTTTAGTGTTTAGGGCTTAGAGTTCTGGGCTCTTGCTGCGGAAAGTAATATAAGTGACCCTTATAGGGATCAGATCTATAGGGGCTCCTTTAAGGGTTTAGGGTCTAAGGTTTAGGTTTTGAAGCCACTAGGGATCTATAAGGGTTCGTTTAAGGAGCTTAGGGTTTGAATGCAATAGCTCTTTCTCCGCATGAAATGCAGGTCCAAAGCCTGCCTCGAAAGTCTCTGCACTATTTAGCTCACTCTTTACGGGTTTAGGGTTTACGGTTTAAGTTTTGAACCCACTGTAGAGCTCTATGCTGGGATTGAGGATGTAGGATTTAGGGTTTAGGGTTTAGGGTTTAGGATTTAGGGTTTAGGCGTTTGGGGTTTCGTTAAGAACCCAGTCACCCGCCGCGGCCGGTCGAGACGTGGGAGGCACTCGCAGACCTGCGCACGGGGCCCCCGGAAGATTGGAAGTTCCCCCTCTAAAGAGTAGGATCCTTATCATAAGGACCCCAGAGTAAGGTACCCCCCATGAGGGAAACTCCCATACGGCACCAGGTGGTGTTCTGGGACATTTCGCGGGATGTAGGGTTTTGGCAGTTCCCGTGTTGATAGCGGTCCCACCGAGCCCTCGAAAGGGCTCTCCTGCCAAACCAGGAAAAAGCCCCTAGACGCAAAGCCCTAAACAACTAATGGCCCTCAACTCGTCGCCTCAAGATTTCTCTGCCGCTTTATTCTTGTGGGAGTTTCCACAAATAGGGCACCCAAACATAGTACCTAAATAAAAGGATCCTTATTATAAGGACCCCAAGATAAGGTACCCCTAATTTTCGGAAACTCCCTTATGTGTTTTGGGTTCAGGGAGCCGGGGGCCTCAAGGTGACGAACAAATAGGTTGTAAGTTCTACGGGACTTCCTTCCATAGAGCTATGAAAAATCTGATGCTTAATATATGATATTCATATCGCATATAAGACTTCTAGGTTGTATCTGGGTCAGTGCCCACGATCAAGTAGCCCTATTCCCACAACCCCTAAGACGCGTAATTACCATAAATCCATCAACCCAACGCCGAATAATGCTGATGACCCGCATTATCGTCGCCACGATTGTCTGCTGCATTGCCACAACGATAGTAATAGCAACAGGGCATCATGCTCCCAAAAACAGAGCAGCAACAAAGACATTCTGTGACACTGGAAAAGTGGACGACAGTCAACAACTCGAAGTAACAGGCAAGACGTGCAACTGGCGAGGCACCACGCCGCAGATGTAACACTCAGCCCCTGGGGCAATCCCAATACCGCAAAACCTTGTACCTACGCCATTTCATACCCTGTCTGGCTTGCAAGAGGGTTCTGCGAAAATTGTCCAGCGGAAGCTATCACTCACCTAAAACTGTCCCAAACAAACCTCCCAACCCTTAAAGACGCCCAGAGCCCCCAAAACTTCTAAGCCCAACGCCTCTGAAACAAAGTGCCTACAAACGCTGTAAGAAAGAATCGCAGCAGCCCTTCAAACAGAAAAGGATTCCTGCTACGGTACATGGCTGATTTCAGCAGTTCCCGAGCCTCCGTCAGAGGGATCGCAGAACCAAAGCAACCCTACAACGTACCCTTAAAGGTACTTGAAGCCTCCAAGGAACCCTTATACAGAGCCCTTTCAACCCTCAAAGTGTCCCTGTATTGGTTGCCTTCAAAAGGGTTCCTGTAAAGGGATTCCTTTAGGGGGTTCCTTTGGAGGAATCCTTTTTGTGGGTTCCTTTAAAGGGTTTCAAAGGATCCTTTGAGGAATCCTTTTCAATTTTCCGTAAGGGTTCCTTAAGGGTTCCTTTAAGGGCTCCTTTAATGGGTTCCTTTTTGGGCTCCTTGGGTTCCTTTAAGGGTTCCTTAAAGGGTTCCTTAAAGGGTTCCTTAGAGGATCCTTTAAGGGCTCGAGGCCCTGCCAACCTTGCGACTGCGACGGCAGATGTGGAGCCTTGAGGCTGCCGGGAGCTCCCAGAGTGGGTTTAGGATTTCTAGGGTTTTAGGATTTTTAAGATTTAGGGTTTTAGGATTTAGGGTTTAGGGTTTTAGGGTTTAGGGTTTTAGAATTTTAGGATTTTAGGGTTTAAGGTCTAGTGTTGAGGGTTTAATAGTTGAGGATTAGGCTTTAGGGTTTACGGTTTTAGGGTTTAGGGTTTAATATTAAACGGTTTGGCTTTAGGGTTTTGGGTTCAGGTGTTTAGGGTTTAGGGTTGTCGAAGAGTTCAGCATTTAGAATTCAGGGTTCACGGATGTTCAGGGGTTAGGGTTGAGGGTTTAGCTTGTGGGGTGTGGAGCTTAGGGTGTAGAGTTTAGGCTGCAGGGTTTGGGTATACACTTGAAGCTCCTGGAAGGTTCCCAAAATGCGTACGGGCGGAGACTTTGGGGTACAGATTCGGACCAAACTCCCCGAAGCCCCTGAACCCTTAACTCCCCGACTGCCCTCAACCCATGAAACCGCTTCCCTTCGCTCCGAATTGACGTGGGCATGTCAGAGGCGGGTTCACAAAGAGCCTTCCACGAATTACCAAGGGCTTTTGGCTTTGCAACCCGATACGCCCTGATGTTGGCAGACATTGGAGTTTCCGAAAATTGGGGTACCTGATTTTGGGGGTCCTTACTGTAAGGATCCTACTATTTAGGATACTATATTAGGGTCCCCTATTTTCGGAAGCTTGATGGCAGATCAGGGGATGACTCTGAGGCGTCGGCAGCGACTGCAGCATGCCATGGTTTTGACTGGCACCCGCCAGCGCCAAGGACAGGGTGGCAAAGGTGTGCTGGTGGACGGGGTTCACCTTCAAAAGTCTCCACAAAAGCAGCTGGGCCAGTAGCAGCCACAGCAAGCGACAGCAGCATCCGTAGCGCGGCAGCGGCAGCCGACGACGACAAGCACGACAAAAGCAACAAAAGAAGATCAGCAGCAGCAGCCGCAGCAGCAGAAAATGTCTTTCCTCTGTTAAGCAGCAAGATAGTTTGTCATGATGCCTGGTTTCCTTGGCTGCTCATCGGCCTGAAGATCTTGAACTGAATGTGGGGCAGCTGCCGAGGCATCCCAGACAACCAATCACGAACGTTGAGGGCACTGACCGGCGATTGCCACTACAGTACACTGGTTCCCATAAGTTTCTGGAGTTTTCACGAGCCGTCCACCCTTTCTTCATATAGCCCCTTCTTAATCTAGCACCTTAATAGGTAGACTAGGGTTTGGGGGTATATTCTACTATAGGCATATTGAGGAACCCCCACGACAATGTTGGCAATTATTTGAGCCACTATATTACTGCTTGCTACTTTTGCGTGAGCACCCCCGTGCTGGCAGAAGATGAGGCGCAGACAGCACGAGGCAGCTTCACTCCCAGGGACCTCGACACGGTTTAGGGTTTAGGTTTATTGTAGGGCCTGAATAGTTAGAATAGGGTTGGGGGGGGGTAAAAATATACAAAAATTAAGATGAGGAACCCCAAAATGGTACAGGTGTCAGACTTTAGGGTTTGCGGTTAAGTGTTTATGGTTTTAGGGCTTGGGTTTAGGGCTTACATAATCTGTTGGCGCCCGACTTAACCTTCCGGAACACATCAGAAGCGAAATACGCTCTCCAACCTTCATCCACTAGCAGCCGGGGGCGGAGCTGTGTGAACAGAGAGTACAGCTTGATGAAAAGTTCCACGGCACTCTCACCAGTGAAAGACCTGCGGGCGTTGCTGCTGGGAGCCACCACAGGACACTGCAAATTAAGCGTCAACAGAACACTGTGCTTGCTCAAGTGTTGCACCAAGGGGCATCTCAGGACTGTTGACGATCTCCGTAATGTGCTCCACCTGCAGTCCGCACGCCGATGGGGTAGCCACATGCACGAGAAACCATTCACTGCTGCCGAGCCACAGCCATGACGTAGGGCATGTTCCGCATGGTCGGAACCTGTACCAGCCGAATTTCACTTCGCAACGAATTTCGCTTGTCCTGGAGTTTGGAGTTCCTAAACACTAAGCCCTCATCCAACATTGGGGGTTCGACCTTGGGGTATGGGATTTCTTGCCAAGCGGGCAGAGAAGGGGGAGGGGGTACATTAATTCTACGACCCACATTGTGAAATACTCATACTATAGGGCCAGGGGCATTTAACAACTAGCTAGACCGATTTGGGGGGGTCCTTTTTACGATTTTAGCATAATCGGCCCAAGAACACTATCTAATTGGTGAGGCCCCTTTATTGATCTCCTGGAACCCACGTTGCATGAGGCCTCCGGTCCGGTGTCGTAGATGGAATCCCTCCTCGGGTGCGGACACTGCGAGGTGAAAGGTGTGAGCCGTACATGTCGTAAAGTCAGGACAGGGGATATCTGCTTTCTGTTGGGGCAAGTGGCACATGGTAGCTTTGCCCATATTGCGATACTAATAAGGTATGCAAGGCAACACTACTACTAGCCCTCTTATGATGGCCTCGACTCGGGGCTCACGGGCGTGGACGAGCTTAAGAAGAATTCAATTCTTCGGAATCCAGGCTTACAGTCTGGTGCAAGGGCATGAACAACTAGAAAGCTAGACAAGCATGTCTTGAGGCTTTTATGCTATAGAATAGACCAGGGAACTTGTATTGCTGGATGATCAAGCCCATGTTTAATCTACGGGAGGTTCCGAAAATTAGGGCTACCTCATTTTGGGGTCCTTATAATAAGGATCCTACTATTTAGGGTACTAGATCAGGGTCCCCTATTTTCGGAAACTCCCGTAGTAGGGAATAGGATTCAGGATCCCAGACTTCGGGGTCTCTAAAGTGCGTCGAGCATCTGCGCAGACTCGCCCAGAATGCGCTGCATGAGGTCGAAGGGCGAGGACAGCAGGGCGTTGATGTCCTGGGCTTACACTTTCGTAGTCGTTGTAGTAGTAGCAGCAGTAAGCAGCAGTAGCAGTAGCAGTAGCAGTAGCAGTAGCAGTAGCAGTAGCAGTAGCAGTAGCAGTGGCAGTGGCAGTGGCAGTGGCAGTGGCAGTGGCAGTGGCAGTGGCAGTGGCAGTGGCAGTGGCAGTGGCAGTGGCAGTGGCAGTGGCAGTGGCAGTGGCAGTGGCAGTGGCAGTGGCAGTGGCAGTGGCAGCAGTGGCAGTGGCAGTAGCAGTGGCAGCAGGAGCAGGAGCAGGAGCAGGAGCAGGAGCAGGAGCAGGAGCAGGAGCAGGAGCAGCAGCAGAAGCAGTGGCAGGAGCAGCAGCAGAAGCAGTGGCAGCAGCAGAAACAGTGGCAGGAGCAGTAGCAGGTGCAGCAGGAGTAGTAGTAGTAGTAGTAGTAGTAGTAGTAGTAGTAGCAGCAGCAGCAGCAGTAGTAGTAGTTATAGTCGTACAAGAAGTTAGTAGCAATTGTGGCAGCAATAGCCACAAAGATCTAGTAGTGGCGTTGAAGGCTCAAGGTTCCTGAAACTGTGCACCCGCCCGGCCCACCAAAACGACCACTGCTACAGAGAGGCTCTGCCTGAAACCTGACTTGATAAGAATACAGTACAATAAGAATAGGAGAGTATAACAATATCCGGGCGTATATACACACATCTACAGTATCATTTATACACATATATATATATATGTATAAATGTATGTATGAATATAAATATATGTATATATATATGTAATATATATATATATATATATATATATATATATATATGTATGTATATGTGTATGTGTATGTATATATGTATTCATATATATATATATATATATATATATTCATAGCAGAAGACGACGACTCCCAAAAAAAGCCCTGGCCTGCGGCCCTTCAGCGGCTCTGAGATCCGGGCCGTGTGCTGCATCCAGCGACTTGCCCTGCGCATGGCATCATTCCCTCAAAGGACTAATATAGCGGCCTTAATAATTAGAAGAGGGTTCCTTTAAAGGGGTCACTATAAGGGCTACGATCAGGGATCTATGAGGGTACTATGATATAGGGGCCTTAATAATTAGAATAGGGTTTGGGGGCCCAATATACTATAACTATAACAAGGAACCCCCAAAATAGTATTGGTCATTGTTGAGGCCGCTATAGTAACCCTAAAACCCCAAACCGTATAACCCTCTGACCCAAAACCGGATAACCCTATCCCAAGACCCTACCTGGGCATGGGCATCATGCTCAGGGTCACCGAGCTCCGCTTCTCCTGATCAAGGATCCAAGCGGTTTAGAGTTCAGGGGTTAAGGCTGTAGGGCTTGGTTGGATGTTGTTTCTTGTAGTCTTGGTGCTCTGTTGCTTGGGGAGTTTAAGTCTGTGGGGTGTAGGCTTCGTCTCTTCTGCTTCTCACAGCTCCGAGTCAAAGCGGCCACGGACACAACTGGGGCTCTGGTTTCAGAGTTCAGATCCGGCTGTTCCCCAGAGCCTGGGTTCAGAGCTCAGGGCTTGGTGTTAGGTTTAGGGTTCGGGGGTCAGGATTTGGGTGGTTGTCATCATTAGGGTCCCTTTCTGGGAACCCTAAATATTAGGTGCCGTACTATATTAAGGACCCAAAAAGGGACCACAATTTTGACAACCACCGATTTGGGACTTGGGATTCAATGTAAGCTTTTCGGTGCAAACTCTCAGCCGCCCAAGCTGGATCCGTCCACATGTCCTCCATCGCATCCATGTACTTCTCCCTGTTCTGCAGCATCAACACGTCCTGGCGGTCTGCCAGGTGCTGAGTCGCTCGATGCGGAGCCTCTCTTCTTCATGTCTCACAGATGCCTGGTCTGAAATGCCTAAACCCAATGCCCAGAAACCTTAATCTCTGCCTGAACCCATCAACCCACAACCCGCTTACTATACCCCCCTTAGAGCCATAATAAACATAATATGATTAATATTCTCTTTGGCTGTTCTATGAACATAAGATCCTAAGAGGAGACTATAGCTTAAACCCTGAGGAGACACCTTTGTGAGGGCTCCTCCGGATCCAGGCGCACGCCTCGGAGCGCCGCGAGGATAAGCGCAACCAGCTCCTGAATGTCGGTTTAGGGTTTTTTTTTAGCTCCTTTTTCCAGGGGGCGGCTCCGAGCTGCATCCTAGAAGTCGGTTTAGGGTTTAGGGATTAGGGTTTAGGGCTTAGCGTTGAGCTTCTTTCGGTCCGGATGTTGTGTCGACTCCTTTTTGGGGGCTCTGGCTCATGGCCTTTTAATAGCGTGTGGGCGTAGGGGGTTGAGGGTCCGGGGTTTAGAGGTTCAGGGGTTTTGGAGGTTTGCGGTTTCGAGTCCAGCGGGCTAGCGTCTTGGAGAAGGCGAAAACGACACAAACTCCAAAAAGATCTCTTCGGCCTTGTCCCCGGTGCCGAGGCGTTCGGCCCGGAGGCGTCGCACGATGCGGTCCTGCGGAGCTCAGGTCGCTTGGGATCCGACGGCTTGTGCACAGGTTGGGCTTCCAGTGGTTACGGATCTTAGTATTTAATCTGAGGGCTCGATTTTTGAATAGGGTTTAGGGTTCAGGGATGTTGGTTACTGGTTGAGGGTTTAAGTTTAGGCATAGGCCTTCTTCGGGGGCACTGAGGATTCAATTCGTCTGATATCTGTGGCTTGTAGTTTCGTATTTTTGGTATCCGCCACTTTGCCAGGGCCTGAGAGCTGAAGGCTCAGAGCTGATGTTTGGGGTACTACTCAGGAACCTAGATACGGCCTGTACCACCAACCCACTCGAACTATTCATCCCTAAACCCTAAACCCCTGAACCCTAAAACCCTAAACCCTAAACCCTAAACCCCTAAACCCTAAACATCCCTAAACCCCTAAACCCCTAACCCCTAACCCCTGAACCCTAAAACCCTAAACTCCTAAACCGCATGAAGCCAAGGCGTTCGTTGGTCGTCCTTCCACTTCTTCAAGGACTTCGCATGCTCCCCGGAAGCCGTGAGCATCTCCCCCTCATCCTGCCAGGTTAGCATTTAATGGGAGGCCAAAAGGGTGGGTTTAAGATTCTTGGGGTACGGATTCCTTAATATGAACCCTATCATGGGAACCCTAAACCCTACTAAACCCCCCATAGGCTAAAACCCCGTTTGGCCTCCTATGAGCATTGCACTTCGGTCGAGGGCTTGATGCTCAGGCTAAGGCTTAGGGCACAGGGTTTCTTTCGGGTTGCTTTTTTTGACGCCTCTTTTCCTTTCCGCCGGGTTCAGGCTTTGAGGTTTGAGCTTTGGGAGGGCATTCGGGCTCAAGGTTCAATGGTTTGAGGCTTGGGAGGACAAAGTCTTGCAGCCTCGAGTACAAGAAATATACCCAGGAATCCCACGGTACAGGGCCCCCGGCCTTATTACTAGTGGTACGGTGTACATTGTCCTTGGTCTTTCATGGTCCGCTTTATGTGCTTATGATAGATCACTGCCTCTATCAGAATGATCCTCCTTAACTGTGAGATAAGCATTTGTGGCTGCTATCATTAATTGCTGCTGTTGCTGCTATGTTCATTGAATTTGGGCTTAGTGGCTTTGGCCCAACAAGCTTTAACATGCATCGTAGCTTGTCAACCCATCCATCGCATGGAAACAGCGATGCTGCTCATCTCGGCTCTGTGACACAAACCACGGCCTCCAGCATGGACTTGAACTTCTTGAGCATCTGTCCCTGCGGTTTTGGAGCTCTTGAAACGGGTTTTGGGGTAAGCATTACCGCAACCCCAATTAAACGGGTAGGTTTAAGGATATGTAATTAAGGACATCATAGGGTTTTCCGGGTAGGCACTATGCCACCCGAAACCCTAAGCCCTGCCATTACGGTTGCCCTAGCATTGTTCGCTTCTGGTCCTGCTACCTCCCTCCCCCGAAGCTCGCCTGGTCCCGGCGCAGGGCGTCGACCTCTCGGGTCACCTGGATCGAGGCTAGGGTTTTAGAGTTAGGCCTTGTGGGTTTTAAGGTTCCTCATGTGGGAAGTAAGCAGACTTTGAGCTTGCGGGAAGCATGCCGGCAATTAAAAAACTGCTTCTGTTCAGGATCCTTCAGTACTATGTTCCTGTGTGACATTGCCCGAACAAGCGAAAATCCGAGAAGGCAACAAATCAGCTGTCAGACATGTCGCCAGCAGGAGCTTCTCGCGATAGTGCCGGCACATAGTGAGGACCTTCCAGCGATGAAAACCTTCTACCGAGAACCATGGCGACGCTGCAGCGGGCGTGCCTTTTTCCGGAGCTCCGCTTCAGAACCCTTAACCCTTAAACCAAATAATAGAGGGATGTTAAAGAGAGGCCCGGGGGGGGGGAGAGGCCTGCATCTCCTCCTCGAAGCTCAAGCGGCACTCCCCGGTGACGTGGATGACCTGAGATGAGCGTATCGTACCCTAAACCCGTAACTCCGTAACCCCAAACCCTAAACCCCACTACCCCAAAACCCTAAGCCCGAAACCCCTTACCCTCAGGAACAGTGCCTCCCCTCGCAGCTCGGCAGATTATGAGGTTCCGACATCTGCCCTCCAGAAAGCCCAAAAAAACACCAGAAGTTCCAAGAAATCCTGCACCCCAAAAGTCCCCCAAGCCCGGATGCCTGAACCAATTCAGCCCCGACCCCTGGCAGAAATTGGGGCTTAGGCTTTAGGATTTAAGGTTTAGGTGTTTAGGGTTTAGGCTTGAAGGTCTAGGGTTTAGGGGTCTAGGGTTTTTAGGCTTGAAGGTCTGGGGTTTAGGGGCTTAGGGTTTACGGTTTCAGGCTTTGCGGTCCCAGGAGCTCTCCTCACATGCTCTGCACCTGGCAGGAGTCAGGGTATAGACCCTCTCCCTCTTCAGAGCGCCGGAAGTAGGGTTTAGAAGAGTCCCCTTTAAGGGGTTTGCCTAATTAGGATGGCAGTGGCTTTGTATGTCATCGGGCTTCACGCACCGGTAGTGAGGCAACGCTTCTCTTGTTTACGTGAGAAGGGTGGGACGCTCTCAAGCCCGCATCGCTCAAGCCTAAAGGACAACCGGAGCAAAACCAGAATGATGATAAGAACAACCCAGCATTGTCATAACAACGATTGGCCAACCCAAAGTGTTGCTGCCAGCCCTACAGTAGTTCAGTGGAACATTGCTGGAGCCGCCTTCTTCATAGAGGGCCCAGGGCAGCGGCATCCGCGAGTGCTGAACCTGAGTGCGGGCAGGCGCGGTTTTCCTTTGTAGTTGTTGGCCCTCGGCCTCTTGACGGCTCATTCGGCGAGAAGAACCCTAAACCCTAAACCCTAAACCCTAAACCCTAAACCCTAAACCCTAAACCCTAAACCCTAAACCCTAAACCCTAAGAGAGAGAGGAGGCGAGTCAGACTATAGGGCCCCTAGAGGGTTCTGGCTCTTGGCTGTCCAGCTTTGCGGCTTGGTCCCCCCCGAACTCTGGATATCTAATCTGATTAACCCTAAAACTTAAACCTCATAGTTACCCGGCTCCCTAAAAGAAGAAGCCCTAAACCCTAAGCCCCAAACCCTGAACCGACTCCCTAAAAGAAGAAGCCAATGCGTGTAGCCGAGGCACGGCTAATGCCAACTTGCAGCGCAGGGCCGTGGCATTTGGATGCCTGGATTCTGCACATCATCAGTTTGGTTTAGGGTTTACGGTTTTGGGGTTCAGGGCTTTTGGTTGTTTGAAGCGAGGTTCCTGAGTAGCCCATGCGGGTACCCTTTTTAATTAAAAACAAAAAAGGCAAAAGGGTACTACTCAGCAACCTAGATAGAGTTCGGGCTTACGCAGGGGATCTGGGATTCAATTTGCCTGACAGCCCTGTGAAGCCGTTGCCTGTCATCGATGCTCTCGAAGTGCTCGAAACAGACGGCATCTTCACCTGAGAGCACGGACCATACCAGTAGAAAACACAGCGCTACCAATTATCATGACCGTCAGTATCACCATCATGATCACGCTGGCAACGTGCTCCGGTTACGCGGGCTTCTTCGTTCGTGAGGCCTCTCTGCTAGAGGCCCAAGGGGCAACTTCAAGGTGACAGTGCCATGGCTGTAGTATTCCCATGGCATGCCGTCCATGCATTTAGGGTTTAGGGTTCAGGGCCGTCCATGGTATGCTCAGCCCGGCGCTAGTGTACGGAGAGTCCGTGGCCACGGAGTTTACCAGCTGAGAGACCAGATTGTAGTCCTCGGTCAAAGTCTTTCTTGCGCTTAAGGTTTTGCTAGCTGACAGCACTTACTACTGTGCAAGACTGTGCAAGTATCTCTACGTACTACTACTGGTACTGTCGCTTACTGCTTACTATTCACTACCACTTAAGGCTTGTTACTGACTGCCTGCTACATCGCTGCGTACTACCTACTACCAACTGCCCAATTGCTTACTGCATCTTACTATCGCTACTACAGCTGCTGCTACTGCTACTCCCACTGCTCCTCCTCCTCATCCTCCTGCTGCTACAGCCGCTTAACTACTCCCGACCACATTATGCACATTTGTTCTTCTCTCATTTCATTGGGATGGCTGTTGTTACGATTCAGTTGGGTTCATCATCGCTGCACAATGTCCAGGCGAACTGAAGAAGAGAGAGAGAGAGAAAGAGAGAGAGAGAGAGGGAGAGGGAGAGGGAGAGAAAGAGAAAGAGAGAGAGAGAGAGAAAGAGAGAAAAAAAAAAAAAAAAGAGAGAGAGAAAGAAAGCAGGCGAGAGAAAAAGATAGAGAGAGCACGCGAGAAAAAGAGAGAGAGAGAGAGCGAAAGGTGTTTCAGCTCCAGGGGCCCGGTGCAAGAAGAAGAGGAGCATCAAGTAGAGGGCCGAGCCTGATAGCAGAAGACACAGGGTTTGTGGGTTTGGGCTTGGTGCTTCTTCGGTTCGGTCTGAAAGTTTTCGGGTTGGGCTTAGAGGCTTTCGGGGTTTGGGGCTGTAGGTTTAGAACTTCGAGTGTAGATTCAATGGCACGTTCTCAGCCTTTCGGCTATCGGGATGCAGATGGACAGGGGGGGTCGTACCCGTGCTTTCAGCCCCAACAGGCTCTTCAGTCCACACAGCCACAAGTCCACGTTGAGCCTCTTTATGTATATGAAGACTATTCCGACGACCGGCGCATTTTATCATCACGACCCTCATCACGATCAGCGTCATCACCGTCAACATGAATATCACCTTCACCGTCAGCATCTCCGTCCCAATCATCATCAGAATCATAGTTAAGACTGTGCTTGCCGTTACTGGTAACCTGCACCCAGCTGCCAACACAGAAGATGCGACAGCCTAAGTCCAAACAAGACATCCACGTCCAAACACGCAAAGATTAATTCTCATCTTCGCACCCAGATTTGCAAAGCGTGCGTATAACCACGGCAGTACAGTTCTAAAGGTAATTGAAACACAACGGTGAAAAGCAGATCACCACCATAAAAATGCTTTCATGATAACAGCATTCACAGGCCAACCTGTGGTCGGCGGCTGTAGGAAAGAGGCGGAGACGTGGACGGGATACCTGCAGACAAAGCGGTTGAAGGCTTACGACTTGGGAAAGGGTCGCTCTTGTTGTCTTCCTCCTCATCCTTTCTCCTTCCTCCTTCTTCCTACCCTTCGCAGTACTAGACAATAATACTAATGCTCATACGAATACTAACAATGCCAACAACAAGGCTACTAACAATAATCTTAATAAGTAATACTGATAACAATAACAATAGTAATAGTAGTAGTAATAATAGAACAATAGTAATAATAGTAATAATAGCAATAATAGTAATAATAGCAATAATAGTAATAGTAGTAATAATACTAATAGTAATAATAATAGTAATAATAGTAATAGTAATAATATTGGTATTAAGACCATTCAGAAAGTCTCAGAACGAGGGCCATCTCTGACCTGCAAAAGTCCTCTTCAGCTGGCATCTCAGCTCCTTTGCCCCCTGGTGCGTCCTTCTGCTTACCGCTGGTTAGTAGGGTATGGAAGAATGGTAGTAATAGGTTCCTTTAAAGGGATCCTTTAAGGGATCTATAGGGTTTAGGGTTTAGGGGTTTAGGGCTTACCTTTGGGAATGGAAGAATGGTAGCAATAGTAGTTTTAATTGTGCCCCATTCCTCCATTCCCTACTAACAAAACCCTAAACCCTAATCCCTAAACCCTAAACCCTATAGATCCCTTCAAGGATCCCTTTAAAGGAACCTATTACTGCCATTGCTAACCAACGGTAAGTCTGGGGCCCTCACAGGTAATGCTTCGTGGCACCTTGACTCCACACCTCAGCCCAGCAGAGCGAACGGCGCGGCATACTTGGGGCAAAGGAGGTCTTCGAGTCTGTCCTTGGGCCCAACGGAATCGTTATACACCTGCACAGAGTCTAGCCAAGAAACTTCGCACCCTCTCCTCCAAGAACGCCGTTAGAAGCCACAGAAAAGGCCCAGTCTAAACCCTAAACCCAAATCCCCAAAGCCCCACACCCCTACAACCTCGGGCCCGGCGAAGAGCAGACCTCAGAGGCTGGGCAGCGGGCGCCGTGGCCCCGCTCAAGGACCAGCTCCGTGCTGAAAGGATTCCTCGATTTAGGGCTAAAACTGTAGGGAAAAGCCTAAGGGTCAAGGGCTTAAGGTTTAGGGGTTTGTGGTTGCGGGGTTTTTCGGTCTTCCCCTGTTCAGCTGTGTGTCTCGATCTTTATTTGCGGCTGCTGCTTTTTGTTGCTCGTCTCCTGCCTCGAGCGCGGCTTACTTGCCGATATCTTTGTTATGTTGTCCCGGCTTTTTTCGTTATTCGTGTGCACGTCCGTATGCGCGCGCGTGAGCGTGTGTTTGTTGCTTCACTCGTTTCTTCAATACGCGCGTCGTCCCGTCGGAGTTTGCTGATGTCTTATGCCTTGCCTCTTCTCTGTCGCGGATGCACTCACCGATCCATTTCTCTTTATCAATTTGTTGAATTCGTTTTGTTCTCGCCATCCGGTATTTCTTTGTTCGTTGCTTAGTTCTTTCGTCATGTCTTTCCGTGGCTCTCCATGTATATCCTTCGTTCTCTCTTTCCATTGTTGTGTCCAGTGCCTTGTTCTGGTCTCTCTTCCTTGCATCATGACTTTCTTGACCCCGCCCAAACCCTCGCCTGTTGGTGCCGTTCAAGACCCCTCCATGTTCCTGTTTTTGTCTTTATGAGACCCCTGGAATGAATCCGAATCTCTCGAAACCGGCCTGAAGCCCGTTCGGACAAAACCTCAGGCTCCACCACCCCGAAACCTTCGAAGGGAGGTCGGATCTTTGTCCCAAGTCCAAGCCGGGATTCGCTGCGATGTAGATCCGATGTGGGCAGACGTTGGGTACCTTCAGGTACTTGGTTTGCGCGTCAACGTTCCAAGTTTGATGGTTCAGAGTTCAGGACTTGCGGCTCTGGGCTTAGGATTTAGTTTAAGTGCTGCCAACAACTTTACGGTCTTACAGTGGCCGACCGTGGCTGCCACTGCTAGTGTCATCACTGCTGGTATGCCTATGTTGTTGCCATGGTTGCTAGTGCGAATACACGTGCTTTCAGCAGGTCGTGTGTGTCTCATACCACAAGTAAGAGTAAACATCGACAACATGATTTTGATGGCCGCCATCATTTCAACATGACTTTCTCTTTAGTGATATGACTGCAAGAGCCACCACCACCAACAACAACAACACTGCCGCCGACACCACGACCATGAGCAACCCAGAGACTCCAAGATCCCTTCATTAAGGAATATACCTTCAAGTATAGTCGGATCCCTAATATGATTTCATGTATATTCCTTAATTAAGGAATATACCTTAAACTATAGTAGGATCCCTAACTATGATTTACCCTACATTCCTTAATTAAGGGATATCGGAGTCTCTGGGAAGCCTGAACCCCAAAAGCCACCTGAAAACTGAGCCCCGACCCTGGACCCTTAGGGGGAGGTAGGGGCCCTAATAAGCACTTAATAAGGCCTAAACCCTAAACCCTAAACCCTGAGCCCTAAGAAAGTATAGACCCCTACCCCCCTAAGGGTCCCTCGGACATCGTCGCACCTTCAGGCCTCACAGCCATAAACTGGGTTCTTGTTAAAGGGACTTAGTTAAAGTGACCATGCTATTAATAATGTATAAGGGTTCCTTTGAGGGATCTATAAGGGTTTCTTTAAGGGTACAGGGATTTAGTTAAAGTTACCATAGTAAGGAAACCATAGTACTTACTGTAGATCCCTATTATGGTAGACAAGGACGGATTTAAAGTTACAGTGATAAAACCATTGTATTGACCATAGACCCCTATTATGGGAACTTGAATTAAGGTCCTTCACGAGAACCCAGTAAATGTTGATCCGCATTACTCATTACTCCCTCTTCCTTTCTGAAAACCGGGCGCCGCACGCACGCAAAGAGCTCCTGCAGTGCGGCGTGGCTTAGCGCACAACCAAGGCTTTCAGGGTTTGGAGCTGGCCCTAAACCGGTTGTAGGGTTTAGGGCTTAGGACCTATAGGATTTAGGTTTTAGGTTTCAGGGTTTAGGTTCTAGGTTTTAGGGTTTAGCTCGGGAGCCCTGAATCCGTCCTCATCCTCGCTTTGCAGCAGCAGCGAATGAGGCACGGCCTGCAGACCAGAAAATGGTTGCGAGACTGCGCGGGCACATGGACCTACCCTGAAGCTTTGGGGTGTGTATATATATATATACATATATATAGTAAAAATAGTTATTATACGTATAACTACAATTATAATTATATGTGTATATATTACACTAGAGTTAAGCCCCAAAATTTTTACAACTTTCGACTTCGGACTTGGGAGAAGGAGTTGCCTCCGACCTCTCCTCTCCGGAACGTACCCCCTTAGGACGCCAGTAGACATGAATGGTTGTCGAAATTAGGGTCCTTTTTGGGGTCCCTAATATAATACGGCACCTAATATTTAGGGCACCCGAAAAAAGACCATAATTTTAATGATTACCCACATGGAACACAACTTCTACCCGGCTTGAGGCCATCATGCAGTGGATTGAGGCTCCTCATGCCGAAGCATGAACCCAAAACTTTGCAAGCCTATGCGGACAACCATCAGACCTTACGAAAACTCCGTTCGACCTGCAAGAGATCCCTCCTAACCCAGAAACCCCGATTCCTAAAGCTACACCCTCAAAGCCTCAACCCTTAGATTCGCCATGATTCACCCTCCCCGAGAAGCTTTGAGCCTGTAGCAGCTGCAACGCCTGAGCCCGAGCCCCGAAGGGAGGCTTCGTGGGCATGAAAAGCCTCGGAGGGTTTGGGGCCTTTGAGGCTCAGGGTTTAGGGTTTAGGGTTCAGGGTTTGGGTTTTAGGCCTTAGGGCGAGGGTTTAGTGGTAAGGGCTTGCGGCTCAGGGTGTCTAAGGTTTCCGGGCTTAGGCCTTAGGGTTTTAGGGCTTATGAATTTAGGCGTTTTGGGTCCCAGAAGGCTCAGATCGGATTTGGTGTCATTTGTAGACCTCTTGAAGGAACCCTTTCAAGAAACCCCAAAAATTAGATAGGGTAATTCTTGAGGCCCCTATAGGATATGGATCTGGTGCTCAGAAGTTTTGGGCCCTCCTCTCAACACCCCGGGGCCGGGACAGCGAAGCTTACGTCTTTACTTGGTGATTTTCACCGGTAAGGGTTCAAGGTTTACCCTAGCCTACCAAACCCTACTTTTTTGTAGGTTCTTAATATGAACCCTAATATGGAAATTAGAGGGACCCTACCAAAAAAGTAGGTTTTGGTGGGTTAAGGTAGGGTTTAGGGTTGATAAGTTTGCTTGTTTAGAAGTACTGGCGCATGTTTTCTTTCGACCCTAAACTCCAAACCCTAAGCCCCAAACCGTCACATCATACTTTCAGCCAGTCAAGGGGCGTGGAGTGGTCCACCGAGTAAAGCCTCTGCTCCCCACGGGGGCCCTTCCGCACGTCCCAGGTGAGCCTGGGTTCTGAAGAGAGCAAGGAGGAAAAAGGTCTAGGGTTTAGGGTTTAGGGTTAGAGCTGTATGTCATGACTGTTCCTTTCATGAAACAACAGATCCCAAAAAGCCCCCAGCCCCTAACCCAAACCCCAAAGCTCAAACCCAAGCCCTCAACCCAAAAACCCTCGACACTCGACCCCGAACCCGAAACCCTGAACCCCGAAACCCCAAACCCGAAAGCAACCTCGAAACTCCAAACCTCCCCCCCCCCCACAAGAAAAAAAAAAACAACAAATAAAAAAACAACTCAAAGCCTAGCCCGGAAGCTGCAGCCGCGGCATCTCCACGCGCTCCACCCGCAGGTGCTTCAGCTCTCCAGCCTCTCAGGCATGTGGGTGGTTGTCAAAATTGTGACCCCGTTTTGGGTCCCTAATATAATTGCGGCACCTAATATTTGGGGTAATTCAAAAAGAAACCATAATTTGGACAATTACCCATGTAGGGTTTAGGAGTCAGGGTTGAGAGTTTGGGAGTTCGGGTTTAGGGCGAGGGTTTAGGGCTTGGGGTTCAGGGTGTAGGGCTGACCGGATATGGGGGGTTTAGCGTTCATGGGCCGTTGGGGTTCAGGCTTGTTTTAAGGGTTTGGGACATGTCCGGGATGAAGCTTGAGGCTCAAGATGAGCCTAAACCGTAAACATCCCTAAAACGCTGCGGGGCGAAGGAGAGGTTGAGTTTCGACTTAGGGCCTGGGTTATCTGCTTGGAGGGTCTTTAGGGGACTTAGTAAGTAGGTAGTAAGAGACTTATAAGTACCCTCAAAGGGACCCTAGTTGGGGTTATGGTACTTATAAGTCCCTAGAATAACCAGTTACTAAGTCCCCGACCCTCCAAGTAGGGTTTAGAGCTTTAAGAAGTTTAGGGGCTGACGGTGTCTCCCCACCCTAGTTCTCAACCCTTACAAAACCGTATAACGCGAGTCTGGAACCGGATAGAAACCTACATCCCAAGGTGGCCTAACAGCTTGGTAGACCTTAGACTCGTTCATGGTTGGGATAGGACAAACATGTACATTTCTATACCTTATTGGGTTTAAGCACCCATAAACATGTAAAGTGTTAGCCAACTATGACAAAGCAAACCCGAAACCCTGAAATCTCACCAAATCCCGAACACCGCAAAACCCCAAACCCTAAAGCCTACCCTACCAGCCTCCCAAGGGTTCAGGGAGGTCCAGGCCAGGATATAGGAGAGGTTCTCTGCTCGGGCCAAAGAATCGGCCAGGTGGTGGAGAGGAGTACCTGAAGCGTTTTAAGGGTTTAGGGCTTAGGGGGGTCTAGAGCGTTAAGGCCTCAGGGGGTTGAGGAGGTTGAAGGGGTCTAGGGGTTCGGGGTTTAGGATGGTTTATGCGACATTAGAATGTTTGGTTTCGGGCATGGGGTTCACTGAGCGCTCTTTTCGCGGTCCCCGGTTACACTGGACGATGATGGAAATTGGCTGCTTCACGGGGTGAACAAGCTAATCAAGAAACTAGATTAACCTGAGCTAGATAGAGCAGCGATTCTAGTTTTCAACCTCGCCTGCATTGGTGTGGAGCAGGTCAAGGAGGTACAAGTCAGGACGCCCCATGCCGTCGCGGAAGCGTTTGATGACCACGGCACCCCAACCGCGCATTCCCGTGCAGAGGATCTTCTTGATGCGAACAAGCTTGACGATGAGGATGTGGTCGACCTTCTTATTGCTGGAATCAGACTCCAAGAGGTCCTCCTCCTCGTGGTCCGTGGGCCAGCGACCTTTGGCAGGATAGCCTCGGATCACGCGGTGCGGCGGGGCGTTCTCCTGGTAGAAGTTGTAGTCTTGTAGCAAAGCCTCCGGAAGCAAACCCCAGAGGACTCGCCCGGGCAGATACTGCTCTCCCACCTGAGTGGTTATCAAAATTGACTTATAAGAGTTCCTTCTACAAGGGCTCTATAGAGGTTTTAGGGTTTAGGGGGTTTAGGGTGGTTGTCAAAATTGTGATCCCTCTTTGGGTACCCTAAACATTAGGTGCGGTACTATATTATAATTTTGACAACCGCCCACCTCCATCATGCGCTCAAAGGGAGACTTCTCGGTGATCATGCGGTCGTGCAAGATCTCGACATCTTTGATACCCCCGGCCCGGCAATCAAAGCCGATGTGGTCAACGATCTCTGCGGAGCGGTCGGGGAAGTCGAAATCCGCCAAACGTTCACCGTTGATGGAGACTTCGAAGCCTTGCAACCAAAACCCTAAACCCTAAACCCTAAACCCTAAACCCTAACAAGCGAGTGGCCAAGTCTCGCCCACTTGCTCTGGAGTCGAGTTCGGGATGTTGGGGATTTTTTCAAAGTAGGAGCATCAGCAAGCAAATTCAACACTGTTCGTGTGTATAAGTGTGCGTATGTATACATATATATATATATATATATATATAGAGACATATACACATCTACATATTTATTCATTCTCGCTTGTATGTTTCAGCTCCGACATTCCATGTTCTCTATGAGCGTCGAGGAGCCTTCGTCACTTTTTTCGAAGGTCACGACGAAGGTGTCGCTTTCGGAGCCCAGGGGGCATCCTCCCGTGCGCACCTCGCTGCCTTTCGACCCATCGATGATCGAGTTCCTGAGGATGCACTTTCCTGGGCTTTGACGTGGCCAGGGAGAAAGAAGGTCTTAACTTTCATGGCACAATGCTTCCTTTAAGCAGCAGATCCCCAAAAAAAATATTGTTAAAGGATGATAATTACTCCCAAAAAGTCTTAAAGAATGGTATAGAATTCCCCCAAAAAATAGAAAGATACACTGCTCGAGCTCACCCAGGTTCGCTGCGTGCAGGGCGCAAAGGAGAAGACGCAGTCGGCGCCGGCGTAGAAGCCTGGGTTCTTGTTAAGGAATTTAATATATAAGTTACCACATATAAACCTAAACCCTAAAAGAACTTAACTGTAGATCCCTGTTATGGTAGCTCAAACTAAACCCCTTAACAAGAACCTTGAACCCTAAACCCTTAAAGGAACCCTTATAGATCCCCATTATACGTTCCTTAACAAGAGCCCAGAAGCAGAAGCGCCAGTCGATGCCATCCTTGCGGCTGTAGCCATTGCCTGGGCTCTGAGTGGGGGCCAGGGGACTTAGTCCTTATGATCCCTTTTAGGGTTCCTTAAAGGGATCTATAAGGGTTTCTGTGGGGTCTCTATAAGGGTACTACACTGGGGGACTTAGTAAGTTGGGCATAGGTCGGTAGGGTTATAGTTGGGGAAACTCTACTTATCATAACCTTCCTACTAAGTCCCCTGGGCCTCTAAGTAGCGGGGATATACGGATGTAGGGTCTAAGGGGTTTCGGGATTTAGGGGTTAGAGGTTTAAGGATTTAGGGATTTTGTGTTCAGGGGTTGAGGGGTTTAGGGATTTCAGGTTAAGATTTTTGGGCGGGGGTATATGACTGAAGTGTTTATTCCCATAGCAAGAGCCCAGCTGCCCTTGATCTGCATCCGGTCACCCTCCTGGAATCTCACGGGCACCTGACGTACAGTACCCTTCTAGAAACCTTATAGAAACCCCCATAGAAACCCTTAAAGATCCCTTTCAGGGGCCCTAAGTTTGACCACTACCCTAAACCCCTAAACCCTAAAACCTCTATAGAGCCCTTATAGATCCTTTTTAAAGGTAACCCAAAAAGGGACCCTAAGTTTGACCACCGCCCCACCTTCCTGGAGAGGTTCCTTTGGCAGGCCTCACAGAGGTCGTAGTCGCAGTCGCGGCAGCGCCAGGCGGTGCCACTGCAGCCGCAGAAGTTGCCTAGGTCATGGTTGGGAGAGTATATAAAAACAGTAAAGATGTTTAGGAGTACCCACGAAGGTACGTAAAACGTGTATGTATGTGTATATATATATATATATACATATATATATATATATATATATATATATATATATATATATTGCTTATTGGGGTTAAGAGTACCGATAAAGAGGTGTAAAATGTTGGGCCCAAAGCTATGAGAAAGTTGCAGCGATTGCTCTTCTTCTTCTCGGGCTGGAGCTCGTGGGCCTCTCGGCAGTAGACAGGCTGTGGCTCCGCGGCCGTGTGGCGGAGCTGCTTTCGCCGGCGCTGGATGCCGTCCTCCTCCAGCTCCTCCTCATCTTCCTTCAAAGCACTGCCGGCCATCCGTTCGCCGCCGGAGTCCGCCTCATCCCAGTCTTCCGGATCATCCATGGCATCTTTGTCCGCCTCCATCTCCCCCCCGAATCCCGTCAGGCCCTTGATGGCCGTGCGTGAGACGGTGGTGGTATTCTCGTGGTTGCTCAAATCGCAGCTCGAGCCACCGGCTGCGTAGCGAGCCCAGATTGGCCAAGGCTCGTCGCGACCGTCCAGCGGCGGCTGCAGCTCATGCATGCAAAGCCGAGCGTTGCTAGTGTACTCCAGCTGCCGGTACAGCTGATGGCCGTAGGATTTGATCCCGTAGATGTGGATCATGCGCCGCTCCTTGAAGAGGTGGACTTCCTTCCAGATGCGCGCCTTAGCTTCCTGGTGTACTCCCATGAGGCAAACCACGGTGGCATCCGGTGACACGGGCTCGTCCTTCATGAAGAAGAGGGGCGGCTTCTTCGGCGGGGGTGGGATGAAGAACATGCGCCGGACGGGCTCGAAGAGCTCGGCTATCCAGAACTCGTCCTCCTCCAGGTCCTCCACGTCATAGAGCCGGTCCCAGTCGTCCAGGAAGGGCAAAAAGCTCGCCGGCTTCGAGGACCAATGCGTGGCCCGGAAGGGGATGCTCAGGAGCTCGCGCACCGTGGCGTTCGTGGAGGTCAGCAGCGCGGAGCACTGCACCGTGGTCTTCTGCATGGCGCCCTTCTCTCCCAACTCCGAGACGAAGACGTGCTTGAAGTCCTCATCCTGCCAGATGAAGTCCTCCAAGGGAACGAGCGTGCGGCCGCGGACCGTCACCTGGAGCAGCTGGACGTTGAGCTCGATCCAGAAGGCGTCGGATGCGTTCACAGTCTTCACTCCCTTCTCCTTCTCCTTGTCCTTCTCCGCCCCTCCCTGCGCCTCCTTGTCCGGGGCTGACTCGCTGAGGACACCGAAGCGGCCCTCATACTCCGAGTCGTCGCCCACGCAGACCCACTCGAAGCCCGCGGTCTCCGGGGCGCTGGTGTCCCCAAGGGCTGAGAGCTGCTGATGGCAGCTCCGCAGCACGGAGTTGAAGCCCTGCAGCGCATTCAGGCGCCTCTGCTCCACGAGCCAACGCACGATGTAGCGCCGGTGCAGCTGCCTAGTTCATGGCTGGGATAGGATTAAACATGTACACTTTTATTCCTTATTAGTTCAAGTACCCATAAGAATGTAAAATCTTACCAAACTATGACAAAGCTGCAGGGTCTCGAAGAGCTCCGTCTCCGGCACCTCAAGGCGCTCCTGGTTGAAGGTGTGATGGGAGGAGAGGTAGGTCAGGGAGGAGAGCAGCCGCTTCACACGCTCCGCGTCGAAGTCGCTCTGCGGGACGTTCCGGAGCACCAGAACCTCTACTGAACTTAGACGCCTACCAAAGAGTATAAGTTTTGTCCTGCTTCGTGGGGATTATAGGAACCAAGAATTATAGTTTCAGCTGTTTCGTGGGGATTATAGGAACCAACAATTATCGAGCATTTCCAAGTACCCCTAAGGAACCTGGTGGGCGTGGAGCCGGCAGGCGAGCTGGTTACACTCATCCTCGCGGCTGGGCTCCTGCTGTGCCGACTCCGCCAGCTCCTCCAACCACCTGGGAGTTTCCGAAGTACAGGGGCCCTACTGTAGTGTAGTATACCTTAAAAAGGTGGGTGGGATCCGTATTATAAGCACCCCAAACAAGGTGTACCCAAAAAAATCAAACCGAAAATTAGGGGTACCTCATTTCGGGGTCCTTTTTCTAAAGGATTCTACTATTGAGGGCTTAGGGTACTATAGTAGTATCCCCTTACTTTCGGAAACTCAAGTAGTATACCTTGAATAGGTGGGATCCTTGTTATCAGGACCCCGGGTAACAAGGTACCCCAAAAATTCAGAAACTCCCACCTGTCGGCTCCCAAAATGAGGTACCCTAAACCCTAAGCCCTTATAGATCCCCTATAGAACCCCTAAGTGGAACCCCCTACTTCGGGAACTCTCCCCACCTGTCGAACCATGGCAACACCTCGCCCTCGAAGGTGCTCCGCAGCAAGCTCCGGCCTCGCCGCAGGTCTTCCAGGACGCTGGGCGTGGTGGTGAGCCTTGGCAGAAGACTGAACCCTAAACCCAAACCCTGAATCCTATACCCTAAAACCCTAAACCCTGAATCCCAAACCCTGAACCCTAAACCCAAATGGTACTCCAAAGCCCAGGCCTTGGCCAGGCCCGGGCCACCTTGCCCTCAGCGTGGTCCATGAGAAGGGCCGCTGCCGACTCGACGCGCACGGCCAGGCGCACGGAGAAGAGGATCGCCGGCACCGTTTCCGAGGTGACGGAGGTCGCGAGGCTCAAGGTGAGGGCCATCAGCTTGCCCACGGCGGTCAGGATCACCGTCGGCCCGTGCGCCAGCTCGGTGAGAATCTGGCTGAAGGGAGAGGCCACCAGGTGCTCCTCCTCGGCCGTGGCGGGCACGTACTCCGGTATGTTCTTCATGTCCTCGGGGAAGAGCAGCCGCCCGGGCTCCAGCATCGAGGCCTGGAGGATCCTTTGCAGAGTGCCCTGGCGAAGGCAGTTGCTCCTGTCCTGTGGGGTTTAGGGTTCAGGGTTCAGGGTTTAGGGTTTAAGGTTTAGGGTTAAGGGTGTAGGGTTCACGGTTGAGTGCCTTTAGGCCTTTAGGGTTGAGGATTAAGTTGGGTCCTGCGTTGTGAAGAAGCTCAGCAGAAGTGGCTGCCGCAGGTAGGGCACCTCAGACAGAAAAGTTTGAGCTGAAACCGTTAAGGCCAAGATGCAGAACAAACACGTCACGAGCCAGCTTTAAAGACTTCCCCAAAGCCCTGAATCCAGCCATCATCGGCACAAACCTCAGTACTCCTGATAGTCACCCTTGTGGAAACCCTTTGTTTAGCCCCAATACTAAACCTTCGGTTTTCGCGGTTTCACCGAGCCACCGTCAAGTACGATAGCAGGCCCTCACTGTCCGAGGGCCGCAGCATCGGGCGCCCCGTCTTCTCATCGGGGAAGTTGGGCAAAGACCTGCCGGCGGCTGGTGGGGTTCGCATCCCCAGAGCAGCTCATGGGGTTCAGGGATCGTCTTGCTGCCACCGTCGCTAGTAACGCCTAGTAATTGTGGTTAAACCAAGCCCCTAGAATTCAATCCTAAAGCTCAAAAGCTCCCCACTGTATGAGTCAAACCTCCACCAGAACCCTAAACTCTCGGCCTCTGGTAAAGCAGGTCGTCCTCTGTACCTCTGATGGACTGAGGTTATGGAACGGTTACGGATCCATTTAAAAGATCAGTGGATTTGTAAGCAGGATTGTTAGTAGGGCAACCACAGCTTCAAACCCCAATTCAGGTGGGCACAACCCTACTCACTTCCCTCCTCCGGAAAGTAGGATTTGAAAAAATTCGAAGTATCGAGCCCTGGGGCTAGAACACCATAGGGCTTTAGGTCCTTAAAGCTGTTAAGCTTTTCGGGCTTTAGGCCTGTAGGCTTTTAGGGTTTGGCGGCTTTAGCCTTTGGGGGTCGTGGGGATTTAGGGCACTAGGGTCTTTAGGGTGTTGGACTGTTGGACTTGGGGAATTTCATCCCTGGCCCGCCTCAACCCCAAAACCCTCAACTTGAAGGGTCCCAGTTCGCGCTTGGAGTCCAGGATTTCGGGGCTAGAGATTGGAATCGCCGTTTATGAACCCTGAACCACTGAAGGGACATGTTTTCGAGTTTCCGATACAGGAATCACTGTAATTAGTCTCAAACCATTTAAACTTCCTGCAACGCCCCCCACACCCCCAACAAAAACGCCAAAAACGCCACCAAACCCTCTACACTGAACCCCTGACTCTAAACTCTGAACCCTAAACCCAAAACCCTAAACCCCTAACCCCAAAACCCCAAACCCCTAAACCCTAAACCTCTACAGACCCCTAAAGAACCCTCATAGATCCCTCTAAAGGAAAGGCTTATAGATCCCTTTTAAAGGGACCCTGAACCCCCTACATCTAAGCACAACCTCACCGTCGAGAAGCGGACTTCTCCCTTGGTGTGCCTCGGCGGCGTCCGCAGTGCTCCGGGTTTTTGGAGTTTTTGGAGCTCGGGGGCTTCGGGAATCTAAGGTTTAGGGTTTAGGTCTTTACTTGGAGGGTCGGGGGACTTAGTAACTGGTTATTTTAGGGACTTATAAGAACCATAACCCCAATTAGGGTCCCTTTTAGGGTACTTATAAGTCTACTTACTACCTACTTACTAAGTCCCCCGACCCTCCAAGTAAGGTTTAGGGTTTAGGAATTCAAGGTTTAGGGTTTAGAAACTGTTTAGAAGGGGGGGTTGATGATCGGTTCTACAAATCTTGGGTTTTGGGGTGAAGTTCTGGCGATGTGGCTCTACTTGTACGGTGCTCTTAGCTTTAGGGCTTCCACGGGGGCAGGGCTTTCGGTTTCAGGTTCTGGACATGAAGCCAACGGGTCTAGCTTCACGACTTGAACGGCTTAGGTTGTTATGAGGCTTAGTGGTTCCATCTTCGACGCGACACGGCTCCTCTAAAAATAGATAGGGCCTTCATAGTCGGATCCCATAAGCTTTGGGGCTCATTGCCAGACCCCTGCTTTTCTGAAGCTTGCAAATCGGGAGGAGGCAGCTCCCACTAGGGAGCTGCCTCATCTTCAGGCTCCAGGGAAAACTCCCAACCTTGTACTCTTCAGCTGTAAACTTAACATCTGCAATACCCTCCAGGGGGATAGGGGAGTTTCCGAGAATGAGGGGTGCTTTATTTGAGGGTCCTTACAATAAGGATCCTACTGTTTAGAACACCCCTCCAATACAATTAACCCTAGATCGTAAACCCGAAAACCTAAACCCCCTCCCCAAAGGAAACCCTTCCCGGGCCCCGCACATGGCCGGCAGCGCAGGAGAGGGCCACCGGTGACCCGAGGCCGGAGGCTGTGGCGGCGTGCGCTCGTTGATCCACACCACGTTGTCCTCTCAGTTCTCTCTTAAGGATTAAGAACAAGTACCCCACTACCCACTTTAAGGCCATAAGGCCAATGGATATAGATTCCCTTTTTTGCGAGTTTACGAAACATACGAAGGTTGTCCTAACGGTGAAGGAGACAGTCATGGTAGCAGAATGGCAGTTCGTGACACTGATAACAATATTTGGAAAACAGAAGAAGATTAACACCTATGATGGGAATGTAAAAGGCCCTATTATAATCCTTATGGTCACTATTACAGGGTGGGGGCCCCTTCTAAGCTATAACAGTAAGGATGCAGAGAATGCCGCTGAAAGCAACAGGCAGGCGAAGTCTGCTGGCACACAGCTTTTCGGACTTGGGGGTTTCTGGCGCCAGACATGGCCAGAGGCCGCAGGGCCTTCCGCTTAGGGTTTAGGGTTTAGGGTGCTCCTGTTACACCTCACACTTCGCCCCCAAAGCCTCAACACCTCCCCAACCCCGAAACTCCCCAAAGCTCTTGAACCCAAACTAACGCCTAAGTCCCGAAACCCCCAGAGTTCTCCCTGTGGCCCAGTCTGGGGCAAAATTTCAGGTTATTAGAGGGGTTCAGGGCGTTCAGAATGTTCTACGACTCTGTTGGGGCTGAGGGCTTTAGATGCTGTCTTTATGGCTAAGGGCTCCAGGACTAGAACGTGTAATGTAAAAGACGAGGAATGATGTCAGCGGCAGCTGAAGTCGCTCTTTCCTAAAACTCCCTAGGGCCAAGAAGCACTGAAAAAAACGAGGATTCTGCTCTTTTGGCTTTGCGTTTCAGGCTCGTGGTTTGCCTGATATTGGGTGTCTAAGGGTGTTTTTTCAAAGAGGGTTATCATGTCGATTTTTGCTTGGCCGGGTGGTTTTGAGATTTTGGTTCGGTCCTATCAAATGCCCCTATACGATAGTACCATTATAGATCCCTTATAGTAACCCTTCTGGACCCCTTTACAGGGAACCCTTTATTTCGGTCCTTTCCCAGGGCCGAGAGCTTGATTAAGGAATATACCTTAAATCATATTAAGGATCCTACCAGATTTTAGTGTATATTCCGTAATTTAGGGATATTGGAGTCTCTGGGTTTTGATATTTCGGTCCTTTCCAAACGGGACCCTAATATAGTACCATGAATAGTAGGATCCTTATAAGGACCCCAAAATAAGGTACCCCTAAGTTGAGGACAATCCCCTTTCGGTCCTTTCCCAGGGCCGAGACCTTGAAGTAGGGCCTTCCCTTGTCGTCCACTTGCACGCTCCAGCGGGCGATGGCTTCGGCGGGGTGGAACTTGCGGGCTTCGGGGAAGACCCGGATGTCCGTGCAAAGGAAGTACTTCCACCAGAAGACCTCAGGTTTAGGCTTTAGGGTTTAGAGTTTAGGGGCCTAAACCTTTTGGGGGAAAAAAATTCCCCAATATGTTTGGTGCACAGGAAGTACTTCCACCAGAAGACCTCCGACTCGAGGGAGACAAGCCCGAGAACACCGGTACTATAGAGGCCTTCATAGTTCTACTATGGTTTTTTGGTAGATGTGGTACTGTAACGATACAAATTCTATGAGACTCTTCAAGCATGCTGAAACTTCGGGTTCACGGTTTCAGGTTTAGGGAGTGGTGTGCTGGGCTGTACGTGGACCACAAATCCTCCTGATGGCCAGCGGAAGTTTGCAAGACCCTGCACCTAAATAATTCGCCGAAGCGGTCAGAGGTTCCTATTCGGATTCCCTCTATTCCCACCTCTTCATCCCCTCCCCAGTGACCCCACCCCTGAAACCAGGGCCCGCTGCCCCCCCCCCCCCCCCCCTAAAAATGGAAACGTCTCGCCCCCCCCCCTCCGCCCCACCCCCCCCTCCCCCGCCTCCCCCTCCCCCCCCCCCCCTCCCCCCTTCCCTCCCGCCCCTCCTCCGCTCGCTGACAGGTGCGAGCTTTCTGGAGTTTTCGACGACACGGGACTGCAATGTAGCATCTTTATGTGTTGGGGCTCGCTTTAAAGGCTGCCGTACCAAGCGAGTTTCAAACCTGAGTTTCAAACCTGAATTTCTAATCCTACACCCTAACCCCAGCCTGAAAAACTTTCAAAGCCCGGACAACACCTGCACCCGAAAGCACGACGCCCGAGTCTTGGTATCCAGTGTTTCGGAATGACGACACCAAAATTCGTACTGATACTACCACTACTAATACTACTCACAATCATCCTGCTTCGTGTTGCTATGAACATTACTTTTACTATAAGTGCGATTCCAACTGTTACTTTTTTCCTACAAGAGCTTGCTGCAGATAGTAGCCACTCGCCGCATGCGCGTACAGCCGGGCCGAGGCGGACGACGCGCAGCGTTTCAAATTACCAATACTATTTTGGGGGTTCCTTACTATATTTCTACTACAATGGGCCCTGAAACCCTATTCTCTATTCTAATTATTCAGGCCCCTATATTAACAGCCAAGGTGCAATGTCACGGTAGGCTTGAAACTCCGGCCAGATGTGAGGCATCATCACATTGGTACCTGGAAGGCTGCCAGAAATCTGGAGCCCGAACCTTCAAAGCTAAGCTCTCTTGATCCTGAACCCTCAGCCCTCAACCCCACAGGGTGATCATATACTTGTTCAACTCGGAAACCTACCTAAACTCCTAAACCTCCCCTCCCAAGCAACGCAGAAAGCCAAGGCGCCAGCAACGAGATTCGAGGGATTCCCGTCCATCAGCAGCTTCGTCGCTGCCATGCGCTCCGCTAGGGCGATGGTGCCACGCTCGCCTGGGGGCTTCGGGGTTTAGGATGGCTGCCTGCGCGAACTATGACAGCAACCGCCAACTCCCTGACTTCGAGGTATCAGTCGAGCTTTTGGAGATTGAGGCTGGCCGGAGCTCCCTTTCACCCCACACCGGTTGGAAAGGTGTATGATACTACCACCCCGCACCGGTTTGGGGGTGTATGATACTACCACGACGCTACGGCGCGGCGGGCCTGTAACCCACATGCCCCACTTGTGGGCGGCGTAGTCGAAGATCACAGTCTTTCGTCGATCCAGATTCACCTGCGCCGTCTAGGTTTCAAGTTCGGGCTTCGCCGGAGGTTTTCAACCCTGAACCCGAAGAGGTCTATGTACAGAACAGACTGGATATGTATGTATGCATGCACGTAAGTAGATATACGTGCATGCTTAAAAACTAAACAGAACTGTACACTCAAGACCGTTTCGGGTTTGGGGCTGGTACCCCACCCTTACCATCCCTTACCTATCGATTGCGAATCCGCACAGAAACCCCGGCCTTAGCAACGAGACATGCTGTATCTCCGTCAATCCCGCGACGGCTGAAGACCCCTCCGGACAGCCCAGCCGTCATGTCGAGGGCTTCAGTGTTTAGTAACCCCTACACTAACACTCATAGCAACCCTGAAAGCCCCGTCGCCAGAAACCTTAAACCCTTTTTCATCAGGAAGGTTGAAGGCCTTGTAGTGTTGAACCACCTCATGAAAGTAAGCCATGGTCGCGGCGCGCGTGATGGTGAGCTCCTCTGGAGTTTCAGGTTTTCTAAGAGGGCATTTCCCGGGTCCAAAGAATGAGTTCGAGGATGTGGGAGCGTGTTTGGTGTTTAGGGCAAAGCGGGTAAGCCTTCGCCTTACAAGTAGGGGCTTAAAGTTTCTCCTGGAACCGCTGACTCTTCAAGAAATGTCACAGGCCTAGAGCCTAAGCCGTAGTCAAGATCCCACCGGGGCTGAGCTGCTGCTGGCAGCTCTTGCGGATAGGCAAGTTGAGGGCTCACTATGGTGGTAGGAGTGGTTATTGGGGTTATAACTTTAAATAAAGTAGCTACAGTTGTACTAACTACTTATAGCTGGTCACCCGTGTTCTTCTTCGGCATGTCACGAGACTGCGATCAACCACAACCAGCCCAACCACCGCTATCAGCTGGTCTTCTTGCCGAGACAACGTCAAGAGCTTGGAGCAGGGACGGCGTTCGTGTTCTTCGAAATCAATCTGAACCCCAAACCCAGACAGAAGGCAAGAGCTGCAGTTTGGGGGTGCAAGGGATGCTGCACCTCAAGCAAAGGCGAATCCCCGTCCTGGAAGCATGCCTCCATGGTTTCAGACTGCACCAAGAAGGCCGTCGCATCCACCGCAAAGCGCCCTTGCTTTTCCACTTCGGCTTTGTAAGGCGACAAAGAGTGAGGGCTTCCAGGTTTCCAGGTTGAGAACTGAAGTGACGGTTGAACTTACCTTTGGTCAGTAACTAATGGAAGAATGGTAGCAATAGTAGGTATAATTGTACCCCATTCCTCCATTCCCTACAAAACCAAAGGTAAGTGAAAAGTCAAAACATGGGCGGAATCACAGAGTTCAAGCACAGGGCTTGAGCTTGAGGGAATGTCCCGGACATCTTTCGACAAATTCGTTTGCCGCAGAAGCCACCAAAAAGCTTCGACCATACCCCAAATTGCACAGAACATGAAACCTAAACCCTAAACCCTAAACCGTTCCTGAACGCTAAACCTCAAACTCTACATCCGACACCCCAAACCCCAAAACCCAAATCCTTCACCCAAAACCCAACACCCCAAATCCCAAAACCCACATCCCTGCCTAAACCCTAAACCCTCAAGCCTACACCCCAAACCCAAAAACCCACATCCTCCACGCCTACATTCGACACCCTGGAGGAGGGATGGGAACCCCTTACTAAGCTCCGACTATGGCATATGGCCCGGAATGCCAGGACTCGAAGATTTATAGGGATCCCCTTGTATTTACAAGCCCTGAACCCTGAACCCTACACTCGACGCCCTGCAGGAGAACTAACTGCCGCAAAAGCGCCCTCGTGCAGAACCTTCGTCAGCTCCGAGGGCTTGTTTTCCGGCTTGAAGAGCCTGGCAAACAAGATCATAGAGTGGAGTTTAGTAGAATATAGTATACTAAGAGCAATAGTAATTGTAATAGTACTAGTACTAGTACTTGTAACAGTACTAGTAACAGTAACCGTAACCGTAATCGCAACCGTAGTAGTAGTAGTAGTAGTAGTAGTAGTAGTAGTAGTAGTAGTAGTAGTAGTAGTAGTAGTAGTAGTAGTAGTAGTAGTAGTAGTAGTAGTAGTAGTAGTAGTAGTAGTAGTAGTAGTAGTAGTAGTAGTAGTAGTAGTAGTAGTAGTAGTAGTAGTAGTAGTAGTAGTAGTAGTAGTAGTAGTAGTAGTAGTAGTAGTAGTAGTAGTAGTAGTAGTAGTAGTAGTAGTAGTAGTAGTATAGTATTGTATAGTGCAGTATAGTGCAGTATAGTGCAGTATAGTATAGTATACTATAGGTTGTTGTATATACATATATATATATATATATATTTAGATAGTATGGCTTACGGTTCAGAGTTTAAGATTTAGGGCCTGGCGACTCCAGGACAGCTTTCGAGGCTTCGGGTTTCGGAGGGCTTTAGTGGATGAAAAACGAAAGGCTTTTCGAAATCGGGGTTTCGGGTTTTCAAGAGATACAGGGATTTCAGGGCTCATATGCGAGTCTCCAAAAACAGGGGACCCTAATAAAGTGCCCTAAATAGTTGGATCCTTCTTACAAGGACCCCCCAAAATGAGGTACCCCCAATTATCGGTAACTCCCATATGGAGGCCGTTGAAAGGCGGTTTACTTATCGGGGATCTAAAGCCCTCAGGCCTTCCCGAGCCCTTCCCCCCGACCCGCCCTTTGACTCCGCAGTGTGTCAAGAAGACGTCCCAAACGCTTTACCCGAAGCCGCTAGGTTTCACTTGCTAGGTTTCACTCAAGCCCTCAAAGCCTCATAAGCCGCCTTGAGATGCAACAAAACCCCCTTAAACAAAAACCTGTAGCAGCCCCAAATGCCCCTGTCATCCAAATGGGAGTTTCCGAAAATATGGGACCCCAAACAGTAGGATCCTTATTATAAGGACCCCAAAATAAGGTACCCCCAATTATCGGAAACCCCCAAAGGCTGCCTGTCATCCATAGGCATAGTGCAGTATAGTGCAGTATAGTGCAGTATAGTAGAGTAGAGTATAGTATAGTATAGTCGTCCAAACGCTGCCTGTCATCCATGGGCCAGATCCGGATGATCCGGTCCGCCATGGCTGCCGCTGCCGAGAGCACGGTGATCTTCACGGCGTCGAAGGTGCGGGCCGTGTGGCTCTTGCACCGCATCTCCTTAGGTTATAAGTAGAGCTTACCCAGAGAGCCCAATACCCCTTAATTAAGGAATATACCTTAAATTATAAGGGGATTCATATTATGATTTAAGGTATATTCCTTAATTAAGGGGTGTTGGGTTCTCTGGGTATGGGTGGGTACAGAAGCTCAAGGTGTTGGGCTTGAGGCTCAAGAGTTCTGTCATTTTTTGGAAAAGTTTGGGATTTCCGACAACGACGCATCCGAAGAATCCATGCAGGCAGGCTTCCAGCGACGCGCACACGAAGAGCCTCGGTTGGTGCGTTCGGCTCGAAGACAGCAAGAGCTCCCACTCAGAAAGGATGGAACAGCACTTGACACCTACAGTGCAATAGCCTCAACTGGCTGACAAACCCTAAACCCTAAACACCTAAAGCCCGAAAACCCTAAAACCCTCAAACCACTAAACCACTAAAACCCTAAAGCCCTAAAGCCGTAAACCCCTAAAACCCTAAACCCTAAAACCCTAAAGAGCATTCAGCCTGGCTTTTCTTAAGGAAGCCCTGAAAACACCGAGCGGCTCCACCAGTCGACAGAGCACCTGCAGCATGTCCAGCCTGGGCTCTGTTTCAAATGGGAAAAGGAGGGACCCTTTAATGGGGACCCCTGGGTCCCTATAAGGGGCTATGTAATGGGTATATAATAACTATATTAAGGGTATATACCTAGGGGAGACTCCAATATCCCTTAATTAAGGAATAGGGATACCCAGGGTTCCTTTAAGGGATCGATAAGGGATCCTTTAAGGGCTCCTTTAAGGGGTCTATAAGGTTCAGGGTTTAGGGGACTCCAATATCCCTTAATTCAGGAATATTCCTGAAATCATATTAGGGACCCTACTATAAATTAAAGTATATTCCTTGATTAAGGGATAGGGGAGTCTCTGGGTTTAAGTTACAATCATAAGGGTATATGGGGGTCCCTTTCAGGGATCTATAAGGGTTCCTTTAAGGGTATAGGGATTTAGTTAAAGTTACAATAATAAGGAAACCCTATTATTTACTATAGATCCCTGTTATGGTAACTTAAACTGTGTTCCCGTGAAAGGAAACCATATCAGCCATGTTATGTAGATCCCGATTATGGTAACTTGAGTTAAAACCCCTTAAGAAGGACCCAGCAGCTGCATCGGGCGCGTCACCGTCGGATGCGAGGAGTCCCAGCCGCCCCAAATGTCGCACTCCTCCAACTTCCTCAGCTTGGCATCGGGTGTCGCTGCCATAGGGGCCTAAATGATTACCTAGACTATTTTGGGGGTTCCTCATGACAATTCATCAATAATGAGCCCAAACCCTATTCTAATGATTAAGGCCCCTATATTACCAATGGTGGTAGGGGGTAGGGGAAGGGGGCGTGGTTAGGGGTGGGCTAGTGGCATAGTAGGGTGCAACCGCAGTGAAAGAACGGGAATCACCACAACCACAGTAAGATATCACATCCTAGGTGACCTGGCCAAAACTTCCGTAAGCCTGATATACTTCGCCTGACACCCTGCACGCAGTCCTTACCTGGCCAGGTATCGAAGAGAAGGGACCCCTCGGCAGGGGCAGCAGCTTCGTGAAGAGGTGCTGCTGGAGGCACACCAAGAGGTAGGGGGCATACTCGCAGCGCTCCCGGCCTCACAGCGTAAGATTCGGAATAACCAGTCACCGAGAGAGCCCAATACCCCTTAATTAAGGAGTAGACCTTAAACTATAAGGGGATTCATAATATGATTTAAGCTATATTCCCTAATTAGGGGTACAGGGCTCTCTGGTCATGGTCTGGTGTGTGGGGTTTTAATGTCAAGGATTTCGTTGTCCAAGGTTTAAGGCTGCTGGGTTAAGGTCATTACTCAGATTTCGTGGTTGTGATCGTTGAAGTATCCTTACACTACAGCTTGAAATGTCGTAATCCCGCGAATTTTACTTCTACTTGTTGCGTGTGACTTGTATCACAACTATCCTTAGCAGCCTTATCCACACTGCTTACTCTGAATAATCCCATCAGTCCTGCTACCACCTGCGTTATACGGCTATTTGCAGAACCGTATGCACCACTACGACACTGCTTCTTGAAATTTCCGCGGTCACAAACCACGTAGACTACAGCTCCTATTCCTCCGCCTACCGCCGCTGCGACTACCAGTAGTCATAACAATACACTAGCACCACCACTACTACCGCTGGTTCTCCTTCTCCGCTCAACTAGAAAGCCTGCATTACCTCTGCGAGTTGCTGATGAAAGAGAGCTTGAGGCAAATCTCCTCTGCTATGCGCAGCGTCCGGAAGAACTCAGTCATGGAGTTTACCTGGCTCAGGGTGATTCTGATGGGGCATTAGGTTCTAGAGTGTGGGGCTGCACTGCTTCAACCCCCAGCCCCGTAAGCCGGCTCAAAGGGTTTTACGTGGCTCTCTCTGCGGAAGTTCATCGTGCTCACGGTTTCGATGGTGTGTCGTTGTCCAGCCTTAAAGGGGTGTAGGGGCTCCGGGACGGAGCAGAATCCGCAAAACCCCGCGTTTCCGAAACCCTAGGCGTGGTAGGGTTTGGGTTTGGGGTGCTTGGTGCAAACCTTGGATGGAGGCTCGCATTTTCTCCGAACCCGAAAGTTGACAACCAAAACCCAAAATCGTAGTGGACGCGGCTACCGTGGCTGCATGATAGATAGGGTCATGGTGCTTGCTAACACTACAACGGGGTATGAGGGCTGGGGTTTACTATAAGTACGACTGGACCACAATCGAACTACTACATGCCCAAACATCCAGAGGGGCTTGCAAGCACCATTAATCCGAACTGGAGAACTCCAATGCAGACCCTAGTTGGCAGACAAAGCTTGTCCTCACCGAGCTCCCTGTATAGAGACTATAAGGCCAAACTATTTCTGATTCTTGCGACCCCTACATTACCCTAAACCCTAAGCCCTCACCAAGCCCCGCCTTCTCCGGCAAAGCCAAGAGGTCGATGGGAAGCTGGTCAGCCACCCCCTTCGGCTTGCCAGGAAAGACCTTGTCTCTCAGGAGGGGTTGTCTGTCCAACGTTGTAGTATATAGGTCTAATCTAGGGGCTTAAAACTTTGTAGGGCTTTTAGGGTGTACCGTTTTCGGATTTTGAAGTTTAGGGTCTACGGGGGAGCAGAGATAATTAGACTAACTAGTGATAAAAAAAAGCCCTGAGAATGAACCTCTGATCCCAAAGCCGAAACCCTTAAACTCCAGATGCTTGACACCCCAACCTCAAACCCTGAACCTGAAATCCCAAACCCGAAATTCCAAACTTGAAACCCCGGAACCCTAAACGGCCATGGCCTCTTGCCGGAGCAGACGGTCGAAGAAGGGGAAGATCGCACTTTGGCTGACTTTCTCCTTCCGGGACAGAGGCTGCAGGGTTACGGATTTTTCAGGTTTGGCTCAATGTTGAGGGGTCCTGTCATGGAATGGCTTTCCCTGAAACGAAATATGAAGAGACCGTGATCGAGAGCGGAGCCCAGCTCAAGCCCCAAGAGCTGGTCCTCCCCGGTGTCCAGGTCCAGGTAGGAAGAAAACTCCCCGCTGCCATCCTGACCCTCATAGGTCCGCGGCTTCTGGGAGCAAAGGACCTGGGCGTGGGGGCTGGGCCTCAAAGGTGAGCCACAAACTTAAATTTCTGGTCCTCTGTTACACACCCACACATTGCAAACCCTTGAAGAAACCCTTGCGGCACCCTTAAAAGAAGCCCTCAATCTCTTGCACAAGCCCGACTTCTGCTGTGCCACTGCGTGCAGTAGGGCAGCCTTGGTTTCAACGAGCCGGATGACCCTCCACCGACCCCCCCCAGATGCATTTTAGAACTACTCTCGCTAGCACCGCGAGATCCAGGATCCCTCTTGGGTACGGCCCCCACTCAGTAATAGTTGAATAATATTCATAATATAAATATATTAGGATCTTAATAGTAGCCCTATTATAGACTCTTACTGTATGGGGGCAGTACCTAAGATCCCTCATACGACCTTGCCGGAACCCTGAAAACCTCTGACAACAACCCTTAAAGGACCCCTGAAACGAACCCTGAAATAAAACCCTTCAGGGAGCCCTGGTAATACCCTGAACCTCATTTTGCAAACCGCCCACGTCGATCGCATCGACCAGCTTCTTGCAGGCGAAGAGGGAGTGGTTGGCCGCAGGCAGGCTCAGGGAGTCCTTGCCCCGAACATACTATGACATAGAACAGAACAGAATAGAATAGAATATAATAGAACGCAACATGATATAGTACAACAGAACAGAATAGAATGTAGTGTTGTGGTTTGTTTTTGGTATGGGTTGAGGCTTTAGGGTTTCGGCGACCGCATCTGATGATAGATCCGGTCCCTTCCTAAACCGAGCATGGCAAAGACGGCGCTTGACTAGTGAACCTGCTTCTCCAAAGACGAAGTCTCAAAGCCCAAACGAATTCTTAACATCGCTCAGAGGTTTTCTGTAGTGGGCGGAAAAGCTCGAAATAGTGTTCCCTTCTTGTCCATGTTTAACTACACTATCACACCCACTACAAACCCCATCCTAGACCTATTACTCAAGCCCCAAAAACCCTAAACCCTAAACCCATTACTCAAGCCCCGATGTTACTTTGGAGCAAACCCTTGGCCGAAGTCCTCGTCCGACCGGCAGTCAGTGGCGCAGGTGTGGTTCCTGGCCGCTTTCGCACTCGCAAGATGTTTAGGGTTCAGGGTATAGAAACGGTAGTAACAAGAACAAGAATGATGTTTATAAAATTGCCAATGCCATAGCAACCACGAAAATGAAAACAATATGGCATAGCAAACAAAATAATTGTAACACATATGAAGATGATGCGTGTGAGGCTTGGAATTGAAGTTTGTAACAACAACAACTACTACTACACGAATGACTAGAACACTGAGAAGGTAATCGTAGCAACAACCAGAGCAATACAAACGGTGAGCACAACCTTTAACATTCGCAGCAAACGCCAAAGTGTTTATGTTCACATGACATAACTATGTTCAAGCACACTAGGAGCAAGAGTACCAGTCATAGTCATCATGACCATTGTAAGCAAGGCAGCAGCAACATCAGCCAGGCCCACACCAGTAACAGCATTAATATCTGTGGCAACCGTCTTACTTGAGGGGCCATTAGTGATCAGAATGGGCTTTGTGATCTACTATAGAATGTGTATGTATATATATATATATGATACGAAACCTCCTAGGTCTCCTAGACTGTTACAATGAGGACCGCTAAACCCTGAACCCGGTAAACCCTTGCAACAGGGAACTGTTAATCATAAGGACCATTAGGGGGGTAGGGGTGAGAGCGGCAGGGGGTATAGTAAAGGACGTAATAAGGCCTCTTTCAGGAAGTGTAGTACCCTCCCCCCTTCAGGTCCCTATGAGCTAAGGAGGGGAAACCAGACTTGGAGGTCCTCACTGCCGCGAAGGACATGGTGCCGCAGCCCAGCTTCAGCAGCCGGATGTCTGTGGAATCGAGGCCTCGGCTGGGAAAGGATTTAGATTTGCGTGTGGGTTTCGAAAAAGTTTCGTCAGGATTCCGCCAGGGTTTTGTGTGTTGGTTTTGCATTGGTTTTGAAAGAGTTTCTAGGGTGTGGTGTAGGGTTTTTTTGGTTTTGTGAAAATTCTTAAAGGGCTTTATACAGGTTTGTAGTTTCGTAAGGGCCGTATAAACGAAGTTTCCAATGCGCTATCGGACCTTTGCACGGTTTTCTACGGGCCGGGTGTCAAGGGTTTTCTAGTTTCGGGTGGAGGTACGGTCCAGGTTTAACGGTTAACCTCTTGACCTCGGTTCACGGGAAAAACTTGAGAATCAAACAAAAAGTTGCTACTAACAGCTCAAGAGAAGCTACCAATCAAGTTGCGACTGTGAGAGGACTTGTCTCTAAGGCCAAAGAAAGGAGATGCAGAAAAGTAGAAACCAAAACACATGCTCCAAAATTTGGGACGCCCACTCAGAAACCCATGTTTAAAAAAGCCGAAAGCCCAAAAGCCCGCCTTTTGATGCTTTGAGGTCGTGCACGCACATGTCCACCATTGTGGCCCGGAGCTCCCACTTGACAGCCTTCACCTTCACAACAGGGGGCATTTGACGTTTCCTCTCAGGGTTCCGTGAAGGGCTCTATAAGTGTTCTGTGGCGTTTGAGGGTTCGCGATCTTCGGTCTCTCAGCTTTTGGTACTCGTGCTGCTGGCTGCAAGATGACTGCGGCGGTGGCCAGAATCGGGACCTGAAATCGCACCGGCGCCAGCGACGAGACAGAAACTTGCGAACGGAAGACGGGAGCTCTGCAAACTTCTACACGCCAAAACCCCTAAGCCTTTCAAACGACCTTGGAAACTGCAACCAAAGCCGGCTCTGTAACGCTTCAGAGCCTTATAATGAAAAAGCCCACGACAATGCTGCATAAAGCTCTCTCGTTGAAAAAAACAACCTTACTCAGACTCAAACTCTAACTTCAAGTTCCAAGCCCCCGTATAACTGAACCTGGAAAGCAAAACCCCAAAACCCCGAAGGCACCAAAACCCAATCCCTAAACTCTAAACAAATGCCTAACCGAATATCTCTCTTGCCCTTCAACCCTTGAACCTTTAACCCTAAACCCTAAACCTTGAACCTTTGACCTGAACCCCAAACCCTCCGTCGCCCTTGAACCCTTCACTGTCTCCCCTCAACCTGCAGACTCTAACCCCTAAACCCTCGGAATCATGAACTACCAATTTGTTCCCCAAGGGCTAGTGTAAAAAACTCACTGAATACCAAAATACGCCTATCCCCGTGATACATCCTAGAACCCTTACGAGAGCCCTTATATAGGGCCCTTGCGAAGCCACCCTACTCTCACATTACCAAGGGCCCCCACCCTAAACCCTAAACCCTAAGCCCTAAAATCCCCCCCTTTTTGCAGCCCTTGTCCGGCCTGCTGCTTCGTGAGCCCGGCCTTGGACCTGAGGAGATGCTTCCACAGCAGCCTGGGCCCAAGGAACTCAAAGGCGAAAAGGCCTCCTTTAGGGGCGGGGCTCCTTAAAGGGTTCCGTTAAAGGCCCTGTTTCAAGAGGTTTTCTCGGGATCCTTACTTCCCCAACAAGCCACAGACACACAAACGAAAGGTTAAACTTTCCGGCTCCTACTAGACAATAAGAACCCAAAAAGTTTAAAGGTTGGGTATTGGGGACCTCGGTTCCGGGGGGTTCCTTGAAGGGTTCCTTTAAAGGCCCCCCTGTTTCAAGAGCTCTTTTCTGGATCCTTTCGAGCTCGGCTTTTCCGGGCTTCTCAGGCGCAAGGGTTCGGTGAAAGGGCTCCTGTCAATCAAAGGGGGAAAGGAGGGACCCTTGATGGCGACCCCTACCCTATAATGGGCTATATATAGGGTGGATAATACCTATATTAAGGGTATATACCTAGGGGTCCCCATTAAGGGTCCCTCCGTTTCCCCTTTGAGTCAAGGGTTCCTTTCAAGGGGGGCTTTAGTAATTTTCGGTGGGTTCAGGTTCCGTCAAAGGGTTCCCTTGAAGGGTTCTGCAAGGAATCTTATACGTGTACGGGGCCGAAGGCTGGATTTACGAGAATGCCTTGGAACCTCGTTAAGAATCATGTAAAAGCGCCCGGAACAGTGCCAAAACCCTCAAAAACCCTCAAAAACCCTCAAACCCGAAACCCTCAAACCCTAAACCCTAGGCCCTGAATAAACCCTACGAAGGGCTCCCCTCCCCGAAGCCCAGGCGCGTGAGGCCGCGCCAGGGGCCGAAGGCCCTGGGCCGCGAGTGGAAGTCGGAGTCCGGGATGCTGAGGCCCTCGAGCATCTTCGCTCCCTCCTCTTGTTTTTGTTTAAGGTTTAGGGTTTAGGGTTTACCTTTAAAGGAGCATCTTTTTTTTTGTAGGGGTTTATCGTTTTAGGGATTCTTGAGCATCTTCGCTCCCTCCTCTTTGTGTTTTTTAGGGCTTTAAGGGTTTAGGGATTACCTTGAAAGGAGGGGTTTAGGGTTTAGGGATTCATGACCATCTTCGCTCCCTCCTTTTGAGCGTTTTTTTTGTAAGGAGTCTCAAGGAGGTTTAGGGGAGCTTTGAAGGAGGTTTATAGGGTTTGTGCGTCGAACGGAGGGTCAATTTCGCAAATTCGGTGATTGGGGGTTTGGGTTTACGAGTTTGGGCTTAGGAGTCAAGCGGTTCAGCAGCTAGGACATTACGGCTTAAGGTTTCGGCGGTGTTCGCGCGGTTTCTGGTTGGTGCTGGTGGGGCTTGGGAGTTTCAGAAAATAGGAAAGCACAATGTCAAACTATAAATCACAGGATCCTGGCTATCTCCGAACCCCCCCCCCAGTCCTTCGGATACAGGGCATCCACGACGGCTGGCGCCTTAATCAGATAAGGCAGGAAGACGTCGTAGAGAAGATCTTCGGGCTCCCGCTCGCTGGAGATCAGACACGCAGTGACCTTGGCTTTGCATTCAGAAAGCAACGGTTTTGCTGATATGAAGCATAGGACATAGGAACCAAGGTGCTTTATACGAAGAACTCACAGCTTGCAGTATGTGAAGAATAAGAGCCAAAGTAAAATGAACCCATCTACACAGTAGCAAAGCATTACGGCAACTCATAAGACTAAGAATATCATGGTTGACTTCTCACTATGGCAGCTCAGAAAACCACCCGACCTGTAGACATACTACCGAGCCCTACAGCATAGTTCGACGTAGCAAGGAGAGCGACAATTGCGTCAACTTCCAGAAGTCAAAAGCAACAAGCAGTGCAGAGTGTGCTGACGATGTCATCTTCAAGTGACGACAAAAAACACCTACAGATGGAAGTTTCAACCAACTTCGGAGCGCGAGCCTACCATAAGCTGTACGATCCCGATTACTCGCGTGGGCCTATAACCTTAAGAAATCCTCATACAAAAACATCCAAGAGACAGTTTCTGTGACGCACATATGAAACTCATAAACCCCACCCTACCTCCCCCCAATGTTCAGTCCCGACATATTATGAAACTCAGAACCCCCCCCCCTCCCTCCCCTCATACTTTCAATCCACCCTAAACCCTAATCCCTAAACACTAAACCTTCAACCCTAAACCCTAAACCCTTAATCCCTCCAGACCGCGGCGTCCGCGCCAGGTGGCCATGGTGGTCCAGAAGGCCTCGTCCTCGGCGCGCTCGGCGGGGATGCCGTCGAAGGTCATACCTCGGCTCTCAGGGCTTCTGGGGCTCTTCGGGGGGGCTTTTGGGGGCTCTTTGGGGTTTGGGCTTTAGGGGTTTAGGGTTTAGGGTGTGTCGATGCTCCGCGCACACCATTGTGGTGTGCGCCTAGGTTCAACGCTCTCGCCCTACCCGCCCACCCAGTCTATGACCTTTGTCGGGTTTAGGGTTTTTTTCAGGGTTTGTGGCTTGGTAGCAGGGGAGGGCAGGGCAGGGCAGGGAAAGGGGCAGGGCAGGGCAGGGCAGCAGGGCAGGGCAGGCAGGGGAGCGCAGGGCAGGGGGGCAGTGCAGGGCAGCGCAGAGCAGGGCAGGGCAGGCAGGCGAGTGCAGGGCAGGGCAGGGCAGAGCAGTGCAGGGCAGGGCAGGGCAGGGCAGGGCAGGGCAGGGCAGGGCAGGGGCAGCCAAGGCAGGGCACGGCAAGGCAGGGCAGAGGGGGCAGAGCAGGGCAGGCCAGGGCAGGGCAGAGCAGAGGGCAGGGCAGGGCAAGGCAGGGCGGGCAGGCCACAGCAGCAACCAGGGACACGTGCGCCCAAGGTTGGAGGTTTGGGGTCATGTAAATCTGATTGGCAAGCATGCCTGTCGCATGCGCCAGCACCTGAGCCGGTGCTGGGGCTCCTTCGCTGCGCCTGTCGCGCCAGCCTCACTGACGCTTCGGCACGCTCGCTGCTGCTATTCGCAGCGCCCGCAGCTCGCTTCAGTTTAGGGTTTAGGGTTTAGGGTTTAGGGTTTAGGGCTCTTAGGCTCTTGGGGTTTTGGGCTCGGAGGGAAAGAGGGGCTTAGGGGGTCTCAGGTTGAGATCTTCAGAGACTTGAGGCTCTGCACGCCCATACTCACAAGCCCGAAACCTTGAAGGCCCCCAAACCCACGCTCAGATAAGCCCTAATCTGGGGGCCTTAGAAATTTTAATAGGATTTTGGGAGCCATTTACGTACTATACTTATAATATGGAACCCCCAAAATAGTATATGTATTTATTTCGGCCCCTATATTAATCTGACCGTGAACTCCTCCAAGGCCCTCCAAACGGTAGTTTCCGAAGATTCGGGATACCTCATTTTGGGGTCCTCATAATTATCCTACTATTTCCCTCCCAACGGACGGCAGGAGGCAAGTCTGATGCTTGAGCTTCGGCGGGCTCCTTGCCGACTGCCTCAGGGCTTCAATGTCTTTGCGGCTGCTTGGAGGTCAAGTCGTTAGAGATTCAGCGGCTTTGGGTGAAAGAAGCTTAAAGCTTGACGGCTTCAGGGGTTTGGGGTTTCAGGAGCGTTGGCGCTGGGCAGTTTACAGTGTCGCAAAACCCACATCCCGAACCACCAGAACGTTAAAACCCCATACCCGAACCCTAAACCCTACACCATAAATCCCAAACCCTATACCATAAACCCACAACCCAAACTCTAAAGCCGGCCTGTGGTAGAGGACCCCTGGCCCGCCGTTGCAGATGGTGAGGCGGTAGTTGGGGCCATCCTCGTGGGCGTGCTATACGGTTTAAGGCTTTAGGGGCTTAGGGGGTTCAGGGTTTATGGGGTTTATAGGGTTTATAGGATTTAAGGCTTCAGAGGTTTAGGTCGTTTTTTGAGGGCTCTCTTCGGGCACGGCTTATGGAAGCCTGCTTAAGCGAGCCGAAATCGACTCCCTCGCACACCTTTGAAAGGAAAAACATAACAAAAGCCGAACCCAACCATCACAGCTTGGCTATGGAAGTGTATGCCTCACATCGGAGGAACCATGCGAAAAGTTCTTTTTTGGGGTTTAGGGTTCAGGGCGTAGGGGTTTATGGCTTTAGGTGTTTAGGGGTTTGGGTATTTCAGGCTCAGGGACCTCTCATGCTTGTGTGCTTTGGGCGCTTGAGAGTTTTCGGGATTTAGGGGCTTTGGGCAAGATGTCGGGTTCCAAAACTTGTGTTAGTTGTTTGTAGCCCCTTCCTTGTTTAGAGGCGCGCTGAACCCGTTGGGTTGAAAGGCTGCTTGAAAATGGTCGGGATTCCGCCTACGTACTCATCTTAACAAACTCTTACAGGTACCCCCAAACTCACAACTTTTGTGACATGATTATGACTAAATGGTTACTAGTGAAAGCAGTATAGTAAGAGGAAATGCTGATATTTACTGTGTATACATCTATATATATATATATATATATACATGCATACATACACTCCTACATATCCTCACCATTCAAACTTGCAGGTCTTCGAAGTAAGTGGAGGCGGTCCTTGCCCTCTGTCTTCTCGAGCATGAGGGGCACCACAGTGCTTCCCACCGCGAGAGGAATGATGCACGCCTCGGTCAGCGAAACGTTCTGTGACAATGATAGGTCCTACCAGAATATGCACGTGATGGGAACCTAAACCCTCAACCCTAAACCCTGAACCCTAACCACTTATATCATGCATCATACTGGTGCTACAACACGAATGGTCACGACGGAGGAGGACTGATGAAGACTAGGCCGAGGTGCATCCCCGACGTTGCTCATGCGGGCTCGTAGCTGCTTCACGGCCTTCAAGAAGAAGACAATCACCTGCGACTGAGAATTTTTTGAAAGCTCCTTTCGTGACTGCAGATCAGCTCCGAAAGCCCGATTGGGCGAGCAGCTTACCAGCTTCGGCCAACAACGACTGAGAGTTTAGGGTTTAGGGTTTAGCGACTTTAATGGAGGAAGATGCCTCAGATCATATTAGGGATCCAGTTACAATTTCATTTCAAGTATGTATATTCCATAATTCAGGGGGAGTTTAAGCTTCAGGCTTCGGCCGAGGGTGTTGAGACTTAAACTTCAGGGCTCCGTGTCTGACATGGGGCTCAGGATCCGGAGCACCACAGCGACGACGGGAAGAAGCGCTTCTTTTAAGTAGAAGAAGTAGGAACCGAACAAAGAGACTCCATTATCCCTTAACTAAGGAATATACCTTAAATTATAATAGGATCCTTAATATGATTTAAGGTATATTCCTTAGTTAAGGGATATTGGAGTCTCTGGGTAGGAACCGAACAAAGATCAAAAAAAAGGCACGATCTCCTTGTTGTATCTTTGTCGACTATGAAAAGCTTGAAATCCGCCCTTTAAGCCCAGACCCTGAAACCGAGACCCGAAACCCTCGCTAAGCCCTAAACCCGAACCCAAGCAAAGTCCTAAAGCACCAAACTGGAAAACGAGACTGGCCGCACTCCCGAAACCTAAACCCAAACCCAAAACTCCAGCAACAACCAGAAATCCCCAACCCCAATCCCTACTAAAATGTAAGGATCCATGTCCTCAAACATAGAAAACTCCAAGAAAACATGGACTGCCATGGACCTGCCTGGGGCTCGGGAGACTCCAGGGCGTTGCTGAGCCGCCGGAAGAGGGGCTCCGCGGCCTACCGAGGCGTTCGGAGCTGTGGGGTTTAGGCGCTTGGGGCTTGGGGTCTTAGGGTTTAGGGTTTAGGGCCAGAAAGGCTTCGGGTTTAGGCATTTGGGGCTTAGGGTTTAGGGCGAGAAAGGTCTAGGGTTTAGGCATTTGGGGTTTAGGGTTTCGGGTTTAGGGCTAGTAGGGTTTGGGGTTTAGGTGTTTGGGGCTTGGGGTTTAGGGTTTCAGGCTTTGTGGGGGCTTCGCGGTTCAGGGCTGTACGGTGTTGATTCTTTTGTTGCGTGGTGGAAAATGGAGTGAGCATGCAGCGCTTCTGTTGTTGCAGTTGGAGCAGAAAGCTCCCAGGAAATTCGGGCTTGTTCGTCTTAGGGGATTCGGGCTTGGCTTGTGGTAATGTAGGGGCCTTAATAATTAGAATAGGGTTTTGGGGCCCAGTCTACGATAATTATAACAAGGAACCCCCAAAATAGTATATGTAATTAATTTGGCCCCTATATTATGTTCGCCGTTTGGATCCCAAAATGCAAAAGATGTTTCCTGCGATCAGTGGTGATTGTAATGATACCCATAGCAACAAGGTTTGCAAGGAATGCAGCAACATTACAGCGATAAACAAAGCAGCGACAGTCATGAAACAACCTAACGGCGGTCAGAGGTGCTTAAAGAACTTTCAGACGTGTCATGCAGCTGTTCACACGAGGAAGAAGCCTCTTTGGCAGGGGCTCTTCATCTGCGTTTCGCATGCGGCTTGAATGATGGTGTTGGGTTCAGGCTTGGCGGCTGCTGGGCCGTGGCCATTCGGTTGGGCTTTATCTGCGGTCCCGGCAGTCTGGAAAGGCCCGATACATAACGCACCACACATAGAGCAAAGTACATAATATACAGAGTATAATACATAAATCCGAAGATATAGAGTACATGACATAATAAATAGAGTATACTACAGAATGTAGCATATATAGTAGCGGTCTATATATATATATATATATATATATATATATATCCCCCTTTTTCACGCGGGGAGTCTCAGCTGGTGGCAGAGCGCGGAGAGCGCTTCGCTGCAGCGCATGTGCATGCGGAGGTCCGGAGAAACCAGAGGATCTGCGCGGGTCTCTCCGATGTTGACCAGGGCCACGGGCTTCTTCGCCTCCGCCGCGAGCCGGATCAAAGAGAAGGCGCTGAAGACTTTGGCGGAGGTTCCCATCACCTGGGCTTTTGTGAAGGGATTTAATTCAAAGGACCATAAAAAGGAAACCATAGCTTCTTTACCATAGAACCCTAGTATGGTAGCTTAAGTTAAGTTCCCTAACAAGAACCCAGTCACCAGCAGAGCCTCCGCTCCTCTTAGCGCCTCCTGGGCCTCGAGCTTCACCGAGGACTCCAGGGATCCGCCGAAGAAGACCACCCGCGGCTTCCAGACCCCCCCGCAGGCTTTGCAGGGAGGCACCACGAAACCGTCGAAGCTGCGGACGTCCAGGTGAGCATCGCCGTCGGCGCGGATGTCCATGACCTCCTGTGGGGGGAGGAAGGCGTCCATCCACGCGGCGTTCACCTCCTCAAGCTCCAACTGGTAGCCGGCACGCGGACGCGAGCGAGAGCAGGTCAGGCACACGACCTTGCACGGCTGAGGCAAGCACGCCAAGGACACAACATCAATGAAAAAACCATTCCCGACACCAACATGAGAACTAGCTAACCCTACAAGTCCATGTGCCTGGTCATTGCGCCCATGGAGGTCGATCACATTCTGAGACCCAGCCCTTTGATGCAAACCGTCGACATTCTGAGTGATCACCGCCTGCACATACCTCAGGGGCTTACGATGGTGTCGAGAAACCCCAACATCCTGCAATCAAAATCTCCGATCCCTGTCTGCATTACATTCATAGACTGCGGGAATTAGGAGTGACTCGGGTGGTACTGCTGTGCCTTAGGGCTCAGCTGCACTTCTGCCGTACTTCTCAGAGAACCCCAAGGGCAAGCCCACAAGTCCAACACCCTAAAACCAAAACTGAAATCCCGGGAAGCCTAAGCCGGACTCCTCGTCCAAACTCCTCAGCCTGTCCAACACCCCAGAGCTTAAACTCCAAAAAAACAACACCCTGTTCACGCAATCTAAAAAACGAAAATGAAACACAGGGCGGCTCGAGGTGCCCGGCGTCTTCCAACACCCCCAACGCTCGGTGTGCAGAGTTCGGGGCAGCACCGTCGAAGTACCGCCAGCCCCTTAAAAAGGGTTGCGGGCTTCAGTTCTTGGGTGATGGCTTAATGGCCCTAAACCCTAAACCAAATGCTTGGGGAGCTTAGGATTTAGGTTTTCGTTCCTACGAGTTTGTGCTTGGGGATATGGCATTTGGTGGGTTCGGGAGTGCTTCTCCCCAGACTTTGGGACGCTTGGCGCTTGTGGTGTGGAGCTTAAGTCAGGGCTGCAGGATTGTTTGGTTTCGGATGTAGGACCTGGGTGGGTTCCGGATCCACGAGCCAGGGCGGCCTAAGGCTTTTGGGGCATCGGAGCGTTTCGAGAAGTCGGGCGTCCTGAGAGAGCGGGCCCAGTAGCGCCGGCGGTTCAGGCAGCTGGACACGAACTCCTGGGCGGAAGCAGATAAAGCCTAAGAACCCTAAGAACGCCAGGAACCCCAAGAGCCCTAAGAACCCTGACACTTCTCAGGAACAGTAGAAAGCCTACACCCTAAGCCTTAATCCCTAAACCCCTATGCCCTAAACCCCTAAACCACACAAAATAAGAAGTCCCAGAACTAACGCAGAGGTCCGGGCTCCTGGTGGGTCATGGGCTTGTGGCCCTTGGAGTAGGACCCCTGGGGGCTCCGGTAGTCCGGGATCCCGGACTCGGTGGAAAATCCGGCGCCCGTCAGGCAGACCAGCCTGCAGAGCTATAGGGCTAAGTAACCCCAAGCCCTAATCCCTAAACCCTAATCCCTAAAGCCTAAACTAAACCCGAGGCTCGGTTTCGACATCAGGGTTTGGAGTGCGGGGCTCAGGGTTCAAGCGTTTGCGTTTGAGGAGCTTGGTTTGGGGCTTTCGGCTTTTCCGGATTAGGGATTGTTTCCATCCCTCTTCAATTCCCCACATCCAAGGGAACCACGGATAACAGATAAACTATGCAACCCGTATAAAGCCCTAACCAAACTCCCAAAGCAAGCCTTGGACAACAAGAGCCCGCCCTTATGATAAAGACCCCACAAAGCCCTGGACAGGAGCGCAGGAGAACCCAACCTTAAACCCCGGATGCCTCAACCCTGAACTAAGAAACCCCTAAACCCTAAGAAACCCCTGAACCCGAAGAAACTCCTAAACCCTACGAAAATCCTAAACCCTACGAAACCCCTAAACCCGAAACATCCCTCAAGTTGAGTCGAAAGCAGGAAGCTGCCGAGTCGCGAGCCGCGCGACCTCTGCGCAAACTGGGCCAAGCGCTCGGCTGCTTGGGTGCCGACCTGGGGGTTTAGGGTTTAGGGTTTAGGGTTTAGGGTTTAGGGTCTTTGGGGGCTTTCGGGCCTTTAGCGCTTATCGTGGCTGTTCTAGAGAGTATCTCCAGGACGTACAACGTTCAAGCACGGCTGGAGTAGGAGGAGCGGTCCAAAGGGGAAACAATCCTTATAGCGTGAAGTAACAGTTTTGCCGAAATGCTAGGAGCTGCTAGGGCTATAAACTGGGGGATGTAGATGGATGTAGTAGAACCCAAGCGTTCCGATCCAAAGATGTGGATTCAGGGTGGAGCATGGTGTAGCCAACTTCAGCGCGCTGAAACCAAAGCAGCAAAGCCACTGGCATACCCGCGGGGGCAAAGCACGGCCGTGGCCGGGTCATTTCAGTCGCTGCCACTGCCCGTCGCGCCATGGCCGCCCGCATGATTTCGGGCTTCGGGTTAGGGTCAGAGACTTCGGGCAAGTTCGGGCGACCGGTTTGCCGGTTTGGGGGGGGGGGGTGTTGGGCTTTTGGGTGGGAGCTTCACAGCTCAGGGGTTGGGAGTTGGGAGTTTGGAGTTCAGGTATTCTTAGGATTCGGATCGGCTACAACATACCTTGCAGCTGGATTCAACGCTTCGTCGTGATGTAGTGGCTGCGAAGACCTCAAGTGACTCTAGCGCTGGCCATACTTGGCACGATTCCTCTGAAGTCTACTGACTCAAGTGACTCAATGTGTTCCCTAGGCAGTTTGCTGGAGAAAGCTCTGCTGTCTTCTTCTCTGTACGACTGCCTTGTCTTGTATTCTGCTCTGGCCCAACCGATTTTACTTTCATCTAGAAGAAGCCACGGTTTGGGGTTTCGGGTTTCAGCCTACTCCAGGCAACCGGGAATCTCCAAAACGGGAAACTACGAACCACTCCGAACGCTCTGCAGACCCTCGTGAACCCGAGCCCGGAAAAAACGGCATCCCACGATGCCAGGTAGCTCGTAGGATTTGAGGCTTAGGGCTCCCTAAACCCTAAACCTTAAACCCTATACCTTAAACCCTAAACCTTAAACTCTAAGCCCTAAGCCCTAAATCCGAAACAAAAGCAAAATGCTGGTCCAGGGCTCGCCTTGATCAAGCCGATGGTATTTGCAGCAGCCTGAAAAAAATTCCCGGCTCCGTGGGCTTTGCTAAGGGTAGCTCGACAATAAGTATCACAAGAATCACTATCATAGTTTAGGGTTTAGGGTTTGTCATAGTCATAACAATGCTGATGACCGAAATTCTCATGATAACAACAATACTTACCATCTTCCTGCTCGCAGCCCGCGAAAAAAAGCCAAGTTAGTGCGTCGGTCGCCCAAGTCTTGAACAAAACAAGCCTGCCTTGAGACAGACCTAGCAATGATCCATGTGCTCCATGCGCATCATCATCTCAGGCTTTGAGGCTCAGGTTCAGAATGTATGTGGCACACCACAGCAACATCTTGTCGACACCTGTGTGAATGTACTGCAGGCACCAAGACTAACCCTGAATCCAAACCCCCAAAAACCCAAAAACCCAAACCCACCCCCCAAACCCCTAAATCCGGAACCCTACACCCTAAACACCAAACCCCAAACTCCGAAACCCTGAACCCTAAACCCTAAACCTCGGAACCGCTCCTCCCCGGGCCTTCTGCGACTCCAAACATAGATCCCTTTAAAGGACCCCTTATAGATCCCTTTAAAGGAACCCCTATCGATCCCTTTAAAGGAACCCCCATCGATCCCTTTAAAGGAACCCGTATAGATCCCTTTAAAGGAACCCCTATCGATCCCTTTAAAGGAACCCCTATCGATCCCTTTAAAGGAACCCCCATCGATCCCTTTAAAGGAACCCGTATAGATCCCTTTAAAGGAACCCCTATCGATCCCTTTAAAGGAACCCCTATCGATCCCTTTAAAGGAACCCCTTATCGATCCCTTTAAAGGAACCCCTATCGATCCCTTTAAAGGAACCCCCATCGATCCCTTTAAAGGAACCCGTATAGATCCCTTTTAAAGGAACCCCTATCGATCCCTTTAAAGGAACCCCTATCGATCCCTTTAAAGGAACCCCTTATCGATCCCTTTAAAGGACCCCTTACAGATCCCTTTTAAAGGAAGCCTTATAGATCCCTTTAAAGGACCCCTTACAGATCCCTTTAAAGGAACCCCTTATAGATCCCTTTAAAGGACCCCTTATAGATCCCTTTTAAAGGAACCCTTATAGATCCCTTTAGAAGACCCCTTATAGATCCTGGCCTTCTGCGACTCCTCGCTCATCAGCCCGAGGATGCCGCTCAGCTTTCCCTCGCTACTCGGGGCCTTTTGGGCGGAGCTCGGGCTTCGGATTTTTTTTAGGGCTCCTTTAAGGGATCTGTAAGGGATCTATAAGGGATCTGTAGGGTTTAGGGTTTTAAGGTTTAGGGTTTTAGAGTTTAAGGGTTTAGGGTTTTAGGGTTTAGGGTTTTAGAGTTTCGGGTTTTAGGGTTTTAGGTTTAGGGTTTTAGAGTTTAGGTTTAGGTTGTGGGAACCCTAAACCTGGGCAACCAACGTCCTTTCAGAAGACAGGAAGGATTTGTCAGGCTGCTATAGGGCGTGGTTTCTGGCGGTTTTGTGAGGGTGGGCTGCAAGGAGTTTATGGACTTTCGCATCGTTTAGGTGTCGGCTTAGCGTACAGGGTTGTTGGGGCTTAAAGGTGTAGGGCAGGGGGTTTCTTGAAAAATTTCAGCTTCGGCTTCGGGTTCTGGGCTCGAGAGGTTTGTGGAGGCATGTCCTTCCTCAGATGCGAATCGTTGAGATTGACATCATGTTTTTGCAAGACTTTTCCTTCCTGGCTCGCATGCCATCCGTCACCGGAGCTCTACTGCTACCCTAAACCCCTAAACCCCTAAACCCCTAAACCCCTAAACCCCTAAACCCCTAAACCGTAAGCTTCATGGCCGGGCCGGTGGGGTCCCATGCAAAACGCTGGGGTTCTTGTTTAAGGAACTTAAATTTAAGTTACCATAATAAGGAAACCCTATGATTGACGATAGATCCCTATTTATGGTAACTTAAAGGGATCTATCGTAAATAATAGGGTTTCCTTATTATGGTAACTTAAATTTAAGTTCCTTAACAAGAACCCAGAACAAGAGGGCTCCAGGTTCAGGATTTGGGGCTTCGGGGCTTAAAGATGTCCGAGCTGAGGACTGGGATCGGGTCGAGGATCCGGGGCTCTGTCGGCTTCAAGGGTGTAATACAGGGCCCTAAATGATTACTAATACTACTTTGGGGGTTCCTTGATATCATTATTGTATGATGAACTCCAGAGCCTTATTCTAATTACAAGGGTCCATATATTCTTGGGCATCGCACCTGGAACAGCTTCTCCGCCGCGAACACGAACACCTGCAGGCAGCAGGGAACCGAAGTGCGGAAGGTAAGGTGCAAGGCCGGCTTCTGGGTTGATGGTTTTGGGATGCAGGGGCTCAGCATTTTGGGGTCTGGAGTCTACAGTGCAAGGGAAGCACAGGAGTTCGTCTGCAACTGCAGGTACACCTGCAGGAAGGTCTTATTCAAAGCAACGTTAGGCACCTTCCGCAACGATCAAACAAATTTAACAATTAACGCACACAAACCCTGTTGCAAACAATCTGGAAAGCATTCAAAACATCATCGAAAAACTGAATTTAAACATCCCCCTGCCAATTCTTGGAATTCCGCCTGAAAGCTCGAGAAGGAGCTCTCTGAGTCCACGGGGAAGACCGCCTGACCAAACCTGGGGTTTCGGAGTTTCGGAGTTTGGGGTACAAGGTTTAGGGTTTAGGGTTTTTAAGGATAGGGTTTAGGGTTTTTTGGGGTTTGGGGTACAAGGTTTAAACTTTGAAGCTTAGGGTTTAGGGTTTGGAGTTGGGAAATTTAAGGTTTAGTTAAGGGGTTTGCTTTACCCTACGATAATAACGATAATAAGGAAACTGAACTATTTACCACAGATCCCTAGTATAAACCTGAATGCTCCAGGCCCTTTTGAGGGTGTCCGGTTCAGGGTTTGGGGTTTCGGGTTTGGGATTTAGGGTTTGGGAGTTGTCGAGTTTAGGGCGTTGAAGCTTTAGAGCTTCGAGGGGTTGAGGGTTTGAGGCTTCAGGGCCCTTCCGATTGGAGAATTTCGGTGCCTCAGGCTTCAAGGACTGTAGCTGTCGCGGCTTTGAAACGCTCGATATTGTGGCTTGGGGGATGTAGGCGTAGAGCATCGACTCTTACGCAGTATCGACTCCTATCTTCCGGAGGGCGCCCCCCTCTCGAAACCCTCAGACGGTTTCGAGTTTGCAGCTAGGGTTTCTTTGGCATGCCGGGGGTTGATACAAGTTCTTGACACGGCCTCCTTAAGCCTGGCCGTGGTTGAGGCCTCGGGTGTCTCTCAGGTGTGGCAAACTAGAGAAACTCCTTCCCATGTCGTGGAGCTTCAGGAGAACCAGGTTCAGGATTTACGTTTCAGAGCCTAGGCTTGGGAAGTAGCAGGAAACTGAAGTGACGGCGAAATCATTCAGGTGCATCCCAAAAACCGCAAAAAAACCTCCACCCTGCACACCAACACACCCACAAAGTTCTAATTAGACTAGGGTTTTGGGGCCCATTACACTATAGTTATAATAAGGAACCCCCACAATAGTATTGGTAATGATTTAGGCCCCTATATTATACCCTAAACCCTATAGATCCCTTAAAGGAACCCCCAGAACAGCTATTCTGATTCTTCTTCTACTGCTAAAAGCAGTGCCCAGCGGCTCCGAAAGGAACCAGCCCGAGCGCCAGAAGGGCATCGCCTTCTTAGAGGGAATCTGATTCCTTACGGTTTAGGGTATAGGGTTCAGGGTTTCGGCTTAGGGCTTAGGGTGTAGAGTTTAGCTTAGGGTTTAGGGTCCTTCTTCAAGGAGTATGATGCCTTTACGCTTAAGGGCCTGCGGCTGAGGGGCAGGGTATAGGCTATGGGCCCCACGGTGTGCTTGAAGATTCAGGGCCGTAGTGGCATTCCAAGTCAGACTGGCTGAGAGCATCCCGAATAAGTCGTAAAAAGCATCCTCTTAAAGTCCTCCATATAGCTATACTGAAGTTATACAGTTCCAAAACTCTGCTATAATTGCTAACTATAGAATCCCCAAACTCTGCTCTCGTTACCTCCGATTATTTCCCCGATATTGCAGCCAGAGCCGCCGGAAGGACTTGTCTTCTGAATCTACTCGCAGTCGCGACAAGGCGACAACCGAGCCTTCGCCCTCAAACATGAAATTCCGAACCGCAACTCTACAGAGGACGTCGAACCCGCCACTACAAAACACAGCACCCTGGCCACAAAACTGAACCCGGAAACTGTCAGACTGTCTCAGATGTTCGAGCCTTGCGCCTGAGGATCGGCGTCAAGGCTAACTCCTCGTCACAGTAGTCGAAGT